CAGCGACATTTATTAAACATTCCAAGGTTTCCACTGACAGTTATGTGTTCCAAGTCGCTGGTAGATATTACAACTTTATTTGTAATGTAGCAAAGTCCCAAGGTGGCCATCTTTACACGGGGATTGATGATGACTCGAAGTCTTTTGCAGACCTATGCTCTTACGATATCATTGACATCAAAGACGACGAGGTGAAAGGCCAGCCACAGACGGGGGCTGGCAACAAAGCTAATGGTATGCATCATATGTAAAGTCGAATCTGAATTGCAAATGGCACGAAGACAAAGTCATTTTGCAAAGCAAGTAGTTTTAAAGCTGCAATAAAAGGGGTAAGAAGCCTTGGCTCCCTATATTTTTAGCCTTGGCCCCCTCTCCCCACTTTCAAATTCGTGGCGCGAGCCCTGATCTAGCCTCTGTTTCGGAATTGAGTCTAACAGATGATATGAATACCGACTTGCTTTTAATTTCTTCTGCTTCACTATGATTGCTTAATAGTCAAAAAAATGCAAGTCTTCTTGGCTGAACATTCTCTTGAAGAAGTGCCATGCTTTCTTTTGATAACGTATTCAATCTTGTTAACTTAGTGAACTACGTCAGCTGTAAAACTTGAAACATCACTTTTTCAATCATTGTTCTGAAGACTGCTGACACAAAATCATCAGACTGCAAAAGTTCGCAATAACTACGGAGCACAGCTCTGACGAAATTCTCAAAGGTGAAGAAACGGAGCAGGCTCCAGCCATAGTGACCATTTTCTGTGTAATAATTAACCGCTCATACTTTCCTGTTCATCCGTTGGGCCGCTAGTCCGCTCTTCCGCACGTCCGTTAGTCCGCTCATCTTTATTAGTTTATCAATGTGTGGCGCGGGAAGGGTTTACACAATGATAACACTTGAATTTATATTTCTTTTCTACTTCTTCTTCAATTTCCACAAAAATTCAAAATTTATTTCCACCGTAACAAAATCGAAAAATGAATCCTTTCACACTCAAATATGCAACTTCTATTCCCTGCTTGTGAAAGTGAGTTTTTTCACGATCGTACATCCTTGATGATATTCTCTCCGTTTTAAACTTGACCCCAACGTCCCTCTCTACGCCCTAAAGGCAATCGACAGATTCTGATGCTAAAGTAGATAAAACCATTTGTCAATCAACAATTGGCCAATCAGCGAGCGTTTTACTACTCAAACACTTGGTGATTGGCTAATTTTGATTGACAGTAGTTCCATTAAAGATGCAATGCTTTTACCACAAGCAACGCAAAATGTTCCTTGGCGAGTTACACAACCGCATAAAAACCATCCTTGCACCTTGCGCGGATAAGCTGTTTTGCGCCATAGTGTGCTCCTACACACTTGGGTTCCAGTCGATAGAGTTCCAGAATCACTATTTGCATCATCACATTGCAACGTCAAAATGAATTTGGTTGACTTTTCCGTACACATCGCGCCATTTTCTTCACAGGTACGTTGTGTTTTGTTTTATTTTCTCTCACTAATATTGCTATTAAAAATCAACTTCTTTCAAAAACACTTTATTTAATCAAGAAAAGATGATTTTCACAAAAAGGATAAATAAATTGTTATGAGATCTTCAAAGATTCGAAACTGCTTAATTAAGGAAATGTGCTATGACATAGTTTAGTTAGTTATGTTACAATACACTTCCTTCGTGTAAAGGATTTTCCCCTTCTTAAAGGTATGACATGTTGCTGCTATCTTGAAATGCCTGGTTATCGCTCTGCATCATGATTCACCCTTATCAGGTACAGCATGCGTTGTATTACTTTATTTGTAAAATATATCTCAGTTCATTGATATGAGCCAGCCATCCATCTATTTAAAAATTTCGAGCAACCATGTTTACAGAACACACGTTTTCCAGTTTACTTGTATAATATTTTACATTTCTAGGCATATCAATCATTTATTAATCTGTGTACTTACCTTAGATATGAGTTGTTCGATGTAGGTTGATTATCTCTGTTGCAATACCAATGTTGCAATACCAATGCAACCTGGAAGAACTGTTTAAGTGCGTATACAGTTTTACGTCGCGTACACATTTTGAAACATGCAACAAACTCAAAGGTCAAGCAGTATGTAACTTGTAAAAACTGCAGTACCGGTATCATTTATCTTTTCACTACACGGTTGATGCCAGCTTTTTACATGTGTACACGGTCTGATGCTCTTTCGTATGCCAGATCTGCTTTATCTGACGGGGGTCCTGCTATAATTTATGATGCTCAGATTGGTAGAAACTAGTTAAGATACCCGATGATATCATAATCCAGATCCCCCGTCATTGTCGTGTGTTGGTATCAAGATAAGCTGAAACAGGCAGACAAGCAATTTGTTTGGTAGTTGGTATGAAAGTTTATTGACTTCTGATATGTATTGGATAAAGAGTTTCATAGTGTTGTTGATTCTTATTCAACAAATAGGTAAGAAGACATTTAACTGCTATAAAGATTCTGCTTACTTTTTAAAGTCCTTTGATGCTTGCTTAGCACCATATGAAAATCCATTGGATAGGCCTTAGTTTTTCTTAAATGCCTTTTTCGCTCACCGAAGAGGCTGCAAAACTGAAATGCTAGTTTCATCTTCGAAGACATTGCTATAAATAAATAGTTAATTTTTGTTTTATTCATAAACAGTTTAAACTTGATGCATTAAGGCAACATTGCAAAATTAACCAAAAATCACCTTAACTGGAACTGATTTTTGTTATTTTAAGCCAGAAATGTTTTTATAAGCATCATTTTGCTTTACCTGATACGGCCATTGCAGTCCTCTTCTTGGCCTGATGTTTAGTTACCATTGTGAAAATTATCAAGAAGAATCGACGCTTATTCCTATGGCACTCTTTTTTAGATTGTGAAGATAAGTATGTGCAACTTGGAGATCCTAAAGATCCCGATAGTGGTTACGTGATTGCCTGTTTGCCTAACAAAGAGTGTCGACTCACGAAAGATGTCAGTGGAGATCAAATCTTCGCCGTGGAAGAAACGGCCGTAGGAGAAAATGATGTTTTGCCTATTTTAAGGAACAATGCAATATCTTTGCGTTCATTAAAATTTCCGGGTTACTATATGGTGGAACGCATCAAGAATGGAAAGAATATGATCATGTTGGATGTTGTTGACAAAAGTTCGAAAGCACACAGTAAGATTTTGCCATTTTTTATGCTGCTTGTCCGATTCTGATTTATTTACTTTTCTTCATTCTTGCTACTTATTCCTCTTGTTATTTCATATTACGTTAAACTTTTGTTTGTTATCTTTAAAGGAAAAGCAGCCACGTTCATCCGTCACTACAAAGTTCGAACAAACAGCTATGTATTTCAAGTGGCAGGCCGTTACTACAACTTCATTTGCAATGAGCCTCTTTCAAAAGGAGGCAAAATTTACACGGGCATAGACGACGATACACGTTATTTTGCTGACCGCTGCTCTTTTGAGATTTTGGGGATTCCAAAAGACAAAGCCAAACAGCAAATTAAGAATCGGCCGGGTAAGGGTTTGTCCTATACCTTGCGGAGAGAGTATATTTCAATATTAGTTGATATATGATTTCTCTGCTTACTCGTGGATACCCTCTAGTCCGTGGACTCTTCCACTTTGTGACTGCTGTCTTATTTTAGTCGCAACTCCTAAATTATTTCTTCATTTCATTTCATTCCATTTCACATGTTTAAAGAAGGTCGTTCTGCAGCAATGCCGATTTTCGAGGAGCCCTCTATTATAGCTTTGTGTAACTTAGAGTCTTCTTGGGGTCTTTTATAACTTATAGGAAAAAAGCTTTTGTATAAATGACTTTGGGTTCTACTGGGGGTACTGTCTTCTTTTATAGCATTGATTTTCTGGTCACCATCTTCCATTTCAGAATTCCTTCTTGAGAACAGCATGCCAATCACTAGGATCCCTGTTTTTATTGATCTGTGATGGTGGTGTAAAATTGAAGGAATTCTCGAAATAGGAAATCATGATTGGTGTGTGATACACCACTTGTGTTTTGACGAATAATGAATATGTAGTTTTCAAGATCATCATTGAGAATAACACGCAATCATCGGTCACCAAAACAGCCACACTTTTCTTTGTCTTCTAGTCGCCTTCTTCTCGTTCAATTGTGACTGCATTAATCAGTTGTATGCACTGCTCTCAGCGGCTTCAGTCTCAGCAATGTTTCACAAGCAAAGAGTTCCTCTTTTTAAATCGATCAGCTAATGATGGCATGTATCTTCACTTTCATGACGCTTTTAATCAGCATTGATCTTGCAAGCATTCTCATCATAACAGACCATTTTGTTATCAAGAAACTCACACGATGGCTTTAGTGTTATCTCTTTTTAAACATTCATTTTCTATATGGTTGTGGCGGATCATCTTCTCAATGAACCATTTTTGACGTATTAGGTAAACCTACGTTTTCGCGAATCTGCTCGACTCGTGCGCCGTGCGAATGAATTGTTAAAAATCACACGTGGCGCAAGTTTTTGAAAACCTTCCGAAAAGCTGAACAGAGAAAATGAATGTCACAAGATGGTTATTCTCAGTGTCTTGGTCTATAGAAAAAATGTGAATCAATTTGAGCTTAACCTGGTGGATCAATTTGAGCTCAACCTGGTTGCAGATTCTCCAGGACATTTCTTCACTGAGGGTAAGTTTTATCCAGTAATGTATATTAATCACCTTGGGCTGGGCGACATCCCCAGGACAGTTTTTTGAGGGTATGCATTTTTCTTTGGTTAGGAAAATATTCCTCTAAAGCATGCTTGGAATCACCGGTAAAGAAACCTTGATAGTTGACGTTTTTTCTAATAAGTGGTATTTACCCACCCAAACCCAGTATGGTTATGCCAACGTCCAGAAAATGTTACAGCCACACGATCAACAACCGTGAGAAAGCAGTCATTTAAAAAGCAGCTTAGATGCCACATCCATGTCTCACCAAGTTTCCATTATGATTCTGATGAAGTATTCATATCTTTAGGGTATTGCCCAGAGGAAGGATGAGTACTTTTCAAAAACAATCTAAAACAATCTAAAACAAACTAAAGCAATCTAAAACATTCTAAAACAAACTCTAAGCATTTTTTTTAACTTGCGTTTTTAGAAGGGCATGTATTTTACCTTTTCATAATGATTAGAGAAAATGGAAAGCCTGGTTTGTAACATTGCTCCAATGTTCAATTCAGTATTCTTAACCAAAGGTTTAAATTGGGAAAAACAAATGGCTAAATTTAAAGTATGTTGCGGACTTACCGGGTTACTAGCACGCAGACCTCCATGATAGAAGCCTCTAACGAGCATCCCTTGTAGCTACATTTTGGTTTTGTAGAATGTTCTGTTCTTGCATCATTTTCCAACAAAACGATGTCCTTTTTTCATAAGTCATGAGTTTCATCTTGCTAGTTGTATTTCAGAGCTAGCAGCAAATACAGTAGCTGTAGATTTGTATGTTTACTTGCTCTATTAGACTTAATTAAAAGAGGTGTTTCTCGATAATAGCCAAACTGGTGTCCCTATCACCTGTGAAATCGTATTGTACTTGTTGCCCTGTAACCCATACAATGAATTTACACGGTTGGTTGTTTTACTATCATGCCCGCAAAGGGGGGTGATCCTTCTTGATAGCAAATCATTTCAAATTTGTTTTCCAATTCAATTCGTAGTGAAATTCTTGAAATGGAGCCCCCGGTTTGCCTTCGTCTCCCCAAACAAAGTATTTCGCTCTCTACTTAAATTAACGAAAAATACCTATAGCTTACATGCTTTTACTTTTAGGATGCAGTGGATATCTAGTCTTTGTTTTGTGCTTTTCATACTGCGAAACGCTGGTAAGTTCTACGTATTTGATTTTTTTGTAACGCGAAAAATTGTTTAGTAATGATTTTTTGTTTTTAAATATTTTGAATGTATTCCAGCTAAATATATGTTTGAGCAGGTGAATGTTTGTTTGTTTTTAAGTCTTGCGGTCACGTAAAGATAAAGATGATTACCGCTGATTCTTGATTCTTTAATTGACAAAAAGGAACGGTGTTATTCAAGTTCTAAGCTAGCGTTTTAATTTTTTATATTCGTATTTGCCAAAAAAGGAGAATAGAATTTAAATTTCATGCTAAAATTACTGTGTGTCAAAAATTTCATGTTGTTTGGAAACACAGGTCACGAATTACGCCGTTTTCAAAATTTAGAAATGTTTTCACTGCAGTAGCAAATTCCAGTCAAATCTTTAAAAATATATTAATAATAAATAAAAAGTTGTATCTCTTAAATGAACAGTCATAACAACACTGATTTTTCAGTTTAGGCCTTTTTCAAAATGAAAATTGAAATCTGAGGTCCATTTTTGACAAATGTCTGTGAATAGAGAGATTGCGCCAACTCAGAATTGGGAAGCAGAAACATATTAATCTTTGTTTATCATTTAAAATTGTAGTTAAAGAATCTTAGTGGAAATGATTCTTTTCGATCTAGTTTCTGTTTAATTAGTGGGAAGACGAGCTTATTGTGTAAGATGGTCTTTTCAGTGTTATCCCGTGTTGAACTTTTTGGTTTCTAAAAGTAACTGCTTAGGATTTGTTAATTTAGAAAACTTAAAGAAATTCTAAGCCTTAAAATCATTAACAAAAATTAAAAACTGATTGCTAATTCCAAGCTTGGTTACTTATTAGAAAAAAGTGTAAATAGTAATAGATGAGATGAAGAATATATATGGGCAACATGCACCTTTTAAACGTTGCTATGACTGGGTAAGTAAAAAAACTCCTTTGTGTTCAAAAATTTCAAAATTGTACTAGAGACTATGTTTTTCATTTACGTGTTTTTTCTAGTTTGCGGAGACAAGCTTGTAAAGTTAGTCGATCCAGACAACCCTACTAGTGGATCTGCGATAACATGCAGGCCTCAGGATGGTTGCGCTATCACTAAAAAGCATGATGGTGACCATATATTCAAATTAAAGGAAACTGCCGTAGGAGAAAATGACGTCTACCCGATTCTACGAGATAATGCAATCTCATTTGAATCTGTAAAATTCCCAGGCTACTACATGGTAGAGCGCATTAAGAATGGCAAAAAGCTGATTATGTTGGATACTATCAACTCCAACTCAAAAGCAGATAGTAAGTTTTGACTGGCATTAAGTAAGAATTGAGTTACCTTATACGCTCCTATATAGCGTAAGAATAACCTAAGCTGTACTTAGGTACCTTTCAATTCAGGGCCTCCATATGGGAATTGGATTTTTGTTGTATTGCCACCTTTTTGAAAAATTAAGTTCCAGGTCAGGTTTTTGAGAAATGCATTTCCCCCAAGTCACGGTCCCGCAGAAAAGGCTAAGGTACGATTCCCCTCCCAAGCTGCGATCCCCCCCCCTCCCCCTCCTAGCTGCCATCCGTTAGAAAGAGCGACTATATGTCACGATAGTGAAGGAAGTGTTCTTCTTGTTTAAAGTTGTACTAGTTTTGCCAATTTGACAACTTCACTGTGTCAAGCTGCGGTCCATACTTCTAACAGGCTAACATTCATCTTTTTTCTTCTAGGAAAATCAGCCACATTTATTCAACATTTCAAGGTTTCCACTCACAGTTATGTATTCCAAGTCGCTGGTAGATATTACAACTTTATTTGCAATATAGCAATATCCAAAGGTGGCCAGCTTTACACAGGGATAGATGATGACTCGAAGTATTTTGCGGACCGATGCTCTTACGATATGATTGACATCAAAGACGACGAGGTGAAAGGCCAGCCACAGACGGGGGCTGGCGACAAAGCTAATGGTATGCATCATATGTAAAGTCGAATCTCAATTGCAAATGGCACGAAGACAAAGTCATTCACTCTCGTTCAGTCTGATTCTTTCTTCACACTTTCTTCGCACTTTCCGCCTTTTGCTTGTATATAAGGAGAACCTACAAAAATGCTTTTTAACAATCCGAATAACTTGCATCGTCAGCGTATCTACAGGTTCCGCAGTACCGCACTTTTTGCGAAGCAAGTAGTTTTAAAGCTGCAATAAAAGGGGTAAGAAGCCTTGGCTCCCTATATTTTTAGCCTTGGCCCCCCCCTCCCCACTTTCAAATTCGTGGCGCGGGCCCTGATCTAGCCTCTGTTTCGGAATTGAGTCTTACAGATGATCTGAATACCGACTTGCTTTTAATTTCTTCTGCTTCTCTATGATTGCTTAATAGTCAAGAAAATGCAAATCTTCTTGGCTGAACATTCTCTTGAAGAAGTGCCATGCTTTCTTTTGATAACGTATTCAATCTTGTTAACTTAATGAACTACAACAGCTATAAAACTTGAAACATCACTTTTTCAATCATTGTTCTGAAGACTGCTGACACAAAATCATCAGACTGCAAAAGTTCGCAATAACTACGGAACACAGCTCTGACGGAATGCTTAAAGGTGAAGAAACGGAGCAGGCTCCAGCCATAGTGACAATTTTCTGTGTAATAATTAACCGCTTATGCTTTCCTGTTCATCCGTTGGGCCGCTAGTCCGCACTTCCGCACGTCCGTTAGTCCGCTCATCTTTATAAGTTTATCATTGCATCACTTTGTTTTATATATTTCTATAGTGTCTATCTATTTAACGTGAAGTAAACAAATTTTGCCCAATTTGTCAGGAAACTGTCATGATATATGAGGTTTTGTGCACTGGATGGTATCTGCTCTGGATTTTCTTCCAAGGTCAAATGCCTTTTTTGTAGTCTCGCAGTCTTTTTTTGGTGTGGCAATAAAAGTTATTACTGTTTACCAGTGTATAGTATCTCTAGACAAAAACCTACAACTTTGATTGTTTGATGGTTTCAAGTTGTAACTGTAAATGTAAAGTAGATGTATCTAATACTGTAGCTGTTGAACCCAGCGTTACTACCTGATAAGTACCACAAGTCAAGTCTGTTTCATAGTCATTTCCAATTTCTTACGTTTATGGAGGCCTATTTTCACGGCCTTTATTTAGAATTCCGTTAGCTTTAAAAATGTTTAAAATAGTGTCACATTAACATGTCAATATTTGCTGACAAGAAGAAACAACCGAATATAAACTACTCCCGTTATGCCAAAATATATTTTAAAAAAGGTAGTTTTCGATATTTTCATGTAACTTGCCTTCCAGATTCCTCCACGAAATTTTTCGATAAACTTAATCCATATGCTTGACCAAATGTAAAAATTTACTTTCTATACATGTGTTTTCTTTTTGCAGTTCATTTCTATATTTTCATTTTCAATTTTAGGAAGAATCCTGGATAGTAATGGAGTTGTATCAAGTCTAGAAATATAGATATTATTGATTAACGGCTTGGGTGGATAGAATCGTGCGCAGAAAATTGAGCGCGCTATAAATTTGCGCGCCAAAAATCTCACGTCATAAAATCATACGTCATTGAATCGCACGCCGTGAGCTTACGCGCCAAAAAATAATGTGCGAGAGAATCACTGGCATTGTAGAAACTAACTACGAGAAATCATCAGGATGTTTGCACCCGTCAGGAATCCTTATATGTTCTTGGGTCAGCAAGTGACTGAGTGCTTCGCTTAACGACCCCCTCCTGTCCATTTTTCTAGCATTCGAACCCTGATCATTTTTCTTCATCCATTAATATGCAGTGTTTACCATAATTCATGTAGCTAGATGAATATAGAAAAACCTATTCTGTACTCTCATCTTTCCTTCATTTTCACATAAAACTATCAAAACTGAACAATGTTTCTGTTTATTCCCAGTAGTTTGATTTGCAAAAGTTATTTCATATTGAAATATGCATTTCAACTACTTGAATAGTCTCAGAATTGTTTCAGATTTTCTTTTCGACATTTTTAAATCGAGCTATTTAGTACCTCAATTTTGGCCTGTCTTCAAAACAAAGCGTTTCTCGACTATCAACTGAATTGTCAAGTGTTTTGTTTCTTTTTACTGAGATATTTCAATTTTGTCAGCAGGTGGTGGTGGTGCTGGCGGTCTTCCTGGGAGCGGGGGCAAGGGCGATGGCGGGAAAGGCAACTTCGTCAAACTTTTCATCCCTGGCCCCCCTGGAATACGCCCAACTCTTGGTCTCAAGGCCGATCTATTTCAAAAGGTTAGAGTTGGAATGCCACCTGATCAGTTCATCATCAAATCCCCCGGGCTGAACGGCGTTGAAGGAACATATTCATTTGAATCAGCAAAGTATCCCATGTTTTACCTTCAGAGAATTGGCAGGGACATCTATCTTGAAGCACTGAAAAGGAACCAAGATTTCTGTATGAGCCTACGCTTTTGCCTTTTTCTTTAATAATTTGCCCTCTGTTGACATTATTTGTCGTAAGTTGCCTTCTACTTTTGCTCTCTCGTGCTCATTTTTTATCAGAAACACTTTTTATATTTTCCAAGAAATGTAATTTTCTAAAGTTGTAGAAATTCTGCAGGAAAAATTTACTGCAGTGTATGTTCCAAACCTAAGAGACCCCACTGCAAATTGAAAGCAAATTTTCTTGTAGATAATCTGAGTATTGCTATCAGAGTCCAGGGCTGTCAGTCCCATGTGAAGCTTTCCGTTTTGAGAATTCATGCTTAACTAGAATTGTACCTTTCTGCAATGATTGAATGAGCTAGTTTAAAATCTGAATGTTAAAACTTTAAATAAGTTCCTGAAATCGTCGTTAACATCCGGTTATAATTGATAAACAACCATTGCTAGCTACCTCTTCTAGGTTTCATCATTTCCTTTTTGCAAAAAGAAGAAATTTCACTTGAAATATCATAACCTCCTTATACTAACATAATCATAACAATCATAACATAATCTGGTATATGTTCACCATTTTTCAGAGTATTTTAGTACATATATAACATGTTTAAATAGATATGGGATTCTTTCAATTTCTCTTTTGGGTAAATTTCAGATGCCTCTGCTACATTCAAGGCTACACCATACATAAACAAGAAAAATCGTTATTTTGTCAGCCCGTACAGCCAACCAGAATGGTTTCTTGGCCATTTACATGTTCCTCCATTTTATGTACGTGCTATGTACAACAACAACACTGCTGAGTTCGACTTAGATGTCTCCTGGATATTCAAGTACCAAAAGCAGAAAGAGCTATTCGGGTTAGGCACACACCACGATTTATTCCGCGCTCTTATCAAGCTACTCTCTCTTGTCCACGGTCCTCTAACTGCAAGTCAAGAATCAGCTATTTTCCAAGCTCTTCATGGGAACACCGACTTGACAGAACTCGGTAACTCGACAGCAATCATGCAGCTGTTGCAGTCTCAACACAATAGCTTGCTGCTTTCACAACTGGCCACAATCAACGGACTCCAAGGAGTTAAACCCGTCATACCACCAGCAGCTGATGCCTCAGCGCTTAGTGATGCCACAACTGCTGCCGGATCAGTTGCAGGTGCTACAGCAGGGTCTGCCGCGGGTACTAATACCGGTGGTGCTGGTGGCACATCAGGTGGCACATCAGTTGGTACATCGGGTGGTACATCGGGTGGTTCGGTTACAGACAAAGTTAAAACTGGTGAGATGGCTTTCTCTAACTAACTATATGTATCAGAGATCTCGTGAACAAGTTTTTAGCCATTTGATATAAGTCGACTTTTAAAGACCCTTTATATGTCGCACAGTAACATTTCAAAGATTAGGTGGCAAATTTTACTTGCATCCGGGCCAGTGAAAGTTGTAAATGTTAAGCTTGATGCCCTTTTAAAATAGTTTTGCAAGAATTAAAGAAAACCATTGCACAAATAGAAAAACACTTACCCACTGATTTATCTACAGCAATACTTTTGTAATTTTTGATATTTTGCTTCCAGTCCAAACACTGACGGACGTTAAACGAAAACCACTTCGATTGTGCTATCTTCTTAGACGATTCTTAGAAATAGTAACAGCTACATAAGATCTCATATTGCATCTGTATAAATCTAGCCGATTCCTGTCAGTGTTTAGTTAAGTTCACACATGTGACAGGTCAGTAAAGTAGTGTCTGAAAACCTACTTGAATAAACTCGCTAGTGATTCTAAACGCAGTAAAGAAAGCATCTAGCCAATACAAAAAGTTATCTTTGAGGCGACATGTTTTTGGTGCGTTATATTTGATTTGTAAGAATTTCTGTCCATTTTATTTGACATGGAAGCATATTCGAGATCATTATGGTACCAGCCCTGCCTGAAATGGGCGAACATAGTGAAAACGGATAGTGAATAAAGTTTTCTTGATGTCATATTTGCCAAAAAGCTTACCCTGGCCTAATTCCAGTGTTTCAGCTCCTTCTTGCTATGTATGACAACTAATTAATCGATATTTTTATCAATGCTCGTCATGTGTGCCACAAATATATTGAATACCGATATAACAAAGCGCTGATTTTTCTCTTAGACAATAAACCAGAAACTGAGGTCGTCGTAGAAAAATACGAGCCTTGGAGTGACTGGAGCTCGTGCAGTGCCCAGTGTGGAGCCGGACACCAAATTCGCGTCCGGCCATGCAAAGTTAATGCGCAAACTTGCACACCTTTGCAGCAAAGTCAGTCTTGTGTAGCAGCAGCCCCCTGTCAACCAGCTGGAACAGTCCAAGGTAAGCTGGCGGTTTTCCAGTATTATCAATCGCTTGCTTTTTTGAGCACTTTATTTTCCTCAATATTCCATATTTGCTCCAATATATAAACAAACCTTGCTGCTTACTATATTATATTATTATTGAAAATATTTGATCAAAGGTCGTTGAATTTGGGGTGTTAGAGGGTCAGAAACTAAGGAAAGAGGGAGAATACATGAAATATGTCGTTTTGGTAATATCATCTGGTTTTCTGTTGATGATTATTTCTTTTTAACTGAGTATCAAAATCAGGGTACTTATTTAAAATTGAATAAACAAGCCCTAATGAAAATGACCCGTCGTATCATTTATTGAAAAATTTATATTATTTTTTCGTGATTTTAGTATTTTCATCAGAAAAGTAGATTATCAAAATTCTTTAGCTTCAAGTCAAAGTATCTGGCAGTTTAGTAAATATTTCTACATAGAGGCTTCTTTATAAATTCATACGCTAGACTTTTCGAGTAGATCTGTCATTTTTCTGTAACATGTTCTTACTTAATGGAATCAAGTAATTAATTGTAATCAAAACCATTCTCAAAATTTTTTCTAGCGAGCCCACAAGTCGTTCAAACAGTGCCACAGGTGGCTCAAGCTGTACCACCGGTAGTTCAGGCTGCTCCTGTTGCCCAGGCGACTGGAGGATGCCCTATGACTTGCGGTTACGATTGCAACCCTACCTCTTGCCCCCTATCCTGCTGCTCAAGTAGTCTCGTTAAGAAGCATCACATTGCCAAAGTGAAGCATTTCAAACGGAAATTTGAAAGAGCCATCAAACATAGGGGACATCACAAGCAGTAATTGTTGTGGGCAACGAAAGGATGAGACCTTCAACAAAGTCCTCTTTACAGGTTCTGATACAATTTCTAGTTCTCCTAGCACAGAAAATTACCATGAAGGTTATAAGTCGTATTTGTAGTTGAGAAAACAGCAAGAAGTTTTTTATTCCAAATATGCTCGTTGCTAATATGTTTCGCAACTAAATTATACGCAGAAGAATAAGAGTACCCATAGCATAATGGCTGATAGATGATATTGCTAATTCTTAATTGTTATAAAGTGAAATTACGGTTTTTGTACTTAACGGGTAAAAGGAGTAATTGATTGTATGGTATTAATCAAACATTTTCAAAATATTGCGATTTTAAAATTTTAAAGTTTTAGGCCCATAAACAGCCCTTAGCATGTGTGAGCATGCTTTCAATTTTCTTCTATCCAAATCTTTAAAACAAGCCCTGGAAAATTGCTTTTATTCTACCGTTAACTTTATTCAACCGTTGCCCTTTCAACCATCGCCAGAAAGACTTTCTAAATCCCAGAAAGTAAGCAGACTGTACCCTTGGAAGGGTTGTGTTATCAGAGCGGCCGTTGGTTGAGAACATTTGGAGCAAAAGGGGTTGTTAAGATGCCCGCTTTATCCTTTTTATACATCGTGTAGAAAAAACCAAATATATAGAAAAGACTAGGTGAATTACCCTAGTGGCTAACTCTGGGATTTCCTCTTGAACTTAGAAAAAGGATATTCAAACAATCTTTTGGTGGTACAAAACTTGTAAATGGCTTTGAAAAAAGCAAACATTTAATAAACTAAATCTTTTCGTCTGACACTCTTCAGAGTTTAAAACGTCAGAACATAGATCGAAAACTCTACGCTAGGAAATATATATACCCAGTTGTGGATCGAAATAGGCCAATCAGAAACACGAGCACATGACTGTATAGGTTGACCAATCAGTGCCGCTTGCCTATTCTTAAGTTCTGTTATTTTCTGACGTTTTAAACTCTGGAGAGTGTCAGACGAAAAGCTTTAGTTAACTAAATGTTTGTTTTTTTCAAAGCCAATTAAAAATGATATTCCTTTACTAAATGTATACAATGAATAATACTATATAAATTCTAAATAGCATATTTCATGTAACCTAGTTATTAATTTGTGTACTAAGCAAATAATTAAATTCATCTGTATTGAGTTTCAATCAATAATTGTATGACTGTAAGTCAATTATATAATATTTTACATTATGCAGCCTTTGTCTTTTGTAATACCTTTTTGCTGCCAAAAGTTCTAAACTAAATTGGCAAGTTAATTTTAAAGACTCTCAACAAAAAGTACAGTTAAAGACTCTCAACACACAGTTAAAGACTCACAAAATACAGTTAAAGACTTTAAACACAGTTAAACACAGTTAAAGACTTTACAGTTAAAGACTCTCAACAAAAATTACTACACTGACCATATCACTTCATACATCCTTTTTAAGTATAACACGACCCCCTTTGTGGTTATACTGCAATCCCCATTGATGATTCAAGAATCACACATCTTTTCTTCTTTACTTTAATATTATTACAAGCACCTTCACAAAAAGTATCTACTAACATTATACTAATAAACACAATTATATTTTTATCCTTTGTTAAGGTACATTACATAAGAGCAAGTATTCGTGGAAGTTTCATATGATTTAAAAATTCCACTACATAAAATGCAAAATTATACAAGTTAGATAAAATTTGATATAACATACGGAACTAATTAGCTGATACAATGAACGTACGGCTAAAAAGAGCAATTGTGTTTTTTTTCGTTTTGCATTTTCAAGACTACTATTTCAAATTCTAAGACTATTATTGGTTGGATAAATAAACCCTCATTAGATACTGGTTAAGGTACATTCATAAGAGTAAGTATTCATTGAAACCTCTATGTTAAGACTATCATTGCTAATGAGGTTTAGTACCTACTGAATCCTTTGTAACGTCATCATGCATTGAAATAGTTTTTAGTTTCATTACACACAGCATCAGCGCTCGCAAGGTCCTAAGATATACGTTGTTTGCTTCACCACCACCCCTCCCAAAGTTTCAGTTATTCCTTCCAAACGTAATTCATGATAGAGAAGATTGACTCCTGATTCAAGATATATTAGACAGTTAATCAACCCTGCAGTAAAAGGTATGATACTTCGTATCTTCATTTGATGCACTCTTTTTTATAAGAAGACTATAATTTTTCCAACCTCGATATTCTTAAGAAATTTCCGTTTAATTAAGCCTGAATATATTTATAAAGTATTTTTATTTATGCAAATCTGATGTGGTTTTCATTGACTATCTCCCGCCAATTCTGAGATTTCCTGTTATGAACATCGTAAAACTTGCATCTGATGAAATAGAAGATACAAATACGCGAGTTGAGGAATATTCTTGTGATGTTCTTAAAAATTAGATGATTCTAAGCCTACAAATTTTTATATGCAATTTTCTTTTAAAACATAGTATAAGCATTACGTCACAATACATACATCAACAGTAACAATATTTGCCTCCTCCCCTGACAAAGAGTGACAGGAATGACCACTAAAAATTTCGAAAAGAACATTAAAAAATCTTGATATGAAAGAGAGAGAGAGAGGACACTCGAAAGAAAACTCTTTTTAACTTTTTGTCTCGTACGTTTTGGTCGTATCCAGTCAGCCCTAAATCCATGGTTGAAAAGCTTCTTTCTTCATTTTGAAATCCTCTTTACTTGGTTCAGTTCAAAATCTGCATTTGTTTTATAAACTATTTCACTTCTTTGTTTTTTGATATGATAAATTCTTTTCTATTCTTTTCTTATCGCTACCATAGTGTGTGTGTTTATGTCACTGATCTGAAAAGTGGTTTGTGTGTGTTGCTATCGAGAGCGAGGTCGAGCCAGTTGTTGTTGATTGTTATTTTCGCAGGATTGGTTCATTATTCATGTTGATTGTTGGGGACCTTTCTTTCGAAATATTTCAATATAATTCGTGCGTAAAACGCGCTGTCCACCTGCAAAACAAGAAAACAGCTCAATCTGCACCGAAGAACGAACGCATTTCCAAGAGCTTCACTGCAACAAGAAATATTTTCCAAAGCACGACGACGTAAATAGAGGGTAGTTTCACAGAATCAGTGGTAGTATTCAAAGGGAAGTGAAGATGAACCACGCCGAGGCACTCGTGTCAACAGATTGGTTGAACAAGAAACGAAACGAGCCTGATTTTCAGCAGAAATATAGAATCATAGATGCTTCGTGGGATCTTCCAAGCTCAAAAAGAAACTTCGTCGAGGAGCATAGGAGCAAGCGCATACCTGGCGCTAGATATTTCAGGTAGAAGTTTAGCTGACTCAACACACACCATCATGGGCCTATGCATAGGCTAGCGCTAGAAAGAAACTATTTTCATTTTGTCTAAATGTTAGAGGGCTTAAATCAGATTTCAAACAATCTTTTCATGATAAGTTGCTCCCTCGAATGACGCAAGAATGCGTCGGTTTAATCTAACCTTCTTCTGCCATCCCTCTTGTTTTGATCTTTGTTGATTTAAAGGGGTGGGTACCGATTCATGAATAGACGTTCCTGCTGGCTTTCGTAAATTACAGTGTTTTCAGGGCTCTATTTTGATTTACGTTTTGTGTTTCTTTCTCGTATAAGCCACATATTTTTTGTTTAGTTTAAAACTTCTGAAGAAGGGACTCAAAACCACTCTGATTAGCCTATGATAAAAAGTATTTCATTGAGCAATGAATTGAGATTTTTATTTACCAGCCAAACGAAGATGGACTGTAAACCTGATTGAAACTTGATAAGCAAACTCAATTTGCACAAATTTATCAGCAAAACAAATGTTACCCAGGCTTTTTTCAAAGAAATGAAGGACCACAAAGCACATAACAGGTTTGGGGGAGGGGGCTAAAATATTTGGGAAGATCAACATGCTAAAAGCCAAAGACAGAATTACTATTTGTTTCATCTAATATACATTTTGGGAATTACAGGAAGACCAAGCCCCCCCTCATCAGTCCAGCTTCCATTGTCCCTACCTTTCAAGCAGCTCCCCACTTATCTCAACACCTGCAAATTTTTAACTCTTGTTATAAAAGGTTTCTTATTAAATTATTGCAATATATTTTCCCATCTTTCATATGATGTAGTCTTTTGACGTAAAATTTCTTTAAATATAGAAGTATTCTGCTCTCCCTTCCTATTCTGAAACATTAAAATGAAACAAAATTATATGCCTTAGCCTTGCAGAATGCAGAGACAAGACACCAAAGCTACCAATGATGATTCCAAAGCCAGAGGATTTTGCAAAGTATGTCCATGACATTGCAGGTATTGAAAATAATCATCATATCATAATTTATGACAACAGTGAGAGATTTGGATTGTTTTCAGCACCAAGATGCTGGTACCTGTTTCGAGTCATGGGTCATAAATTTGTTCACATTCTTGATGGAGGTTTGCCAAAGTGGGTTAAAGATGGGTTCGAAGTTGCATCTGGTGACTACTCCAAGAATGAAGAGCTCCCAGGTAAGTTTTATACATCCATTCATATCTCCTATGTATTTTATATTTCAGGTCAAAAGAAAATATTGCAGAAATTAAACTCTGTTTTGTATGAATAAGGCATTTCAATTAATTATTTGTCCCCTGATATTTACGTTTAGCAGCATAAAAACAGTTGCATTCAAAGATTGTCAAATAAGCAGCTTGTTTTTATAAAATTTGTGTTAAATATTTCATGGTTGGCATAATTAATTTGCATAAATACATTGTCTTTGTAGCTGCATCAGCCACATATGAGGCAAAACTGAGGCCAGAACTTGTTCAACACTTTGATTTCATCAAAGCAAACAGCCAAAAAGATGATTCAGTGCAAGTTGTTGATGGGCGGCCTGAAGGCAGATTCAAAGGAGTGGCCCCAGAACCCAATCCTGCAATTCCAAGTGGACATTTTGCAAAGGCTATCAACGTCCCCTTTTTCCAGCTTTTTAATCGAGAGGTTAATGTAATGAAAAATCCATCAGAAATAGCTGATGCTTTCAAAGGTAAAGGTATCGATATTGACAAGCAGGTCATTTGTTCATGTGGTTCGGGTATAGCAGCATCAACTCTGGCATTTGGGCTGTATTATTCAAAGGGCATTGAAAGCCAGCTTTATGATGGCTCATGGGCTGAGTGGGCGACAACAGTTCCAGACCTCATAATCACAGAGAAGTAACAATTCAGCTAGAACAATAAGAGCTGTTTTTTAATTATAACCTTTGTGTTGAATTTTGTATCTTGGTAAAGACTTTCTGAATTTAGTTAGGATATTTATTCCTGTTTACAATAAATTTCACTTTTTAATAAGGTGTACAATTAAATTTTGAACGAAAGCTCAGACGAAAGCTTAACATATATTGTCTGCAGTATTTAATTCTCTGTTCCAAATGGAGGTTCATAAAGATTTTGGTTAATGCGCATCTGATGACGAGAAGAAAGTTAAAAGAGGTGGAATGTAGGCGGGTTGTGGTTGTAAGAGATTTGGCAGAAGGCTATTTGTTATCCAAAAAACTTCCGTATTTCCATTTTCTGACACCTGGCGATTCATTGTACCTTATGCCTATGTCTGCCGATCTAAAATTTAGTCTATCCCATCATATTGTGATGTTATTTAGTGGAAATATACAATTTTCTTCGTTTACTTTAAAAATTATCCATCCATCCATTCTCCTTTAAAGCGGGGGTACGCAAAAGGCTCGAAAATATACCCTCAGATTTTTCTTCTGTCGAAACCTAATTGCGGCGCCAGCCACTAGGCTCTGGGGGGAGAAAACAAACTTTTTGGGACACGCCTTTTTTAACACCTGAAAACGCCCTCTTACCAACATGGAACGCCAATTTTACCTCGATCCACGACCAACTTTTAGTTACGTAGGTAAAGGCAGTTTGAAAATCATAGCATTACATCTTAAAATTACTTTGCCGAAATATTACCCCTCCCCAAACATTTTCTCATCGAATTTAGACGGAATAAAAAATTTGTTGCGCCGAGAAATGGAGGCGTGTCCCCACCCGTTACTGTCTGAAACCTGTAGAAAGGTGCAAGTTCTGGTTATCCCTAGAAAACTATCTTTACAAAATTTCCTTGCGTCATGACAGCCTTTATTAAACCCTATTACAATCTTATCATTTTGTCCCCTACACTGCAAACTCTGATTAAAATTCATTTTTATTGAGTTTTCCTTAGAAAAGTATCAAAAGATCTTGTTGTGCACTCAGCTAATAGCGGAAAATTTTCCTCAGAGTAAGATATGCATTTTCGTTACGACAAATCGGATGACTGTAAATGACATCACTCCAGTTGTATGTGAACCTGTTACATATCTTTAATATCATACAAGGACAGATGATTGTCCTGTCCTCTAAAGGCTTGGCTCTCCTAACTTACAATAAGCATAGAATTAAATGAAAAAGCTTGTTATTTGCTTAGTAATTATACTGTTATTTGATGGTATTTGCGAGAAATGTTTTCTAGCATGCTTTATTTAACGGAGTAAATAAGCTTCATTGATGCAAGGTGTTGGAGGAATTTCACCTCACCAGAGCATAACTACAGTAAAGCGACATTTGTCAATAAAATTCATTTTAGCCACATTATCATCAGCCACAATCTTTTAGCTTTTAAAACCCATCCAAACAAAACGACTAAGTGTCTTTTAAGATGCCCGCAAAGAGTTTCCACATCATGAATCGAATTTACTATCTAAAGTGGGGAAGATATTGAGGGGCGAAAATTCCCCACAACCCTGTAAATTTCACAACTAATCAGGGCCGTCGCGAGGCAAGCCTTGTTGAGGGGGGGGGGGGGGAGAATTACGAATTAACCTGATTAAAAAATAATCACCTTAAATTCTTTAGTTACTGACACGAACCTCTGCAATACATTTTGCCAATCTAACTCAATGGCATATGATTCGCAACTTCCATTTATATGATATTAACAGACTTTGATAATAGCTCTGTCAAATCTGTATATCGGGATGGGCAAATGACATAGTTACTTCCCAAAGAGGTGCCAAACTTGAACCGATTGATCAGAGGCGAGGGGCAAGGCACTCCATGAAAATCTCGCACACCTTTAGCAGAAATCCCTTTCTTTTATCTAAAAGTCCTTGGAAATCTTTTTGTTTTTCGTAGAAATCTCGTACCCTATTTGCAAGAGTGACATGCTCTTTGGACGAAAGCTCATCATATTTTGTCTACAGTATTTAATTCTCTGTTCCAAATGGAGGTTTATAAAGATTTTCGTTAATGCGCATCTGATGACGAGAAGAAAGTTAAAAGAGGTGGAATGTAGGTGCGTTGTGGTTGTAAGAGATTTGGCAGAAGGATATTTGTTATCCAAAAAACTTCCGTATTTCCATTTTCTGATACCTGGCGATTCTTTGTACCTTGTACCTATGTCTGCCAATCTAAAATTTAGTCTATCCTATCATATTGTGATGTTATTTTGTGGAAATATACAATTTTCTTCTTTTACTTTAAAAATTATGCATCCATCCATTCTCCTTTAAAACGGGTGTGTCACAAAAAGGCTCGAAAATATCAAAAAGTCTTGTTGTGCACTCGGCTAATAGCGGAAATGTTCTCTTTTGCGGAAAATTTTCCTCAGAGTAAGATATGCATTTTTGTTACGACAAATCGGATGACTGTAAATGACATCACTCCAGTTGTATGTGAACCTGTTACATATCTTTAATATCATACAAGGACAGATGATTGTCCTGTCCTCTAAAGGCTTGGCTCTCCTTACGTACAGTAAGCATAGAATTAAATGAAAAAGCTTGTTATTTGCTTAGTAATTATACAGTTTTCTGATGGTATTTGCGAGAAATGTTTTCTAGCATGCTTTATTTAACGGAGTAAATAAGCTTCATTGATGGAAGGTGTTGGAGGAATTTCACCTCACCAGAGCAGAACTACACTAAAGCGACATTTGTCAATAAAATTCATTTTATCCACATTATCATCAGCCACAATCTTTTAGCTTTTAAAACCCATCCAAACAAAGCGACCAAGTGTCTTTTAAGATGCCCGCAAAGAGTTTCCACATCATGAATCGAATTTACTAACTAAAGTGGGGAAAGTATTGAGGGACGAATATTCCCCACAATCCTGTAAATTTCACCACTAATCAGGGCCGTCGCGAGGCATACCTTGTTGAGGGGGGGGGGTGAATTACGAATTAACCTGATTAAAAAATAATTACCTGAAATTCTTTAGATGCTGACACGAACCTCTGCAATACATTTTGCCAATCTAACTCAATTGCATATAATTCGCAACTTCCATGTATACGATAATAACAGACTTTGATAATAGCTTTGTCAAAATGTTGTCAAATGTAAAACCACTTAAAAAGGGGTTTTTACCAAAGTGAGTTCGTAGGTTGTTCGCAGAAACGTACACGATAAATACGGCAAAAACTGTTCTCCAATTCTTTAATGTTTTACACTTCTGCAAGCTAGTGACAAGACACACTGAGTTCGACAATCTTACAGTAAGACTGAATCTAACTACAAAACCATCCCTTTTATACCCTAAGATGAACCTCAAGATAATAATTACATAATACAAACGCTGATGCAATTACAGTGCAATGGTGCGATTGCCACGTGATATTTTCCGTGTGGAGACCCTGTGTTGTAACATATATATCGGGATGGACAAATGATACAGTTACTACCCGAGGCGGCACGAAGAAGCAGAAATTTTTCGAATTTTAATGCTTCCAGTTCCGTGGAAAATACTGTCTTTTAAGCAAATTTTACTGAAGCAATCCTCCAAATCATATTGAAAATCTTTTTTTTGCATATGGATTGAACAGCAGTTAAAAACAACTGATACAATTTCGCCGTTGTCTTGAAAATACCCATGCTGTTGCGTTACTTCTAAAGCCAGGTAACAAGCAGCAGTGGTTGTCAATTCAGACCCCTCTTTCCTTTCTAGAATTCCTTTTGAATGTAAAAAAGATCTGGAGCTCACTATGAATTGCAGTTGATGCTACTACTGAAAATGGACACAAGGCACAATTTTTTATTTTTTTGGAATTAGTGCCAACATGAAATCTTTAAACGTAGTTTGTTAGCCTTTATTCATATAAAAAAATATCATATTTAACTAAGGAAGCAACTACAATTGCTTGACCCTTTATTGATTTGAAGACGTGAAGGTCTTTGATCTACCTACACAGTTTCTTCCACGGAACCTGTTATGGAATTTGGACTCTAGTATAATAAAGTAATTTAATCTCTTGGTTATGTTGCGAAATGGACGCGTTATTAAAATTTATTATTCTGCTGACAGCGCTTGTGATTAGGGTAGAGTTCGGAACCAAGGGTAGAGAACGGACGTGCGTAACAGCACGAGAGGAGTACGGTCTTATCAGCATTAGGAAATACAGAACAAGGGCCTAGCACTACATTAAAATAGGAATTATATTCTATCTTTATACACATTTGATATAGAGCCGATTTTACTTGAAATGTTCTTTTTGAGATACTATTGGGGGTATGACACCCCTCCACACCCCCAGGTCGCGACGCCCCTGCCAGTGATTCCATACCTAATAGCTGAGAAAACATTATATAGAGAAAACCGTTTTTAAACTTTTTTTCAAATTATTTTAAGTTGGGGGGGGGCCTCAAAAGTGGTGCCACTGGAAAACTGGAGGGATTCGCGAAAGGGTAATCTTTGACAGAGAAAGGGATGCGGCATAAAGATCTTTATTTGTCCTCCCCACATCTTGGTGATCAGCTTTGCAATAAGAACTGTAACAGTTTTGCCCTTATTATGCGTTTGCGCCACCCAGCATCCTGTTGCTTACGCCAAGGAGCAGGCCCCCGCCATTCCAGCCCACAGTCAGACATCATACGTCTTTATTGTCTTCAGGCTCTTTTATAACCTCATATATGACCTTTCTCGGGGGTGGAAGAGGAAGAAAGCTTTGGTTTTCATTCTAGTATCCTCTTTCTGTGAGACAGTTTCCAAACATACACTCCAAGGTCAGGCCATGGTTAAGCATCAGATGGGTAAATTAGAAAAAGGCCTTTTTTTCTCATGTTTACCAGAGGACTACATTTACGCAAGATAAAATACAGTAAATCCCCGCATATAAGAACCTACAAAAATAAGAACCTAGAGGCTGTTTTTCCTAAATTATGCCCCTTGTAATTGAGAACCTATTTGAGTGTGATGAAATATAATAGGTTCTTATTCCAAGGGCAAACAAATAGAGCTTTCAATGGTTCTATTTACTCCCAGATTTTTAAAGAGGCGGTAAAACCACAATCGGTATCAAAATTTTCAGTTGTGCATTTTCAGCATTTTATACACTTTAACGAAGGAGAACTTTAAAATCACTTTGACTTTTTATCATAATTATATATAGCAAAATCCAAAATGTTCAAAAATGAAATAAAAGCATTAGAATTCATAATTTTCAATTCCTGAGGACGTATGAGATCATCCCCAGATCCATCCACTGTCATAAGGAAGCCGGTGCACTCAAATGTCTTGTAAATATCTTTGTAATGTTGCATTAAGAACATTGCTAAAAGGAAAAAACAGAGTTGAATGCATCTCTTGATAATGAATCCTAAAGTTTTAAATAAGGGATCCTTCGAATAAGAATCTTCATACCCTGAAATTAATCCAAGTACCTTCCCAAAAAGAACCTACTTCAGCCTGAACCTCAAAAAAGTAGGTTCTTATATGCGGGGATTTACTGTAAGTAATTCAGAGCTACAAATTATCCAAAAAAGGACATTGAGCCTTGGCAATATTTTTTAAAAATATGTTGGATTCGTGGCATTTTTAAAAGGAGATCTGGGTGTTTCTGCAAGCTTGTTTGAAGAGCTTCATTTCCATAATCAAGTATATTTTTGCAGGTATACCTAAAGAAGACCTCATACAAGCAGGCAAGAAGGCCTTTTACTTTCAAGGAGCAAAGATTTTTAATAAACTAACAGACGAAATGAAGTGTGAAACTTCAATTTTAAGATTTAAGACTTTTTGTAAAAATTTTAACTACTACTTTTAAGATTTCATTTTCATCATGTATTTAATTTTTATTTCGGTAATCCATGTATATTTTAGACAGGTCCTTTATTGATAACAGCACGTTGTTGCTGACCAAAGTTAACCTGTATAAATATGATATTATTATTATTATTATTATTATTATTATTATTATTATTATTATTATTATTATTATTATTAAGCAGTTGAATTTCTGGACTGCAACAGGTATCCTTTCCGCACGAGATGGATCCATCTTGCATACAAAAACTAAATAGCCACTCAATTCACACAAAAAAACATCCTGTCGTAGGGAGCGTAAAAAATTGTTTATCCAGAACACCACACAAGAACACCAACAGCAAATGCGAACAATAGGGTATTTTCCTATTGATGGAATTTTGTTCATGCAGACTATTTGCCTAGGTAAAAGTAGGTTTATGCAAACCATTTGCCGCGGCCTCTGAAATAGAATCCCCTCATTGAAATAATAGAGAGAGTGGGTTGTTTTCTACCTCCACTTTTTAAGGGCAGGAGGGTATAAATTCTCGAATCCCCGTGAGGATTCTCAGATGCAGCAGAGGTGATCCCGAAAGATACACAGCAAGCCAAAGAGAAACGACGAAAAAAGGAGAATAAGTACAAGAAGACAAACAAGTTTCTAGTGGTGAGCATGACTTTTCTGTTTTTTTTTCAGTTTGGTTATCTCTTTGATCTTACAGACTTATTCCAAGAATACAATTTTGCTCAAAAATTTTTAAATGCATGTTTGTACATAAGATGTGTTACCAGTAACGCTTATTTTTACTTAACATAGTGGCATCAAGTTATTGTCCTTGATTTGTTTCTAACCATTTTAAATCGATTGGTCAGTACGCATTCTTACAAGTTGAATCAAGTATCGGTCCTACAAGTGAGCCCCTCCCACTCCCCCAAGAAAATGTTGCAGGAGACACTCGTCGGTCATCTTAAAAGCATACTGACAATTAAGTTGCCATCGTGTTCCAACCACTGCAAAAACAGCTAAAGACAAACTAACGTTAAACTGATGTGCAGAGGGAAATGAAAAGTCTATGAGAACAGTTTTTGAGTGTTTTTCTATAAATTATTAAAAAAAGATTTGCCACAAAAGTGTTGATTGTTATTTAGTGAGAGTTTGACAAACAATATTGCAATATAGTATTATTCAAAGTTTTACACAAGTTTTCTAGTTTCCGCTTACTGTTTGTAAGTTAAAATTGTTTTCTTTTCTCCGCATTAAAGAATTAAAGAAATAGTATGATGGGTTTGAAAGTTAAGTCCTTCAGGCTTGGGTTTGAGTTGGGGTGTTGTGGCTAGCTCGATAAGAGATGCAATGTAGTGTTATCGAAATAGAGACGTAAATTGATTTGAATATTTAAGAATAGTGAGATTCTTTATAATTAGTTAATGTTGCTAGGTTGTAAAGTGGTTTTGCGCAAAACAGTCGCAAGTTGAGTTAAAGTTGAGAACAATTTTGGAATAACGTGGGGGCTTAGCAATCCTACCCATAAGGGCGTTTGTATTCATAGAGAAAGCACTGAGAAATTAATCCCCAACGTCGGATATTTGGATGTGGGGGGCCAGCCATCGCCCCCTTCCTCCGCTCAAAAATCTCAGTTTTCACCATATCCCCCTACACAATATATTTTTCATTTGGTATGAAAACTTTGGAAAAGTTTGCAAAAATTCTATCTTCGTCAGATTTGGCTATCTCTTCACCTGTTGATTTATTTATAAATAAGAAATGAGAAATTCATTAACATCGCTTATAAACTTTTGGTCGTTGGCTACCCAGAAGAAAGCGGTTTATTATCTTTTATTTCTACATTATCTTTTGGAGCTTGAAATTTACCTTCAATGCTGAAGACTTGTATTAGATGTCAAAGATATCTAGATTTGTATTTTTATTCAATTTTTCAGCAGTTCATATCATCAAGAAAGCACAAGTTCAATTATAGTCATTTACTATTTTTCCATGCAAGCTAGAGAGATGATTTTACTAATTTGATCAGAAGTTCAATTGAAAGTTTGAGATATGGATTTTCTTTCATGAAAAGATAAACTTATTTCTTGCCTATTTTTTTATGTACACCGCTGGGCTGAGCGTGCTTCTTTGTGCTAACCAAGTTAGTTTAACACGCTACTTCTGTCGTTGAGGCACATACCGTATTTACTCTAATATTCCCGCTGCGGGATTAGCGTTTCAACCTAACAAAAAAAGGCGGGATTATTAGAGAGGCGGGTATATTGGAGAGGTGGGATTATTTTTTCAATGCCTGGAAGTCTAGTTTGAGGATGTTCTGTCAAACCTTCAGCCATCTTTTACTTGATGCTACGTTTTATATCAAGTCAGTACTCTTTTGTGCTTGGATTGTAGGATTGTTCGGATAAACAGGGGTGGACGTTTTTCTACATTTTCGTACAGTAAGGGGCTATTAAAAAATGACCTATGGGAAAAGTAAAAAATATACCCATATATGGGGGGGTTAAAATTAAATGGGGGGGTGGGATATTTCTTTTCACAGACAAGACAGAGCAGAAATTGTGCTTTATAGACAGTAGTACGAAGTCAAAGAATCAAATTTCTTTTTATGCTGCAAGACTTGGATGTTTGATAAACTTGCGAAACAAGACAGCTATCTGCCCTCTCCCGTGATTTAACCATTCACTCCAAGCATAAGTTTCAGTCTTTGATTTTGAAGCCGATACAGAATGTGTAAAGAATAGCAAATGCCAATTGAAAGTTTCAATCCCGCATGCGGGATTACTGGGGGAGCGGGATTATTCTTACAATCTATGAAATACAAGCGGGGTTACTAGAGAGGCGGGAATAAAAGAGAAGCGGGAATATTAGATTAAATACGGTATTAATCATTCTAAATTCCTTCGCAAATTCTTTAAGTTTCATTGCAGAACCCATGGCGGGACAGCAACTTGAATTTTTGCAAACATATTTAGGGCCACCAAGCACCACCTACTCGGGGATTTAGCAAATTTTAGAAAATCCGACTTAAATCTTGGGTCTCCATGACTCACTGCTCTTTGCATATCTTTTAAATTGTGTTTAACTGGAAAAAAGGATCCCTCTCTCTCTTTTCTACCCTTGGTACCAGGGCGGAGCCACGAGGGGAGGGTGAATAGGGAGGACTAGTCCCCCCCACTTTTTCAGAAAGCTGGTCTTTGAGATTCTTGCAAATCCGATGAGAAAATTTCGGTGGAGGGTGATATGTACGTTATTTATATCATCAGAAGCTGGTTTTGGTGTGAAGCAATTTCTAGATTGAGACAAAATCCAAACATTATTTACCATTTACTATTTTATCATCTTGGAAGTAATTTTATAGATAACCGTCCTTTGTTTCTTGATATTGTCTACAATGCTAAAGTAAAAAATCTTCTTTTAACAAGCAGCGAGAGATTTTTTCAACAGAACCGACTTACCAACTCTTCAAAAACAATTTGCCATCGAATCGTAGAAACTGATCTTGTTCATAGTCCGTAACATTAAATAGCTAAGCCTGGTCTATCGATTAGAATTTTGGATCCCCTCAAAAATTTTCGTGAACTATTTGTAACTTGAATAGCTTGTTGTATTAGATTTCATAAAATGTAGCTTTTGGAATTTTTTACTAGTAGCGCTTTGTTATAGGTCTTTTCATGATTTTTACACATATAAAAACTCGGAAATTTATTTCTAAGCAATAGTGCTCATTGCCAAAGGTAAATTAAATGACATTTCTTGGTGTTTCTTTCGGAAGAAACTGCTTCTCGCGGAAAAAAGGGCGTGGTTCAAATAGGGCGTTGTCCAGGACCCCCTTTTGCCCCCCAGTTATCCCGGGCTGGAGCCGCCACTGGGTACCAGAGCCTCATGCGTCCGGGTATGAAGTATTGTAGACAGGTGCGGTAGGACAGAATGAGTGAATCGCTCATCTAAATATTTCTGTGACTAGTTTCTAGCAATATTTCTGAGACTGAATATGGAGAATCTGATACCCATGGTATCCCTTTTCTGTTTTTGGCGCAATCTAAAGCTTTTCAGGTTTGCCTCGTCTTGTGACCTTCAGAAAAACGGTTTTCTCAAGCGAAGTAGTAAGCTGACTTGAAAGCATAGGACTACATTTGACGTGCTAAATTATTTTGATAGAAAATCGTTTTCAACAACATAAATAAATATTATCTAATATAGGAGAGATTGTCCAATACCACGAGGAAGCATGAAAGGCGGGAGAGAGGCGCATTGATTTTAATTATTTTTCTTTGGCTTTTCACATAACCTTTTTTCTAATGTTAAATTTCTTCTTTTTTCTAGAACTTCCATCTACTTGAGATGAAACAGCAAAAATCCCTTTTGAAAAGTCAAAGAACTTCTTACTTGGAAAAGAAAATGCCTGTCGTTATTGAAGAAATCGCAAGGTGAGCATTAAAGACTTAATTTTGACCATTTCTTTTATTTGCTTTTTAATGTTTTAATTGTATTCTGAAACATAGAATAGCAACACCCAAATGAAAAACCCTTCTGTTGGATCTTTATGTATGCATGCACCTTATTATAAGAGCCCAATTATACCTCTGTTTCCTGTCACAATTCTATTGTAAATAGATTTGAGGCCATTATCTCGAACCAATGAACTTGTTTTATATTTAACTTCACGACCTTTAACGGCCTTAATGACCATGAACGCTATTAGGGCAACGGAAAGACAATAGGTAAGGGCATTTCTCTCGTCTGTTCTTTAATAATACACCCCCTTTTAATTAGAAGTAACAGTTATTGTCATTTTGTGAAATGTATCCCTTTTTTCATTCAGCCTTGCATGTCCAAGTGCTCAAATTGAGGATGACACTGCCAATCAGATCTTTGCCATCATTCTGCAAGATTGGATGTTCAACTATGGCAGTTTGTACGTTAGAGAGGACTATAATCTCCTGTATGGACGCATCGACAGCATTATTTCAAAGCAACTCCCTCTACATTTCTTCTTGCCTGGATTTCCAGTTAAGAGTCCCAACGCCAATGAAAAGGTTTTAGGTGTATTGCCTGACTTTTCAGAGCTTCTCGCCATCCGCAGATTACAGACAACAGCAAGAAAACTACAAGCAATATACCAAGCTGGTGTGAAGATAACAATCTTGTCGGATTATCACACATTTGATCAGTACATTGCAGTTGATGAACAAGAGTACTTTGCTTACCACAGGGGTATCAAGAAAATGATTCAGGAGGCTGGGGCTGATGATGTCATAGAACTGATTTCATTGTCCACCTTTCCAGAGTTCAAAGGTATTCCAACAAAAGAGATATCAACATTCTTATGCAAGAATTTTGGTGGAGATGATTTTCTATCTCAATTTGATGAAAACATCTTGAATGATCAATCACTACTTGAGAAGTATCGGCAGTTGAGAAAGTTCATGATGACAGATTTGAAGTCTAATTTGCCAGGTTCTCCAAGCAGCAAAGCATCAAAACGATACATCAAAGAAGTTGCAAGGGGGATGATGGCGCAAGGAGTTGCTCTCGATACGTTCTTGAAGAAGCAGTGCATGATTAGCAATTACATAAGGCTAAGTATACATCATCACGACCCTCAGTCTGGGAAATTTGCAATTGATTTGTTCAAGGAGCATGCAAGCAGCAATGGAGTGTTGCGAACACCTTGGCATCATGTTACAGTTTTCGATTCTGCACAAGGCAGATTCATTATCAATAACAAGATCGAAGTTGAAAAAGAAGTTGTTGATGGGAGCATACTTGTCAAAGCTAAATACGACGATAAGGATTGGCTTTATGTTCGCTTGTATATGGAAAATGACTTTTTTGGCCTATTCAACGACAAGACTGACAGCCCTCCACTAGAAATGTCACTTTACAGGAGCAGATGCGGGTTGTGTTGGTAAACAAGCTGCATGACCAGACTGGTGCTCCAATCTCATCTGATTTTGTCAACAAAGAGTGCCTGACGAATTTGGTTAAAGAATTCGGACTTGTTGTCTTGAGAGGCTTCAAAGAGTTTGCAGATGAAGATGCAATGATAAAATCTTACAAAGAAAGATCTCCAAATGGTCTTCTAGAATGGAACTTTGGATTGGTGCATAAAGTTAAGCCCTTGAAGGAGTCGTCAAACATCACTAGCAGTTTCGAAGGTCTACCGATGCACTTTGATATGGTGGCACTTCCACGGTACATGGGAATTTCGCAAGACAGTCACAGGTATGAAGACTTTGTATGTAGAGAATTTTTGCTGTATTGCAGGCAAGGCTGCTCAGACGTCAACGAAGGACAGACAACTTTTGTCGATGCCCATTCTGCAGTTATTTCAATGAATGGAATGAAAATACAGCAATGGAAAGATATCGTCCTACAGTATGAAACACAGGCAAGTACTGGGAAAGATAAGGACGTTTATTTCGGTGGACAAGGCAACTACTATCAGTATCCAATTGTGCAGACATGCCCTTGGACAGGAAAAGACGTTTTAAGATGGCTGCAAAGCTGGACTCCAGAAGAGCACCCAAACAGCAGACAGCTGGGATCACACAAAGTCAAATCTTCCCCATTCGGATTGGAGACTACATCAGAAGAACTTGAAAGCGAAATCTGCCAACTTGCTTTTGACAAAAGGTTTTATTTTGGACACTCATATGAACAAGGTGACCAAGTTTACGTTAATAACTATACAACACTTCACGGGAGGAACGGTTTCTCCCAAATGAGGGAACTTTGGAGAATACAGGCTGTTCCTCCAAGTGACAACCTGCCTGATTATTTTGTTAAACATTCGTTATAAGCGCTCTGTTCTGATATTCTTTAATTTACCTTGTTGAGGATATTCTAGTTATCTGCAATTGTAGCTTCAAGCAAATAAGCATTATTCGTTTTCAGATGAATTTGATTACCCTTGATTCATAGAAATAAAACTTATTCACATTTTGACTTGATCATCAGTCCAATGGACATCAATTTTATTTGATATGTAGTACAGCCCTTTTGAAAGATATCCTTTTCAAAATCTGGTATTGTTTTCAACTCATTCTAACAAGAGGAGAAATTACAAGAACATAGCTATCCAAATTCAAAATTATACTCTAGTTTATTTAAATTAATGATTGAGTTTTGCATTGCCTTCCAAATTTTCCTCCCCCTGTTGCCCTGTCGTGAATTTCCCTTGATTCTAAGAAGTGATAAATTTTATCTCAATTTCAAGGAAATAATCACCTTCCCCCTCCATGTCACTGCATCATTAAAATCTAGCTGGATTCTCTAGATTAAAAGTATGCTTTCAACGAGATTTTTTTTCTCTTGAGGTCCTTGCTGAAATATCTATACTGTTTCATAGATTGCTATAGATTGCTAAAAATTGTTTGTAAGCTGTGTTCTATCATATCACATAGAATGGCTGGTTCTTTTCTAGATAAATATTCAATATATTCAATTCTTCCTATTTTTTTCAATTTTGCCTCAAACTTTCTTGTTTCATTGGGACCATAGTTTCCCCAAAATTTAGGGGACCAAAATTTGAAATTGTTTGCGGTTTCTTTCAATTTTGAACTTAAGCAGATAAAAGAGTTTGTTTGTAAGAAACTAATCTTATTGTGACACCACTGGTTACAGTCACATAAAATTTAGACCCAAACAGGCAAAACTATTATATTAGCTTCGCTTACAGTCACATTCCGTTTACAGTCACTTGCTTTAAAGCAATATTTGATGACTATATTCGGAGTCTATTTGGCCATGTCAATTTTCTTAGGCAATTACAAGAAAATATTACCTAGCCCTAATGCATTTTCATCACTTCTTACAAGAATGATGATTCACCACGCTAGTATTGGGAATGATTTAAAAAAAATCCCCTCAAACAAACGACTCATCAAAACCGCTTTACTTTTCCAACTTCTTTCTTTTCCTTATGCTGGGAAAGACGTTTTTCAGGCTTTACACCTTTTGCACCTTTACACAATTTGCTTATCAATAAACGAAAGAGAAAATACCAAGATGCCTTTTATTTTTACCTGTACTAAATATCATTCTGTCTTAGACTAGAGATTTATTTTTGATTTCATTAGATGATATGGTCACAGAATAAGAATTTTGACATGGTCGATGAGGTCGGGGGCTTGCCTGTTAAAAATTACGCACTTAGAATGGTGTAAAGGCACAGTCTTTTGGTATCAGTTTAGACAAAGACAATTCCTTTCTATATGTTTTCAGAGTTAATCAACAACAAGACTCCCCTTAACCCCTGTTCCCAGGCACCGCGGAGCGTTGAGAAAAGTGGGGGGTCTAAAAAATGGGGGGGGGGCTAAAACGGTATAAAAAGAGGCGCTTTTCTGGTAGTTTGATACTCAATATTTGGCATTTTTTGCAAAAAGTGGGGGCTAAGCACTAAGCCCCCCAGACCCCCTTACTCCGCGGTGCCTGGTTCTCCTTCATGGCGACTCCTGTGTTTGTACAGTTAGATTAGAATTAGAATTAGAATTATCAAATTAGAATTGGTAGACCTTTTCCCGTGAACGTTTTTACCGATTTGGCTCATGGCATATGGCTCAAAGACCAAGATACAACTTTTTTTTGGAGACCAGCCCTGATAAAAAGTGTAACAACTGCTATATTTTACAAAATAGAAGTATTTTACTTATGCTACCTAAGATCTTTGGGGGGCCAGGCCCCCCGGCCCCCCCCCCAGTATCTCGGTCTTTGATATTCGCATCTTTTGAATTTTTTGTCTCCACCCCAGCACCGATTAGCACCCCCGCAGACTCAGCTCAGTCGGAAACGGAAAGGAGTCAGCCATATTGCATACCAGTTGAGTTTAGAATTGGAGTTAGGGTACGATCTGATTTTAGCAGCAAATCGGCGTTTCGGTTTAGGAAAGCTTTTCCATCTAAAAGTTTAAAAGAATAAATCTAGCTTATTTGGTCTGTAACGCTTTTGTTGCTTGGAAGATTCGCGGTTCCGCATTGTCGGGTGTTTCTAGCTACATCGATTTTAGGCCCTGGAGTATGGCTGAAGGTGTGACGCAGCCTGCTGTAGTCAAAGGCTCACCAATGAAATATGTTAAATTGAATGTTGGAGGTTCTCTCTTTTATACGACTATTGGAACATTAACAAGTAAGCCATGCACCATGTTGGAGGCAATGTTTTGTGGAAGAATGGAGGTCTTGGCCGACAGCGAAGGTAGGCCTGGTTAAAATTCCTTTTTTAGTGTTTCCATTTATACATGCATATTGTAAACGGTGCCTTGTTGAAATAATGAATTAATAAGAATGTGGTAGGTAAAACATAATAAAACTGTATGCCCATCAAAATGAGCAGTCTTACTAGGTAAATGGAAAGCATGGAAAGAACCCCATTCTATATACGTATATACAAAGCTTAAAAAATCTTAAATTAACAAAATATTAAAGAAGCAAAATAAGTGTTTTGATAGATAACTAATCATTGAAAGAGCAACGCCATTTTGAACTTTAAAGTGATTTAAAAGCAAGATGAGTATTTCCCTGTTCTAAAAAAATTAATCATGATTTATAAGAAAACTTAAAGATAGCAGTGATTCAAATGTTTGAAGTGCTTTAATTCAATCCACGAGTTGTTTAAAAATACACCATTCTTTATGAAGTTAGATCAGTTTACTTCTAATAACTTATGTTTTAATTTAATTTCTACTATAAACCCTCACTTAGGCCAAATAGAGTTCCTAAGTGTAACATTGCAAAAAGCTATTTCTAGATTTTTTTATTTTTTATTATATAAAAAAACTTCATAAAAGAACTTCATAAAATACCTCTACTGATTCTGCATATGCAAAATCAGGTCAACTATACTTCCTCTTGTAACCTAGTTTTCTGGAGTCATAGCTGAATGGTCCTTTAACAGGAACTGTAATTTTACGAGTTCTTAGATATGGTCATCTCCGTATTCCCTGTCCCTGCTGATACTGTCTCCTCATTGTATACACTGGACCTCCAACCTGATTTTCATTAGTTGGTAGAGGGTTTTGTACAACCATGTTTGTTGTATTGCCTGTGTTTGTTCTATTTGGATTGCCATGCATAGGCCTAGCCCTGAGGGTGAGGACACTCAAGTCGTTATGTTGCATAGGCCTGTTGAAAACACCCCAAAGCGCTTGTTCAACTGAATCAAATTTTTCTTATTTGCTAATGGATTTCTAACTTGAAATTTGCTAATGAATTACTGTAATTTTTGCTCTAGGTTTGATGGGGCAAAAGATTTTGCTTGTGTGGCCATTTCTCAGCCAATTTGAACAACTTTGTTTTTTATATTTAAAAGTATTTCCTGAAGCTCTTTTGGGTAATGAAATCAAAATTCAAAAGTTATAGATAAATATTTTCGTGTTGCCATCACTTTAGAACTCTATTGACAATGATGACAATAGAGTTTAAATTTGCATTTTTGGCAAAGGCTTCAACAAAACTAGTACAACAAATGCGGCTACAGACTTCAAGAAATGAAATGCTATTTGTCATACAGTAACTTTGAAAGAACAAGTTTAAAATTCTCTTCCCTCTGTGATTTTTTGCTGCATTGACTCAGTGGAATAAGCACTGGTTTTGAAGCAGCAAACTTGGGTTCAACGCCCAAAATAGCATTATATGTGTTTTCATTGAAAGTATGGCCAGTTTGTTGTCATTAGCAAAATGTTTTTTGAAAGGTTTCAAAAATATTTTGCCCAAACTAGTTTTCACATTTCTTGAAGAGGGGGAATTGCACCATATGATTTTCTGTTGACGCTTCATCTCTTTTCATTTTTCTCTTTCTTGTTTCCTTGGGGAATATTCAAAATCATCTTCAATCCACTTTACCTAAGAACTTGTTCATACACCGCATTTCTCCCCTGTATATTTTTTGCTTGTTGATAAATGCAATAATTGTTTGTTGATGCCTTTATTTGATTCTTTAGGTATTGCTGGAGGGTGATTAGATTTATTGTTGATGTATATAGAATTGTAATTTGGTTTTTGATTTGGTTAAATTGTGTTATTATGTAGATCAAATCAAATATTCAAAAGCTCTACAGTTTTGTGATCTGTTATAATGGTGAAAGATTGTCCACACTCGTTGAATTTTGAATGATTTGCTTTATTTTCTGGTCAGTTTCTTTTTCTGTTATGTTTCTTGTATTTCCTTATCCATCATATCTGTCTAATCCAATATTTCTTTATCCAAACTGTATTAGTATTATAGGTTCAAGCTTAACATTCATTTCCCAAGGAATAAAAGAATAAAAAAGCAATAAAAACAAATGAAATCTTTTTTTACCTAAATGCAAATCAAAATATATCTTTTTACCCTAATGTGAGGCTCCTAGAGGGCATAAAATGATTGCAGTTATACTGTTTTATGTCTTTTAGTAATCATCATAGAATCACATTTCCATCATGCACAAGCTCACATTTCACATTTTTATTAATTCAGCTAAACGATCTGGCTTTGTGTTGTTGTAAACCAATCTGGTAGTAAAATGGAGCTATTTTGCAATCCTTTTATTAATGAACTTTCCTCTTGATGTATTATAGGCTGGATTCTGATTGACAGAAGTGGTAAACATTTTGGAACTATTCTAAACTACTTGCGAGATGGTTCAGTGCCATTGCCAGAAAGTAAGCAACATTTAGAAGAACTTCTACAGGAAGCAAAGTTTTATCTTCTTGATCAACTGTCTACCGAAATAAGTGATGCACTGAGCAAGAAAGATGAACCTTACCAGCCAGCTTGCAGAGTTCCATTAATATCATCATCAAAAGAAGAAAAGCTTATTTTGAGCTCTACATCAAAGGTCTGTTTTTGCCTTAATATATTTATGTACTATGTACTTATTCTCTATTACACTAGATGAGCAAAAGTATTGCATCAACCCTCTACAAAATGGCTGCACTGCTGCAAATTTTTTATTGCAAATTCAAATGCAAGTTGAATTAGTATTTTAAGATGACCTTTAGGGTGGGAAATAATGGGAAATTTATCAAGGTAAAAGTAATGAAAATGAAAAATGCAAATATATCCTTGTTTCTTCTTATTTATAAGCCATATCGAACACTGCAAAAACATGAAAACTGAGCTATGGCAATAGGAGTACCTGTAATATATTTGCAACAAAAATGGTTTTCCTTTGCACAAACCTGTAAGATTTCAGTGAGTCGAACTTGGAGACTTACTTTTTGCTTGGTTGGCCAAAACTTTTTATTTTTCTGACTCGAACTAAAGTATTTCTCTAAAGTTTTGGACGCATATTTTTCGTGCAGAAGAACTAATTTTGGATACCATTTTGTAACATGTTGCAACAGAATACAATCTATAAAACTTGTCAGTAGCCTTTAACTCCATCTCTTCCAGTCAATTGTGTTGTTGTTTAGGGAACAAATATTACAGCAATATGTTAAAAACAAAATTTAATTTCCTCTTTGAATGAAGATACCATAATTTCTGCAATAAACAGTCGTAAACATTGACCTGGCAGTTCCCAAAAAACCCTAATCAAAAAACGGCTGGAGAAGTGTCACTTTTCGCTAAATTCAAGGCCAATAATGATCTTCTGGGATCACAAACATCTAAATGTGATTTTGCCACAGTTTATTCAAATTTATCATGTGGCGTTCAAAAGTAACCTGCTGCAAAAGTTTTTAATTGAATTTAACAAGTTTTACAAGGGTTTCAAAGCTTCGATACTGTCTAATCAAAAGTTTACTTTTTTGATATTTTAAAAAAGATATTTTCCTCAAAATCAAAATAGAAAGTGTTGCCAATGGTTTTAAGTTTTGTTTGATTGAGTTTTAATCATGGGATAATGCTTAATGGCTTCATAAAAGTGGTTTGGGTTTTGAATGGCATGTTGTTCTCAACTCTGATGCCATTATTAATTTGTCAAAGTGGTGCAATACTTTTGTTCACCTAGTGTGTATACTTGTATTCCTGCCCTCTATATATTCTTGCCTCTCTAATAATCTTGCCTTTTCTTTATACTTTAAAAAATTAATCCCACCTCTCTGATAATCCTGCATGCGGGTTGAGTGATAGAAGAGGAATGTTGATGTCGATTTTTTTGATGAGATTGTCATAGAAAAAGTAGAACACAACACTAGAACAAGAAACCAAAACATGATAACATGTGTAAATGTTCAGTTGGTTGGTTTCTTTTTTTGTTCGTGTTGTTAAGTTCAGTTATGTTAGATATGGCTATACAAATTTTCAAATCATGAAAAGTAGACTACTTTATTTTTTTGTTATTGTGATGAAAATCTTAGCCCGTGTTCTAAAATCGTTTCTAAATTCAATTAATCCCACCCCTTTGATAATCCTGCCTCTAATAATTGTGCATCAATTTAGAAGGTCAATAAACTTTCAGTGGGAATACAAGAAAGAATGCAATATGTAGTGAAAAAGAATATTATATAAACCATAAATTTGGTCTTTTCTGTTGGATATAAAATGACTTTTTTTCCTTTTAGTTTTTGAATCTAATTTTTACCTTACTTTGACAGTGGGCCCTATTGTAAAGAATTTTTCTCTTTGTATTATAGGCTAGCCACTTTAAATATATCATATATATATATATATATACCTTTCGTGATGGGGAAATATTGGATGCATAATATTTTTGCCAATTTAATGTTAATAATATATATGGGAGTTTATGCAATAATATGTTAAGTATTAAATACTTTATAGAGCTGGGCTTTCATTGAAAAGTTCTGAAGATGTATTAATAGTTATAGGTTTGTGTAATCCTTTATCAGAAGTAGGCTATGGTATGCTCAAACAGACCTAATTAGCCAACCAACATTGTCACAGGCTCAAGGTGCGTGATTGCGCACCTGGGCATTTGCATGTCCAATGATGAGACAGTGTGTACATTTTTTCACTTAATTGCTTTTCAAAAAGTAGTGTTAATAGTCCAGCTATGCTTGCTTAGTGTATTACTGTTACAAACTTATGTTGGGATCAAATCTCTTTTGTTGGTGTCTATAACTATAAGACAAATGCTTTATAATACCTTGGTACCACCAAAACCTGAAAATGGCACAGAAAAGCTGTAACATCAGTAGTACTGATATTACTGCTTTTCTGTTCAATTTAAATCTGAAATTATGAATTGCTGAAATTTTTTTTCTTCAAGGCATACTATCAGCCACGCACCTACTAATATCTTTGTGGAGAGGTCTGCATTGTCATATGATTTCAAATTTCTGGAAATCTTTTTAAACTGTTTACTTGGAAATTGTTTATCGTAGACAATAGTGTTTAGGGTTAATTAAGGAATCATAGAATTTAGCTGTTTACTTCTGTGATTCTCTAGTTTAGTGCAATAATCTATTTATAGTAAAGAACAATTTGAGATTCATAGAATCATAATTGTGACATAATTTTTTTACTTTTTCAGCCCCTCATAAAATTAGTATGCAATCGTTACAGCAACAAATATTCATATACAAGGTATGCATAGAAAACAATTTTACTTTACATGTCACACATTTTTATATAGAAAGATCTAGAAGGTATTAAGCCAGTGGTAGATACTTTGTCAAATATTGGGGGGGGCAAGCCTATTGTTTTGATAAGATGGCATCACATATGTCCATTGTTTTAGAACAAAAGACCATTGTCTTAGAAAATATTTGGGGGGGGGGGGTTGGCTGTCTCCCTAACCCCCAAAGCGGCCAAAACTGTCTAAAACTCTGTTTGAAATGACACCCAAATACCTGTTTGTTATAGTCTTCAGGAAAAATGTAATTCGTATAGTTTTTGTATAGAGCAGGATGGTTTTAGTTGTTGATCATATACAATGGTCAATGTCTCTTCTGCCTCAAGCATTATTCTGTAAACTAGATTGAAACAAACTTCCCCTACTTGCTAGCCTTACCCTTACTAATTATTTGTTGCATTCTGAAAACCATAAAGGTCTGTTCTCTTTTTTCTTCAATTCTTCTCCCTTTATTGATAAAGGTATTAGATCAAAGAACTAAATAACAAATAAAACATGTCTATTTAGAAACTCACTTTACTTGCAGTCAATCAGATGACAACTTGCTAAAAAACTTGGAACTATTTGACAAGCTAGCACTTCGGTTCAATGGCAGAATCATCTTTATAAAGGACATAATTGCAAATGATGAAATATGTTGTTGGTCATTTTATGGTTCTGGAAAGAAAATTGCAGAAGCATGCTGCACATCGATTGTGTATTCAACAGAAAAGAAACAAACAAAAGTGGACTTTCCAGAAGCAAGAATTTATGAAGAGACACTCAATATTCTTTTATATGAAAACAACAACTTGCTTGATGCAGAACTTCTCAGAGCTACAAAAAGGGTAGCATTAGACAAGGATGATCCAAATGAGACTCGAAGGCAGAGATTGCATGCGCTTGCCACTGAAAATTGATTTTTGTTTCATTCTGTGATCCATTCTAATATGACATACTGTTCACATTAAAAAAGAATTATAATTTATGCTACCCATATCACCTCTAGAATAGTTTGTATTTAGAAAGTTTTCATTGAAGGGCACATGTCAACCAAAGAATGTAAATAAATTTGTGCCATGGACTTCTTGATGGTCTTTTAGGTAAATTCTGTATCATAAAGCCAAAACATGTGCTTCCTTAAATAAATAAAATTTACCATTATTTATTTTGCAATAAAGAATAATTCATAGTTTTATATATTACTCCAAGTTTGTTTTTCTTTCAAACAATAGAGCTCATCATGTTGCAAAGCTTCTTTTTGATTTTGTTTGAAATTTTCTAGTTTCTAGTTTTGGAACATATTCTTATCCAAAACCGTTTTTAAATGTACTTAAAAGCGGTCTTTCAAATAATTAGTCTTAAGCAATTTTGGTTAAATGTCTTAATTTAATTCATTGCCATTGGTAGAAATTAACCGCTCTTTGCAAGTGGGAATGTCATGACAAAATCAAACTCAAATTTTTGCAATATTGAGCAAATCTATTCCTTTTTAATGTCATAGATTAGCAAACTTGTAATATTAAATCACAATTTATTTCAGTGTTCATGTTTTCAGAAATCCGTGAAATAAAATGCTGGAATTCGTAGTTTTTCATTCAATGCTAAGTCAAATTATTGCCCAAAAAATGAATTTTGGCGATAAATGAATTTTTTAGAATTTTTTTCCTACATGTTATCAAAGGTTCACATCTTGAAATACTGCACCACAGTCAATAAAATGAAATTTGCTAGATTGGCAATTAAAGTGTAACTCTAAGAATTAAGAGATTGTGTTTAGAGATGTGATTATTTGCCTTCAAAACCATTCAAACATATTCATCCAAAGCAGGGGTGGGCAACGTACGGCCCGCGGGCAAGAATCTGTCACAGGAAGATAATTTTTGTGGCCCGTGAGATGAAAAATATTACATTATAACTTTTTTGGTTTGCAAAGATGATTATTCGAGAGGTCGCAAACACTGACAAAGTTCGCAACTGTATACATCGATTCAAAATAAGATTGTCTTCATCAAACGTGGGAATTATGGAAATATTTGTTCGCTATCTGTGGTCACGAATTCATCCTGCTTAAAGACAGGACTGCAGAATCTTAGAAGTACTGGGCGATAGTTAACAAATGCAGCAAGAGCGATTCTTACTGGGCGCTCTAATGGCAGTTGAGCAGGGATCACGGTTGTCCCTATTTTGTCAAGTTGTCGCTGTGTTGAATAAAATTATGTTTACGTATATTTAAGTGAATGGTCTGAGCTAAACGTCGATTGGTGGATAATTCTGCATTTCCTTTCTAGGATATTTTCTCCAAACCCAGAATCATGCCATTTTTAATTCTGGTTGGGGTTTTCAGTTTTCCTTTTCTCACTTACGGTTATGACAATTTTATCTATCGTTGCAAACTATCTAAACGAGAGGTTTGTGATTCTAATGTTAGTAAATTTAAAAGAAAGTTTTTCATTATTTTTATTATCATTTTATTACACAAATGGTATTAGTTTTTCTTATTACCTTTGGGCAGCTTAAAGAAAAGGTTTGGAGGATCTGGCCCAAAAGGTTGCCTAAAAGGTTGCCCACCCCTGGTCTAAAGTATCGTTGGAATGGTTTAAATCTTTCTATGATAATGCTTCATTTTATAGATTCTCGAAACAAAGTATCATGCCGCTTCCAGATTCATGTCCACCTTTCACAATTAAGTTAACTGTTTTATTGTTCCAGGAAAAGACTCGTAGGCGGGCCGTATCCCTGAAAATTGAAATCTGGCTTGGTATGATCATCGCGTACCTTTTGCCCAATCCCCAATCCAACTACTATTGAAAATTCTTTTTCTACTCGACTGCAAAATATTAATCATCAATGATAAACCAAAATGAACATTACACATTGCATATTTTTAAAGAAAGAGATACAACTTAAGAGATACAACCTGATGGCATTCAGTTTTCTAGCCAAACGTCCTAGCAGGTTTTATTTCTTATGGTAACGAGTTCCAAATTGTTGTTTTTCTCCAGTTTTGTCCTTGTTTCGTTTTTTAATCAAGAGCTACGTAAAGTTACATTCGTTAAAGAAGAGATTGTTAAACTGCTATTAGAAGAAGAGAAGTGCTGTAGAAGAGCGGTAAAAGACCGGTAGGCACTTTGGTATTCGATGCTTCATTCACCCTGATTGCGGATTCTTCTTTGATCATGAAGGCACAGAAGCGTCTTCCTCCTCAAAGATCTGATAATGTATGATGTTAGTGCGCTGATAATATATGCGTAAGTATGATAAATGGTAAATTATTGATGTGCAATATTTTCTTCCCTTTGTAAGCGCATCGATAGGCATCTAGGTGCTAGGGCTGTCTACTTGTAATCTTTGCCTGTTACCCCTTTGATTGGTGAGTTGCTCGGTAGGTACATTACTGATCTTGACCTATTTTTTATGAAGCGAAAAAACAAGTGAAAATATTATGGTCGTGCACGGTCATAGAGACCGGAGGAAGGTTTGAGAAACAATAGAAATTTAGAGGAAGGTTTTGGTAGGAAATTATTGTAAAAACAATTGAAACAACTTTTTACTTGTTTTTTTTGCTGCGCTTTTAAATCACACGTTTAATCTACCGCAGAGTCGATTGGTGGCGCGAGCCACTAGACTTTGGGAGGGGGGAAGGTTTTGACAGAGAAAAATTTTGACCGGAGGAAGGTTAAACCCAAAGAATACCAACCCTGGGGGACACTCCCAGACTACTTGACCTGACGCCGTCAGGCTGACGGTATGTGCCACAGAACAAGGTATCCTTTTTCGATAGAAATTTTTGGACAAGGTATTATGAATTGCGTCAATATTCTGGGACAGGATATCAAATCTAGAAAATTTGTAAACCAAAAAAAAGAAGAACAGATCACTCTGATGAAAATTTTTTTATGGGACAGGGTCAGGGTGTAAAAAGGTTCTCCGCACTTTTCCATCACTTTCCAAGTCAAGTGCCCCCCCCCCCCCACAAGCTTTGTATCAGGATTGCTAGATGCTTTGAATGGTTGGCCGCCAAATACTTTACGTTTGACGGCCAAATTCGGCCAGCCAAACGAAATATACAAAAAAGCTATATGTTTGCTAATTTTCTGCTATCTTTTATTTTGTTTCTCGATTCGTTATTTGCAACTTCGAGATTATTTTAACAACATGTTGAATATTTTCTATGCTAATGTTGTCGTTTTCTTTTTTTTGTGGCTTTCAACATGCGGCCAAAATTCGGCCAACCTTTGCTTTTTCGGCCAAATTAATTTTGACGGCCAACAACATTGAAAAAAGGCCAGAATGGAACAATTTGGCCGTTTTGACGGCCAAATGGCTTTATACGTCATCACGCGCGAAGTAACGCGACTTATGTATGGTTGGGGGCTGGGACTAGTGTTGTTGATGGAGACGCCATTTTGTTGTCGGTCTGGGAATTGTAATCCTATAGAATTTTGCACAATTTGTTTGTTAATGTATCCACGAGCATTTGCTGAAAAAAGACATCGACAAAAGCAGAGCAATGGACGATTTTGTTGCATGGAAATACGCACTAACCTTCTGGCCAGATCATTAATTATGGATCGAAAGGATTTGCTTTTTGTTGGTTTGTAAGCCGCGACTTTGGAAACCATGAAGTTTTATTTCAGTCAATTGCCCATATCACCTTGAAATGCGCAACGTGAAATTCACAATTAAGTGAATGATCATATCGGACAATAACTTTAAAAACGAGATATTACTATGGTGTTGTTTTTAAGCAAGAGGAGAGTAAATTTGAGCGTTTTGTCATATTGATAGTACACTTACGTTAGTTGTGAAAGCAAAAAATTCGACCTAAAGTAAACAATGGAAATGGATGAATATATGTCGTCAAGGACTCAGTATCTCGAAGCTCTGCGTATTGTCTGTAGAATTCCTTGCATATAAAATAGAACGATTTAATTAAATACACAGCCATGCCAATCTCAGCTTCGCATATGAATGGTGTACATCGCAGCCGGCTGCCTGTCCCTCAAAGCAGCACCTCATCGAATTCCCCATCAAATCTTAAAAGAACAAATGATGAATTAAGACAGCATGTATCTAGACTAAAAGCTGAGCTAGATGTTGAAAGGGCAAAGTCAAGGCAGATACATCGGGATAAAGTTGCTGACATTAAAAAGCTTAAAGATGAATATGACAAGGAAAAGTTTATTGTTCAAGGTTCTGTTGTTGATAAAATGAAAGGTGAACATGAATTTGAGATGAAGAAATTAAGAGAAACTTTACAAAAGGAGAAGGAGATTGAAATCAAACAAATCTTGAGGTTTAAGGATGAAGAACTACGGACTACAAAAAAGATGATGGCAGAGGATAAAGAGTTCTCACTTAAGGAGCAAGATGATCGTTTAAAAAGGGAGCTGGGTAGTAAAGCTAAGGATGGTAATAATGAAACCGAGAATAAGCTAAGACAAGAACTGAATGAATGTAGGAGACAAAAAGTACATATTGAAGAGGCCCTTAAGCAAAAGTCTGCTTCTGAAGCTGAAAAAAGTGATATTATTAGAAAATTAAAAGAAGAACATGAGAAAGAAAACCAAAGAGTTATAAGAGATGCAAGAATACAGATTGCAAGAAATGTCCAAGAACTTAAAAATGCACAGAAAGCATTGAATGAAAAAGAGCAAGAGATTTCAAAAAGGGAATTAGATCTGACAAGGCTAGAAGAGCTCAAAGATCAGTTATCAGAGAAGATAAGAAGTGAACATATCGAGAATGGAGTAACTGTAAGTTTTTTATTTCTAAATTCAATGCCACATTTGAAAATATAAATTCTTTGATTGTTATTTAAAGGACTGTATGTTGTTTAAACTGGCTGTTTAATTTCTAGGCCCTTGTGCACTGACTAGACCTTTTTGCAGCGAGAGCCTATGAATTATCTTTATTAGTTTATTTTACTGAAAAATCATTTGGAAATATGCCTTATCAGTGTATATATGAGCTTGATTTGTTTTCACTTCTATTTAGCTGCTATATAAGGAATTACTTAAACACCTTTTTTGTTCGGAATTGGTGATTAAAATGCCACCTTGCTTGATAGAAATTTCACTCATAGTCTACCTTTTTGTTTACAATAAGCAAGTTTCTTTAAAAACCTTTTTCAGGCCTATACACAATACAATTCATTACAATAATGTTTTTGTGCTGTATGTCTTGAAAAATTGATATTTATTTTTGCTGTTTAGTACTAATAGGATTAGCGCTTATCTTGTTAAAAATACTACAAAATCAACTAAATACATAAAAACTTTGCATTAAAATGCTAAGGAAAGTTATAATCCAATCCGATTTGTTTTTGTGTTTCAGTATGAGTTTCATCAAAAAGTATGGCAACACAAAAGTTTGTTAGTATATATTTAATAAAAGGCCAATGAAACATTCAAGACATTGTTTTGGTTCATATTTAAACAGTTTTTTAGTTTTACTTGCTGATCTTTCCACATCATGTTTTAGTTCTTTCCACATCACAGAATATGATGGACTTTAAAGCTAGATGGAAAGAGAGCTATTTTGTTCTACAAACAAGTTGTTACTGTGGATTTTTTGAGTAATGACATGTTTTTTATTTTTAGAAAACTGATAAAGAATTACAGCTAAGAAATGCAGAATTAAAAAGGAATTTAGATGAAGTATCTAAGAAGTTATCATTAATAGAGAAAGAATCTTTATTAGTAAGTGTCATCTTTTTTCTTCTATTAATGCCCTTACACCTTTAGAAGGCTCTAAATTGTTAAGAGAATTTTTGTCTTTAATGATATCAGAGCCATTGTAAGTACCAAGTCATTATTTGAAATCAGTTAATTAACTGATAGGTTGTTGCGCTTAATTTTCATAGAATATTCTGTTTTGCTGTTTCAAATTAAATCATAGGTATGCCCTGACATGATTGCAGGTCTCCTCCGGCATTATGAAATCTTTTTCAGAGTATATATTCACAAGAAAAATATCATTTGAAACTTGAAAGTTTGGTATGGCAAACTAACCGTATAATTTCTACTTACAAACAGAAAAGAACTGACATGAAAGATGTTGAGTCATCGCCAAGATCAGATTCTCGTGTCAAAGAGCTTAAAAAGAGGAATGGAGAACTGGTAAACTTAGCAAAGAAACTGGAAGAGAAAGCTAAAAGACTTCAGGAAGAATTGAGAGATCTGGTAAGGATTTTAAACATTGTGAAAGTTATTAAATCCTCATTGGCTATGTGTCATGAGGCTCTATAAGAATCTTTTGCTACATTGCACTTCTGTTATAGCCACAACTTCATTGTTGTAATGATGATGTTATAGCCACATATTGATTTTTGTAGCAGCTACTTTCAGTGGGTAATCTCTTTTATTAACACTTCCATGACGAGCTTGATGACTAAAACAAACAGCATGTATTTGTGTTTGGCGGTATTTTTCTTAGGATGGCAATGAGGGCTTTTTTAACTCAAGCACAAAATAAAACTTAATGTTTATTTCTGAAACATGCTCATTTTTCCACGAGTTTGGAATATTTGCCTGCTTGTATAAAGGTCCTTTATTATGGTAGACTCAATTGGCAGCCATCTTCTGTCATTTTCATTATCATCAATATTTGTGAACAAACACTTTTCAGCTTCAAATAAAAATAATTAACAACATATTAACATTATGTTTTTGGGGAAATCAAATAAATATATGATGAATCACAACTCTTCAAAGGAATGGTGTTTGGGCCCTGTACTTTTAAAGGTTCAAAAGATATGTACTCCCTCAACTAGACCATGTTTCAAAACAAGCAATTGATTCTTTCTCTCAAATCCTGTCAGGGATATTGTTCCAGTTTTTGACAGCAGAGGAGTAGGACAGGTTCTGGTAGCTCATTGCTCTTTTAAAAATTTCGTAACTAAAAGTCTTGCCCTACACAGCTGTTCATTATCATTAGCCCTTACAGTAGTATTGGTACCAAACAACTGGTTTATCTCTTCTGATCTCATTTTTGCATTTGTATAGTGTAAATGGCATTTTGCAGTGTTTCCTTGTCAATTGATGGTTTGAATTGATCCTGTGTTGGCATTTGTAGAAATCAAAAGAACCTGGAGTGAAAACATCTTCATCAGATGCAGTTGAATCATTTAAGAAGTCTTTCACAATGCAACGAGCAAGAGACTTAGCTGAAAATGCTAAAAATCTGATGGCCAAAGACAAAGAAATAACCCAGCTAAAAGGAAAAATAGCAACTCTTGAAGAACAATTGAGGCAAAAGGTAACACTAGCTTATTAAAACGACAGCAGTTCCTCTCACTAGCTTAATTAATTCCTGATTGCTCAAAAAGTATAGTTTGTTGATGCGAGTGTATTTGTAATTTTTTTGTTTAGCTAAAAGAACAGTGGAACAATTTGCTTTCAACTGCTGTCAAAAATGTGACTTTTGTTCATTCCATTTTAAGTGCAATTGATCCACTTACTTCAGTATAAATCTATTTTTGATAAGGATCAAACTATCACATAATTTTATTGATTTTAATATTAAAATATGCATTTTTTAATAATTCTTGCATTTGTCTGTTCATCCAGACTCTCTCTGGTATCCCACAGGTTTTAGGAAGACTATTATATTATAATCAGCTTTTATGTTATACCTGCTTGCATTTTAGCTGAATATTAAACATGTTTTCATGCATTGTTCTAGGTAGAGGATGTCTCTGAAACAGAGAAATTAGAAACCATCATTCATCAAATTGAAAAAGAAAAACTCAAGCTTGAAAAGCAACTTTCTGTTAAAATGTCTTATGAGGAGGTAATTATTGATAAATCTATTAATACTAACAATTCAACAAATTTTTTATGTAAATATTTAAGGTATTTAACACAAAACTTGCTAGTCTTATGACATCTTATGCTTTTAAGATCTTATTAATCCTTTTTTCTCTTGTCTAGCAATATATTATCAATCATGTGGTTTTTATGAAAAATGTTGCTAAATGAAATCGTTACTTCTTGCTGGAAGGACCTAAGAAACACAATAGAAATGTATTGTTAGATATTTTTCAAGCCATTGAATGAATTTTTTCCAGAAACAACAATCAGCAAAAAGGAAAGAAGAAAATGTGCTGAGAGATGAACTTGAAAGTATAAAAATTGAGAAAGAACAGCTCGAAGAACTTGTGGATGTCCAAAGGACTAAAGCTAAGAAACACAAAATTGAGGTTGGCTTTTCCTTGGATAATTGTCAATGTTTAAGCACAGTATTGATTTGCTCGTTCTTGTGATGAGTTCAAAAATTTCATGTCCTGTCTTGATCTAGAAGTTAATAGGATTTCTTAGGTTTAATAAAAAGCCAAAAGTAAAGCAGTCATATTATTTCTAGGATGTTTGCAAAAATATTTAGGATATCTACAGTTGGAAGATTTTCTAAGGAGTTTCGTTCCTTGTAAAGTGATAGGCTATGAAACCATTTTTACCTCATCTGTCATTTCCATATAAAGTTGAGCTTTTGATTGCGCTGAGCTCTCAGATTCATATGCAAATTGATGCTTCACTGAAACTGCTCTTTTGTGTTGTGTCAATGCCCTCAATTGACTGTTTTCAATGCTAGTTTTTTTCGTTTTTCTTTCCCGTTGGTCAAAATGTATCCACATATTTAAAAGTCTATAAATTGTTATACTTTTACTTGTAGATAGAGGATCTGAAAGAAAGAGGAAAGCAATGTGATCATTTACTTGAAATATTGAAAGAGAGAAACGAAGAGTGTGACGCTTTGGTGAGTCTCTTGTGGATTCTTTTTTCTGTTTGCGCTGTTAAAAAGATGCTTGTTACACAGATTTTTTGTGGGAAAAAATTTTATGCAAATAAAGGCGCTCGAAGTTTGTGTAATTGGAATCCGAATTATATCGACAATTTGACTTTTTTTCTAAGAGTTTTTTGGGACAAATGTAACATTCTTGCAAAATGCTTTAGGAGCACTCATCATGCTTGGATTTGCTAGCATGTTTAATTCCTTCAATGTTTTTGCGATGAACAAAGATAGTAGCAAAGGCTTGAAATTCTTCTTGCTTTGATTTTAGATTTAAGTTCAAGAATGATTTAAGAATTGTTTTAGACGCAGTATCATAAGTTTTAAGAATATCGACGTTCTGCAAAAATCAAGTTATTCTAATAAAAAGTTAGTATTTTGAATTTGTTCACGGTTGCTTGTTTCAAAGGCTCATATTTTGTGGCTCATGTGAGAGGAAGAGTGCTATCGTGGCAAAGTAAGACATTAAATGGCTGAATGGAAAAATCTTGAACTCCTCGAATCCTTATTATGAAATTAACAGGAATTTTACCATAAACATCTTTAATCAGTATCCAATGAAACTCACTGAGTTCAATCTTCTCCATTCCAGACCAAAGATTTGCAGTTAAAAGGAGCAGAGTTACTAGAACTTAAAGAGCTTCTTGAAGTTTCTGAGAAGAAGCGGAAAAATTTGGTAAATATTTTCAACTATAGCCTCATAGATTCACGTCTGTTTTATAGTAGATGTTTATTATATAAGTTGTTTCCAATGCAAAATAAGGAAACATCCCCAATAGTATTTTATTTATGCTCCGTATTGTCAATATTGAAGCTTAAGGATTTGGGTGTATTAAGGTTTTCTAAATCAGCTTTTTTCTGCGAAGGCTGTGGTTATTAATTTACCAGTCAGCAATTTGTTTCGAGATTTAGTTATTTTCTGAAATCGGCAACAAACGGCAGCCCGTTTATTTTTTGAGATTTGAATACCACCGCTCCTTACCTCAAACCCTTTGTTTGTAAAAAAATTCGTCTTAAAATTTTGATGTATTGATACAATATTTTACTATTCTTTGTTTGAAACTGTCGTGCAGGTGTTGCATGGAGGCTAGTTCGCATAAAAAAATTGCTCTTTGTATCTGCCAGTCTAATAAGAAGGAATCCAACATTTAGTCTTCAAATGTTTTGGATACATAAAGGAGGCATTCTTGCTACGATTTTTTCACCTCGGCAATAACTATATTTTCTTATAAATTACTAACTTAAATATAAATAACAAAGAGATGATAAAGAGCTAAGAAAAAGAAAACAGCTCATTCATTTTGTCCTCGAGATGATGGAAACTAATTGTATTAAAGAAGGCAATTCCTGTTTCATATTGCCGACCTTGAGTTGGTCTTCATTCGACATACGGTAAGTTGCATTATGGGCGATGTGTTATGACGCAATCCTAGATGTTACGAAGGTGACTTGGCGAAATAACTAGCACCTTTGGTGGGTGTGATGGTCACCCTGGAGGCAAACATGGCCTGCTTCAGAAATATTTATTGGTTTCAAATTTTTCTTGTCAAGATTCAAGAATAATTGTACTTTTGCCAACGTTTAAGTGGATTTCTTTTAACGATTTTAGGAAACTGAAGTTGAGAAACACAAGCTAATGGCAACTAACCTGCAAGACAAACTCAATGAACAAAGCCAGAAAATAGTTGATCTTGAAGATGTAAGTGATGGTGTAATTTTCTTTGTTTTAGTAGGCCAAGCCATCGTCACTAGCCTTGTGTTTTAAAAGAAACATGTCAACCAGTCGAGCTTATTACAACTTTTGTCGGTGAAAGTAATCTTTGTTTCAGTTTTCATTAAATTTCCAGCTACGACCCCCTAAGATGCAGAACATCTTTTAAATTGTTTTTCTCCCTCATCTACAAACTCTGTTTTTTGCGTATCCTGATTTTCAGCAGACATTTATCAAGATAGGTATGATTTCCACAAATAATACTAAAAAGGAAGGAATCACTAACCCCACTCCCTTCTACCACTCCAAAAACGGGAGAATGCTGCTCCTATTTGCTAGTATGGCAGAGCAATGTTACCAACTTCATCTTATAAATCCTAATTCACCTTTTTATTGTATTGAAAATCAGATTATAGCTTTCGTGAAAAAGGCTAGGCAGTTATGTGCTATGTAATAAAACCTTTATTATTTGTAAATATTCAAAACTCATTATTTCTGTAAACCATTTTGTTTTTAGCTGCAAAACGAATACGAAGTTTTAAAACAGCGCCTCTCAAATGCTGAAAATCAGTGTCACGTGATGCAAGATCAAGTGGAAGATTTCCAGGAAAAAATAGCAAGCTACAAGAAGATTGAGCAGGTGATTTTCGATATGTCATCACATCTGATTTGTTTTGGTCCTTGGTGTTCAAGTGATGATGTTGCCACATTCCCTGGCATCACCTTGTGTCGTTAGAATGACACATCCAGTGGCAAAATAACATTTCCGCTGCCGTGTTTATTTGAATAAAATTAGAATTTATAGTTTTATGAATCATGTTAACAATATTGTTCCACAGCTTTGAATGTTAACTATGTTTACCACTCTTTGAAATTCCGAAAAATCCACATGATCCAGGATCTCAAAATATTTCAAAGTCCTTGATGAAAATCTTTGTTATGCTAAACTTTTTAACTGGTAAGAATACTGTTAAACGTTAAACGACTTTTTAATTAAAGTACACAACAAAACAGTTGCAAGTGCCATTGCTCTGTTTATCGATACCAACAATAGTGTTCGGTCTGTCGTAGTAATTCAGTTGTCTTAGTGGCCTTGTCTCAAAAGACCTACCGTGTTGCTAGATCTATTGTAAACTTACTGACTTATTGTTTATCGGTTCACAGAAGGTAACCACTTTCTCATTTGATTTTTTCTTATAACAAAAATATGCAGGATGCTCTTTACTTTGATAATTTCATTACATTTACGCGATTGCTAAATACGTTACTTCTTTAACAGCAATTGAAAGACCAGGAAGAGAAATGCAAGGTCTGGGAACGAGATTATGATTACGCGGTAGAGCAAATTAACAAGCGGAATAAAGAGATCACAGAGTTACACGAGGTAATTAACTATCGTCTGTTATTCGTAGCGTACCATATTCTCTCTTGTCTTCCCGCTGCGAGTTTATTGATTAAGCCTCCTAATTTAATTCGGGATTAGCAGAGAGGCGGGATTATCAGAGAGGCGGGATTAATTTTTCAAAGTTTAGAGAAAAGGCGGGACTATTAGAGAGACGGGACTATAAGAGAGACGTGGGAATAATAGAGAGGGTAGGAATATAAGAGGGGAATATGGTATCTTCAATGATAACAATATTTTTTTATCGTTCGGATTCATTGTCTTCTACAATCCTTCCTTTGGGCATTTTGCCAAACGTTCCATAACCTGTCAAAAATTTCAAAAACGCGTGTCTTGGATTTGTTAGCTTATTTTTTCATCTACAGTTACCTTTTTCATTATGATAAGTAATTTTTATTATCACTATTTACTTAATATATTTTTTCACATCATGTTTTATTGTTAGTTTGTAGAGAAATCTTTGTAATTATGTTTCTTATAGGTAAGAACTGGGATCCTAGATTTAGAATATTATCCCTGCTTAGGTTCAATATCAGGCCTAGGTAGGGAAATTCTTTTGGTATTTCCACCTAGGGTAGCAGAGTTAGGTTAGGTACGAACAATTTTTCTAAGAGGACTGTATATAAATATCGAGTAAGGAAAAAATGAATATATATATATCTATGACAAAAATGTAATACGATAAGTGTTACTTGTCTGTTCGTTCACTTTGTCTTTGTCTTTGGTAGAATTCAATTTCGCATAGAGAGTTCCAACTTTCAAGAGTGATCTTCTGCAATTTCGTGAGAGTTCCTTCGGTTTTACGTACTTCGTATTCTTGCATACATTCGAACAATACTGAGAGTTCCAACTCATCAAATCATAAAAAATATAAAGCTATACAAACGGGTTTGACCCCAGCCTTAAGCCCCAGGACGCGTCTCGTGAGCAGCAAAACGCCACCGCAATTTCTTACACTAGAAGGTCAGGATGACTTTACCCGATACATCATTAATATCACTTTTTGCATAGATCTTGACTTTCAAATTCTCTTTCAGACCCAACGAAACATGAAAGAAAACTACGAAGATGAGATCGGGTCGCTTAGGGCTGAGATATCTCGTCTTGAAGACATCTGTGTTGATTTAGAAAGCAAGGAAAGTGATTATAAAATGATGCTCGAGGCAAAGAAAGGCATAAGCGAAAGCAGAAAATCTACCAACCATGTTTACGTACAAACATCACGACCGCAAACGCCTGTTAAAAGCGATGACCGCTTGGTAACTGAAGATTTTGCTCCTGGTATGCAGGCTTTTTCTTTATTGCAATTATTGGTTTTGTTCAGCTCTTGTTCAGAAGTAGAGGTGTTCATTTAAGTTTTATAGTCGCCCTGACCTATTAGCAAGGTGTAGCTCGCCAACTTCTCTGCGTAGAAGTAAGATGTATTGCAACGAATAATTAATTGATGAAAGTCAAATTTTTTTATTACGAGACCAAGGATGTTTTTGGATCCTATCTGGGAAATTTTTCGTATTTCTTTCATTTTTTGTATTTCCCATTTGTTTACAAAAAGTAATACTCCTGCAATTGCTAGAATGCTCTGACTGTCATGCGTGTTGGTCAGACTATTTTCATCTATGTGGGTCTTTGGTTCATTTTTCAAAATTTATATTAACTTTGATGAAAGTTGTAATGTCAATATTTTTAAACTCATTTCTATTTTTAACAGATGTAGAAACAGCATTTGTGACCGAAGCAGGTCTAGAAGAATTTGATGATTTTATCATCCCAACAAATACGAAACAAAACAAACCGCCTCTGGAGTCAGGTATGTCTCCAAGTCAGTTGCTAATGATAGACTAACGTATGTGGTAGAAAAATCTGTCATTGTACGTCGATTGAACGCTGTATTTTCATCAGTATGTATTGAAATAAGAAAAAGATTCCTCCAAACTGACAAAGATACCTCCAATCTGATTTGAGTCAAAATTATTCTCAGTCTAGATTCTGACATGCTAAAGACACTGTAGATGGCCGACAAAGAAGAAATTGCTAAAATTTCGTTTAAGTGTTGCACTATTTTTTGTTACCTTTCTCAGATCAACGATTTTCTGAACCTTGATTCTTCGCTAGTTGTTTTTTTTGCAGATTTTGGGTTTCTTCTTTTTCTCTAGACATTTTATTAACATATAAGGATAGGTTATCTTGCGATGGTTTTCTGCATGTTCTCAAAACTAACATCGCTGGTATCTATTGAGGCTAAGAATGTGGCATGTTTGCTTTCACAGAGCCAGATAATTCATTAAAATGCGAGGACGATATTTTGGATGTTGCGTCATCAAGAATAGCCGCTTTGGCCGCCATGTCTAGTAGTGAAGGTAGAATGCTCTTGTGTTTCTTTTGAAGTTAACTGTATATCAAAATGCATATGCCATTGTTCAGTGTCTATGTCAATAGACATGTCAAATGTCAACCTGAAAAGGTTAAAATAAGGAATCTAATCGCCCGTTATGTATAGAACGGGCTCGATATTGGATAGTAAAAGTTTAAGCATTCAATTTCTGTCTATTGCCATTCAGGGGATTTTAGTCGTGAAGATCAGCCGATTGATGTTCACTTCAGTGACGATGATGAATTGAATGGATTTGATAATTATGGGGTAAAGCAAAAACCGGACCGATCCAAAAATAAGATGGTGACACAGAATGGTTTAGCCGACACTGGTGATACATCAGATGAGCTTTCGCTGTCTCTGGATGAATTCAGTGATGGTGAAGAGGAAGAAGTCCTACCACATGATAACGAAATGCCAAAAGGAACTGCCAAGACACGTGGCAAAGAACGTACTGCTTCTAAGAAGCGTTTGAACTTCCAAGAAAAACAGAGCAGCGACAGTTCTGTTTTTGGACCAATCACGCCCCAGGCGTCCGTCGATTCATTAGCTGATAACGATGCACAGGGTGTCAATAGCAATGTTGAAAATGATCTGTCAGAAAATAAAGTTGAGAAACTGTCTGTTTTTATTGCAAAGTACACATATGACCCATTGCAACATTCACCAAACGAAGATCCCAGTCTGGAGTTGGCATTAGAAGCTGGCGATTATGTTTATATTTTTGGCGATGCAGATGAGGTATGTTATGTCGTGGATTGTTACTTTGAATAGAGTATATAAATATATTTTATTTAGAGCCCCATATGGGAAATATGAACTTTAAAGCCCTGCTCGTACTGATTCATACAATACTGCTTTGCCATATCATCTAATTGATGGAAGGCGTAGCCGCAGGACTATACGTGCTATTAGCTGCCAGTGCCTAACCTGCGATAACAAATGAAATCTTACCTGCTGGAAAAAGAATAATTTGGAAGCGTAGACATTTTGAAATAGGCCAAAGTCAGCATGGCTTTGCTATTTTTCAACATTTTTCCAAAAAGACCCTTTTCCAGGGAATCTAAAAAAATTGTTTTCACCCAGGATGGTTTTTATACGGGTGAACTTGCAAATGGTCATCGTGGATTGGTGCCTTCAAATTTTGTTGAAAAGATAACAGGTAAATCACAATTTTTCCCATAATAACTTTCTTTACTAATTGGATGATTTTTTCATGTTTATTTTAATTCACCTTTTCCTATTTATTTGCCACTTATACTCAAAGATTTTGTTTGCTTTTCAGATGAAGGCCAATTGTTCCCAATAGCAAATGGTCATGAAGCTTGTAAGTGCTCGTTTTCGTCATTCTTCTTTACATCTCAGCATCTCATCTTTACAAAACCCTTTAATGTCAGAATGTAACGCAAACCTTTAGACACCTGTTCTATCAAATCAATTTCGGCTTTTGCAGGAAAATCACATTTCTAAACTTTTTCTATTTGAACCTTCTAACCATCATCTTGAAGATGCAGATATTCACCTTGCCGTTCCCTTATTTTGTCATCCCTAAATTTTCGAAATGCCGAGAGTCTCGTCTTAACATGTAAAGACATTATAGAAGGTTCTGATACGTCCAGTTTAAAAAAATAGAATTATTGCTGCTGCCTCTTATGGAAGGAAACTGAAAAGTTATCAGCAAACAACCTATAACAGATTTAAGCACTAAACAATAAAGGGTAAATAGCAAAGGGGATTAATTCACTTAAAGGTTGCTCTACGTTTTGTAATTGCCTGACCAATTGATTCAGGTTTTGGCTTTTCAGCTTTCAAAAATTTCATTTTCAATGTAAGCTTTTTTGTGGAGAATAAGGCAGCTCTACGTTGCTACACAGTAAATCACATTTTTTGTGATCAGTCAGACTAGCTGCCTAATGACACCATTAAGCGTGCATCAACTACAAATAACCGTCCAGTTCTACTCACCGAATCTTGTGCAGGTTTGTGTATACAGATACAGCATCGACTACTTTGCAAGCGACGGTTTAAGGAGCAATCTCCAGTTTAACTTCATTATTTTTTCAGATCCTGGAGATGAAAGTGATGAAGATCTTACTGAAGGTATGTACCTTTGAAAGCATGTGAATTTTAGGAGCCAAGGAAACTCTGTCTGGACTATTTTTAGATCTTTCTTGTTTTGCACCATTTTTTGTTTTTGTTTTGTGCTAAAGTTTCAGAAAATTGCAGGTTAGCCGCTCTGGGAGCACGAAAAGGCATGAAATAAATTCTTGTAAAATGATTTTAATCGCATCAAATATTTACTTTGAATCTTTTAATTGATAATTTAAAACCCAAGCCATCTTTTCCTGCCAAAGTAAAAAAGATAAACATCTTTAGTATATTCCCTTATTGGACATAAATAATATCTTATGGTATTCAGTAAAATTGAAGTAATTTAGATATTAATGCAAATATTTATCAGTATTTGACAAGTATGGTTGTTGAGATTCAAAAGAACTATAACTAAACGAAATGTTTTTATCCAAGTGAACATATCAACATTATTTTATAAACTCTGTTTGATTAAAAGTTATCTTATAAATTTTGATTACTTCAGTAACTTGGCCACTCTCTATGGTGGAAACTCCTAGAGCTCTCGTTGAAGATCAACCCATTGATGGTAACATTGTTAACAAAATTTAAACTTTCGTTAAACAGATTAAATGATTTAAAAAAACCTTAGTAATTTTTAATACATAGATTAGTAATTCATTTATCATAGTTTTAAAATTTTAAAGATGCATATTTGAAAAAAATTGATAAGACAGGTAAACCCTTAAAATAAACAGCGAATAAATGTTTAGTTTCTAAAAAATTCCAGCTTTCATCATCTCTTAATTGAAATATAATGTAATTACTGTATTCATTTCTATGTGATTACAACGGTTTAAATTCCGACCAATAATGATAGCTAAAGTATTCAAATATGTATTGAATCTAAATATAGTATATGTAAAGCTTCTTAAAGACAATGAACAGATACTGAATTGATTAAATCAACTGTCAATCAATATTAGCCAATGAATGAGCACGTAAGTGGTATCACGCTCACTGATTGGTCAGTTGTTTATTGACAGATTGCCTCAGCTACTTTGGTATCTGTCCATTACCTTAAATATAAAAACATCACATAAGACAACATACGCAGTTTGTAATAAAATGAAATAAGAAATTTCCTACTAAACCTTACAGTATTATCACATGATATAAAAAAGAGAAAAGTTAGAAGTTTTTACATCATGCCCTTTAGCAGGTCAAATACCACTTCTCTTTGTAGCTGAATACCTAAAGATGACTCCCAGGCCTATGTCAGTACCAGTAGTTGGTGATATTTTCAAAGGAGAGACTAGTGGTGAGAGTGAGGATGAATTTTTCAAGAAAAAAGGTAAAATTTTTGTTTTCACCATAATGATGTGATCATAAATGGATTCTTCTGCAGAAGTTTTTTTTGCAAGAAAACCTCCACTCTGCACATAAAACAATGAAATGAGATCTTAATTAAAAGATGAAAATTGTAATCGTTTGTGACGCATTCGCTACTTATTGCTAGATTCGAATGCCCGTCGTTGCTCAGGCTTCCTCTCTTTCCGTTAATTGTAATAGACATGTTCATTTTAGGTCTACCGCCACCAAGAAAGCTTAAATTAGAAAGACAACTTAATAACAGCATAGTAATAAGTTGGTTAGCGCCGGAGAATGTCGGGGAAGACGAAATTCGAGGCTATTCCATCAAAGCAGACGGACAATTAAAGGAGACTGTGATTGGTTCAGACAAAACAAAAGCTATTGTTTCTGATGTAGCTCGTGACAAGGTAAGCTTGGATAAGAACTGTGCATGTAAGCTTTGATTAATATACAGTTGGTTAATTACAATGTCATTTAGGCATGATTTCTGCAAAGCAGTTGCGTCTTTCTTTCTACCTTTATTTCCAAGCAACCTTGCATTTAGAGGTTTTTTATCAACATACACCCATTTTCAGAAAAGATATTATAAATCCATTCCATGAAAGTTACATTTAATTTTTTTTAAGATTATTTCTGTTCCTTTGGTTTTTGTGTGTTTCTTCTCACTTTTGAAAGGTTTTCGTTATTTACAATCTAGAAGACTTTTTTTAGAGATAATCAAAGGAAATATCAAGCATTTGTCTGTAATTGAGGCTTCAGGTTTCTCGTTTTCATGTAAACAAAATATAATTTGATCACGTTTGCTGAAAGGTATATTGTCTCTCTTAGGTTCATCGAATAACCGTTCACTGTTTTGATAAGAACGAGAAAGAATCTCCTGGATCCGTTGCTGCGATAACTGTAGGCAGAGGTGAGCGAACCCAGATAACCAACAGCGATATATAAAAATTCTGTGTATGACTCTTTAGTCTAGCAAAGAATCATTATCAGAGTTGAAAAGGATTTGTTTCCTGGCTGCAAAAATTAGAAGCATTTATCTTATGTTTGCCTAGGCCAAATTCTTCCAGTAAGAAAGGAAATTCTCTGTTCATCAAATTCTCCCACCATAAACTTTTTTGATAAATTTAACAAGCTCATTAATTCTTTGATTAAGACTAAATCAGCTTATGATCATTTTTTGATCGTTTTATTAAACTGAAATAAAAAGATCTTTGTATCTTACTCTACATCACCAGTGCTTTAACATTTGAAGAGGCGAAATGTGCGAGAATCTGTATTTCTTAACCAATAAGGCATTGAGGTTCCTTTTGTCAGGACGTTTTTTTCCACCCTTTATTCACAGGAGCAAGCGCAATACCAACTGATCTACGGGTTTCCAACTCATCTGCAACAACAGCTGATTTGGAGTGGGCGTGTGGCAACAGTTCCATGATGCATGCAGTGTACTTGGATGGAAAAGAAATTCACGTCTTGAAGCCTGGTGTTGACAGATTTAAGCTTACAAGCCTCATTCCTGATCATGAGTACGAGGTCAGCGTTGAGGCCAGAGCGACTGTTGATCAGCGTAAGATAAAGAAAGTTGGCACTGTGATGTCAAATGGTTTGATATTCAGGACAACTAAAGGAGGTAGGAGGATAATTGAAGGTTTTGTAAGGACACGGTTTATATACATCAGATGGATTTATTCTATCAGAACTTTCAAGCTCCAATAGGTTGCTTGGCCACAACTAAGAGTCTGTTTTATCTATTTTCCAATCATCTATGAACATTTTTGGGGATACACATTTTACTTTGGCAAAGAGGTGATCTTGCATGAAATTTTTATCATTATCGGCAAACAAACGTTAGTGCCGGAGGATTTTTTTTTGCAAAAGCAGTCAGATCTAGGACATAGTTTGCCCAACACCCCTCCCTTTTACCACACTATCACTGTCCCATGGATCTGTAAAGTATTTTTGTTTTTTGACCAACGTACCCCGCTAACCCTGTCCAGATATTTTTGTCTTTGTTTTATTAATCTGCCAACTTTCTATGCGCATTAAGTATTTGATTTGCTTCTTCAAATTAATATTCTGTTTCATTTATTTAACGGGAGTCAATTATAAACGCTCGTTTGACATTTATCGAATTATGCAAACATCAATTTACAGCTCCACCAGAACCTCCGTTGAATGTTCACGCAAGAGTCATCCGAAAGTCAGCCAGCCATGAAGCGACTTCCGTTAATGTATCATGGCTCCCCGTCACAATAACAGAAACAGATGCTGCCAAATCGCCTATCGTCAAAGGCTACATGATTTATATGAACGATCATGAAGCCCTGTTTATCGACCAGCCAACAGTTGATCATGCAAAAATACAAGCTAAGGATCTTGCTGCCATCCTTAAAGACTCAAAAGTGGAATACATTGAGCTCTGGGTCAAAACAGTGTCTATATTTGGCGAGTCAGCTGTATCAAATGTTGTTATTTTGCCAGTGGATAAGTTTCTATACAAAGAGATATATAACAAGGAAAGAGCAAAGGCTCCAGAGCCAAACAAAAAGGTTCCCAAGGCTTTAGGAGCTACCGATACAGTGGCTGAAAAGCAGAAAGCTGACGTTTCAAAGACAGGCCAGAAGATCGATGATGTAAATGCTGAAGTTAAAGTGAAACCGACAGTGATTCGATATGACGTAGTTGATAGTGAAGATTCAGACAGTGAAGAAGATGACTCTGATGAGGAGGCTCCTCCTGATTTTCATTCTAGCAAGGAGATCGACAGTACAAAGCCTATGGATGATCAGCTGGAACCAGTGAGTTGTTTTCACTGTGGGAAATTGTGACTGTTTTCACTGTGTTTTTTGTCAAAGCTTGTGTCCTTCTAATCACATAATGTGTAGTTGGGCACTTGCAATTTTTCCTAGGGTTTTTTTCTTTTCTATAGATAAGCTTGTCAGATTTGGCTATTGGTTAATCATATATCAGTGATTTCAGGGCTACACAAGCAGGAGTTAGAGTTACATAATATCATTTGCTTACTTTTTGTGAGTTATTCACTACATGTTAGTGACTTTGGGTAACTCGCTATTACATACTGTAACTACTGGTCACCAAATACACTCTGGTTACTTCCTGCCAGGAGAGGTTAGGCTTGCATATTGTAATATGCTAAGTTGAGCAAAACGAGTTAAAAAGTGCAGAACGAGTTCAAAAAAATTGTGATATGAATAGTTTACAATTAGATAATATTTATTAGAAGTATAAAAGGCTTTTGTTCGAAGTCTAGCAATGTTTGTAGAACGATATTGTCATGTATATTGTAAATTGGCCATTTCTTTTGAAGGCTCCTCCTGTTCCAACGACAGAAATTCCTTCAAAGTCAGTGGATGGAAATCCGCCTGACAATCTGATTCTGCCAAGCATTCCGATGCCGGATTATCCCAGTGCCAATTCGAAAAAAGATGAACAGGATACCGTGACCATTCCGGAAGCTGACTATCCGGATGCCGTTGAAGTGAAGCCGAGGAAGCACTTTGCTCTTGAAGAACTCTTGTCCAGCTCCGATTCTGAACTTTCCGCGATCGAAGAAGAGACAGTCGAAGAGTTGCTTGAGTACGACAAAGATGGAAGTCCTATTAATGGTACACAGAGAACATACAGTCTGTCGAAAGGAGAAGGAGGTCACGCGTCGCCAGCCAACAAAACATTTAGTTTTCATTCAGAAGAGGAGAAAAATGAAACATACGACGTGGAAGAGAAGAACGGCAAAGCTTCGGAGAAATTTTCGGAAAAGAAGAGTACATTTACATCAAAGGACACGTTGACATTTGACTCAGATGATGTTGTTGATATTCTTGAGAAGGACATTGTTGAAGGTGTGCCCGAGTTGCCTCTTGACTTGGAGAAAGATGACATCGACAAAGCTGAAAGTAAACAGAATGATAGAAAATATAAAGAAAACAAGGGATTAGCAACAGTTGCTAGTATTCCAGTAACGGATTTATCTGATTTGTCTAACGATGTTGAGAATATTAAACCCGAAGGCGCCAAGGCAATAAACATCAAAGTAGGGCCTATCTTATCAGAAAATGTTAACGCTAACTCAATGCATGTGCAGCCAAATGTTTGTGATAAGGACGATGATCTACCAGCAAAGGAGACACCCGCTCAGACCAACGATCATGAAAACATAAACACACTGCCTGTGAGGCGGAAATGGGTCCAAAACAACTCAGATCCATCGTCGAACATTGAATTTGCCAAGGGGGATAATTCATTAGAAATCGCCAGTGCTGATCATGGGAGCTTAGATGACTCTAGACAACTGGCTTTAGAAGATAAAATTGTAGCAGACGAGCAGGAGAATAATGTTAGAAATGGTTTTGACTTGAGCGCTAGTCAAGTTGGTATCCAGAACCAATCATCTCCTTTGCATCAAAACAAGGATATTGATATTTTAGAAGGCAAAAAAGAAAGTACTTATCGGAACAGTACACCTACAGGAGGGTCGACTCAGGCAAACGAAGTGTCAGTTGAAGTAGAAGAACCGAAGTCGATGGGGCAGGTTGTCTCGGAAGGAGAAAATGCCGAAGATGACGAGCTAGACATTGACAACTTTGACGATGAACCGATTAAGATTCCATCAACTTCGGTTCACGATTTGTACACTTTAAACGCTGTAGATAGTTTTGATGAATCAATCTTAGACTCAGAGACAGAATATAAGCCAGACTTTATACCAACCGGCGTTGAGAGTATCCCTAACACGGAGCATGAAAACAACGGAACTGAAAAGCGTTCAGAAGAGCCCGCTGGGTCATTTACAGAGGAACCTGCAATGAATAACAATGTTTTTAGTGGGGTTCCTATTGATAAAAGCATTCATAAAGCAGAACCTGTTTCCAGTTCACAGGACGACAAGTTAAAAGACAATAATGTGAATGGGATCGATGAGGTTTCGGGTGAAGACACGCGTACAAACCACGTGGAAGATAAAACAATTGTGAAAAATGTGCGGGTTTTTGTTGCATTGTTTTCTTATGACCCAATAACAATGTCTCCAAACACAGATGGCGTGGACGAAGAATTGCCTTTTACCGAGGGCGACTTAATCAAAGTTTTCGGCGATTGTGACGAGGACGGTTTTTACTATGGCGAACTGCACGAAAAGCGAGGATTTGTACCGAGTAACATGGTGCAGGAAGTGAGTCTGGGTGATTTTGGAAATTCGTTTCACATACCGCCACCGCCTTCTGCAGATATCACAGGGGATTCAGAAGATCAAATTTCAGAGGAACGCGGTAAGTGGATTATGTTTATGTTTATTTTTGTAGAATTCTTGTGTCTTCTTTTTGCATAAGCTTCTTAAAGGAAAAATTATTCCCTCTTTAGGGTTTGTATTGATTCTTTATACTAACCTTCATTTTACTTGCAATTTTACTTTGCTAATGTGTTATAGAATTGACAATGTGTTAGAACTAGGACTGACATAGATTATAAGAGTAAACTTAGGAAATGCCGAATTGTTTATTCAACAACTAAATGCTGGTTGTTATAAAGAGAAACAGAACTTTAGCTGTCAAGTAACAGCTAGTTACTTAAAAGAACGAACCAAATATCTTGAAAAATCAAAGATCTTTAAAATATGAATAATTTTGTCTGGAAAAAATGTTATCAACCATTTCACAAATTGAGGGTAGCTTTAATCGCGCCTATCCGGCAGAACGTTTGCAATCGTGTAACTTCATCTTAAGGTGAAACCATTTTCTTTTGTTACTATTGTTGTCCCACAATAATCTTATATACTTATTATTTTCGCAATGAAGAATCAAAACACGGTTATCAAACTAAAAAGGCCTCTGTAGACAGGAAATCTAAGGGCATCAATTTTTTAGAGATTTTTCACTGTATAAAGGGTATCGAATATGCAACTAGCCAATTTTCATAGCCAAAAAGCTGAAGGCTTTATGCATTCTTGATAATGTTAAAACGTATGTAGAAGCAAAAGTATGAAGAATTTCCATACCGTTGAAAATATCTATAACCCCTTTTAGTGATGAAAATTACTGTTTACCGGTCTGTCAAAGAGTTCTCGATGCCGTATTGATAGAGCTGTACACTATTTGTTGTGTATAGAAAAGGGGCGTTTAGAAAAGGTGTTTCACGCTTAATGCGATCATTAGGCAACTGAAACCCCGTTTAGAACATCCATGATGCCGTGTAAACTGAAATGGTACATAAATAATCTGCCTCTTTTGCATTTGCTGATGATTAAAAGTTGATCAGTTCCCAACACCTGTACTTAGTGAATGGTTATTGATCAATTCGACCTCCCAACTCACAGCGTCTTTTCAAATGTATAGCATGTCCCTGCAATCAGTATTAGGTCATCGTCTTTTTCAAATCATGCCGCATGTCTAGAAAAACAAACTTTGCCTTATATGGGCAATCCTTATTGGTCCAAGACAATATTGTTTGTATCAAAGCATTGTTCAAGATGAATGGATTTCCGCCAATCAGATTTTCTAATAGGTTTTTGAGAAGTTTTCTAACGATCAACGGAAAGTGTATCAGCATTTTGGAATCACAGCAGAAGATTCGCTCGTTTTATTTTGAAGTTGGAAGAAAGCTTATTTAAATCTGACATGGTGCAAATTTCAAGTGACGTATTCTGGTAATGATCTTACCGAGATTATGTTTGAATGATTCTGGTAATTTTTAATTCTGAATGCAACACGTTTTTGGCTTGCTTTGAATCATGCCAGCTTGAATCCATTTGAGCTTCCTGAATCATGTTCCTAATGAGTTAGAGACATACTTTGCAATGACGCCAATTGAAGTAGAGGAAGAACTCTATTACGTATGTGATTATCTCTGGAATGTATTTATGAGTGGCGTCTTCTAGTTGTATTTCTAAGTGGGAAGGTAGACCCAAGTTCAGTTACCAATGCTGTTGATATGTTTATACCAGCTGAATAGAGTAAGTGCAGGTTTTATCAGTTTTACGGCGAATAAAGCCTTAAAGTGGAATCCATAATGGCTCAAACGTATGTTCATTCAGATCTTTTGATGCCCTCTATTAATTCTTCTTGATTCTTTTGAAGAACATCGACGCCAAAGCCAATCACACTCGGCTACAGTTAATCAAGACAAGACCGATACGTCAGATAATAAGGGCGCCAGAAAAGAGTCTGGTGGTACTTCAGAAGGAAAACTGACAAAGGAATCCGGCCAGGAAGCGAAGCAAGAAGATACAAAAATGGAAGACATTTTCGCAAGAATCGAAAATATTGAACTTGAGGAAAAGGAGAAAGATTATCGTTACATATCTGAAAGAGACAGCATATACTGCCTTCCTCCGCGAAGGATGATTGCGCTATACGATTATGACCCGGCTGTATCATCACCTAATGTCGATTCAGAGGTAGGCATACGAACACGGTGCTAGTAAGAATATTGTAATCCACTATTAATCTTGATCTTAAATGATTTAGTTTACAATTAATTGAGTTATTTATGCTTTCTGGGCTAGCCAGTGACAAAAACTTATTTTAGAAAGTTATGGCTTTAAGCAATTGATTGTGCTTTCAATCGCTCACACATTTTGCTTTCAATCGCACACACATTTTGCTTTCAATCGCACACACATTTTGCTTTCAATCGCACACACATTTTGCTTTCAATCGCACACACATTTTTCATTGCAAAAATATAGTGTGTTATAATGCTTAATCTTTCTTACGCATCGTAATATGCCTAACTTTATAACAGAGGCTCAGTTTAAGTGATTTTCAAAGTTTTGGTTGATTATATATAATTCGGCAACAAATGCTTTTAGATGTGGTTGGACCTCATTTTTTTCATGTGGTCCTATCTCTTGCTATGCTGCTCCCTGAAGCTACATACCTCATACACGTTATGATCCACCCGTCACTTTTCTTCACTCTTTGCCCCAAATTGCTGTTTAATAAATCATCTGTTTTCGTTTTCCGTATTACGTAATTATTCTTGTTGATTTATATTCCATTCAATATTTGTTTAATAGCTTACTTCTTTGTACTTTTTCTGGATCATAAATATTTGCTTATGCAGACAGGTAGCAACGATTTATGACTCATGTAACAAATTAAATATTAAGAATGGAGATGATGATTTCACACTACCTCATACTTGCTTATGTTCAGCGCAGCCCACAAAATGTCCGATTTTGCTTTTCTTTGGCATGACTATCTATTTTTGAGATTCAATTTACCATCGTTTATTTAATTTACGTGTCACAGGTCGAGCTTCCGTTCAACAAGGGGGATATCCTCCTCGTGTTTGGAGACATGGATGAAGATGGGTTCTTTGCCGTGAGTAGCTCCTAATCGTCCTCTTTCTTGATAATAAACTAATATCCATAGAATCTTATATTAAATCAAACTGGCAAGGATATTTATTTGAAGCATCTGTAGTTACAAGTGATTTATGTATATAGTTTATGTTGTACAGTGGTTTTCATTTGAATCTCTAGGAAATGGTCAAAACAGAACTCTGTAGAAATACATCTTTCCCTCACAGAGTAAGACAGGAAGCCTTCGTGAACCAACAGTGTACTATTGTAAATAATTTACTACCTTTTAAACAAGTTTTCCGTATTACTAATTATCGCAATGACTGTGTATATTTCTCCCAGCATTTCCATATCCCACTGGTCTGTGACATAACTTGATATAACTTGTCTTGTCTAACACATTTTTTTATCACGGCAGGCCCAAAGTAGTGGTGAACGAGGTTTGGTACCGAGTAATTTCTTAGAGAACTGCCCAGTTCCTTCCGATTCAGAAGAATTTGAAATAAATATGGGAGCAACAAGTCCAAGTTTTCAGGTATTCTATTTCATTCTTATTATTTGAAATCATTTTCAAAGTTAGCAACTCTTGGTTCAGTTCGGTTGCAAGAACCTGTTTTTCTTGTTTCCTTCACAACTGAAAGTTAAGCTATTTTTTGTTGTTGAGAATAAGAGCTAACTATCATGTTTATCGCTATAGTTTCTTGGCAGTTTTTCTGTAAGATTCACAAGCGTGTAACTATGGTGCTGCGACCCCCACGACATTTTGAAACCTTTTCGGACATTTTCAGTTAGAAATACCTATTTATAAATATATTTTTTAGTCCAAATGTATCTCCTCTCCTACCTAAAAGTTGGCTGTAGTCTTTTGGAACAGTGCCCATGTTCATAAAGATGGATTCTTTAAGTTTTACCTCCGTATTTAATGCATTTTCATTTATAAATAGTTTTCTTCCCACATTCAGTGGCTCTACTTTACCAGCCGGATTTTTTTAAATTCATATTGCTCTTGCAATCCCCGCTAAGAAACTCCGCAAAGATTGCGACTTTAGTCAAAGACATCAAAATAGTCCAGACAATGCTCAACGTGTTTATTCACAATAAGTCAATCAAAAACTACTGTTAAGGTTACAAAGTACTGTCAGTTTATATTTATGTTACAATAATGATTTTGGCATACATTGCAATATAACAAAGAAATCATAGCAAAACATTGTTTCTTACTGTGTGTCATTATTCCACTTCTTCAGTAACACCGCGCTTTCTTTCATGCCGTCTCATACATTATTCATGCGTAGCACGTGCTCGTGCTTTATCGCTATATTTATCTACCCACAATAAAGATATATCGCTGTATTTACAGATCTGCTCCGTGAAAATAACGCATTTTTTCATATTCTTAACAAAATTTCCATCTAATATCTTGCTTGGAGATAAAACAAAAACGGCTTTGTTTTTACCTCAACATGTTTAACTGTATAGTTTGTAATACGATGAGATAATTGGTTAAATTATCCTCTTTTTGACACTGTACAATCATTTCAACCAAGGCACATAGTCTCAAGACATTTCAGTCACAGACGTACACGCAAAATCCTCCCTTAAGTCAAGCTCCATTAATGTCTCCAAGTAGCTCCACGACATTTCTATCACGATCGTAAATGCGATAACATCATAGAATACTCATTTCTCTCTCCTTTAAATCACCTTTGTTACGATTCTTTTGTTTATTCAAGGCCATATTTCCATTTTGGTGATTATTTCTTCTTTTACCCTTTATTTTTATATTTCCTTTTGCATTTTCTTTGCCCTTATTTTTCCCATTTATTTGTCTTCCGTTGAGTTTCTTTTGTTGATTTCTCTTCGGTTGATATACATTTACTTTCGCCTTGTTCGCTGCTGTTTTCTTTTTCTGTTTCGAAGTCACTTTTGCTCCTCCCTTTTGTCGTTCCCGTCTCTTCTCAGCGTCCTTTTGCTTGTTATTAGCTCCATTTTGCTTTGTTTTGGCAGATTTAAGATTACCCTGTAAATTTAATTTCTGCTTATTTTCACTTTGGCTGCTGACCCTCGTGTCCTTGTTTGCTCCCGATTTCACTTTGGCGCCAACGTTCATATTCTTATTGTGAGTCAAGCCAGGATTACTTGTATGCTTCTTCTTGTCGTCCCTTTTCTTAAGCGATGATTTTTTTTCAAACTGCTGATATTCGAAATCAGTACTAAACCCAGAATTTCCTGAAAGGGCATTATTTTTATTTTTGTAGTAGTGTTGGGCGTAATCTTCATCTACTGCATCTTGTTTATGAATAAAATCCATGTAGTCGTCGATGGGATCGCTTTGTTTCGCTCCTTGGGTAACCGTGGCTTGTCTTGTTTCATCGTGATCAAAGTCCTCACTAGAAAGTGACTCAAGGTAGTTTGTGTTGATCGTTGTTGGCTTCACAGCTGAAAGATGGTGCACAGCCTTCGCTTCGTTTTCCAGTACATCTGCATCAAAATTCTCTTGTTCTTTGAGCTCTTTTGATGCCTCTGAATCAACTGACGGCCTTCCATCTGTGGAAATAAAGTTCTCAACTGTCTTCCCAATAGAACCCAGTGATTCGTAATTCCTTGAATCCTTAAACGCCATTTTATCATCTTCAAGCCCCTCGATACCCTGTATTCTGCCGTTAAGATTCAATAAATCCATTTTCGGTTTCGCCTCATTTTCATTTATACCTGCATAATTGTCTTCACTTTGACTTTGAGCGCTCATCAGATGTTCTCCATTGAAGTTCGGGACGTTCTCTCCTAGACCCCCAGGCCCATTCCCGTACCCATTTATGTGGATAACCTTCTGATTTGGATGAATATTTATAATTTTTTCATTGTCATGTCCGTACTTATCCATAATTCCGTGTGACATCATGTATTGAAGCCTAGCAGCATCACTCGTTAGTGGGAGTTGACCCTCGCTATTCACCTGTTCTCCTTGGCCCTGCTCGGCTAGCTCGACAATTTTTTGTGGCTGCAGATGCTTTTGAAGGGTTGCCACGTCAGTCTCGCCCATTTGCGCACCATCGTTAAGCAACCCAGAAGCTGGAGTCTGCATGAATTGCTGTGGAATGTGAGCAGCGTGTTCGCCATCAAAATGGCTACCACTATTTAGCTGAACCATTTCATTACTACTTTGCTCACTGTTAACTGGTTTACCAGTCGATTTGCCAAACTGTGCAAGGATGTCGTGGAGCTCCCCTTTTCCAACATGATGCCCTACTATGCCAGGCAAATTGGACATAAGGTTCTCAATATCATTTGAATCCATACTGTTAGATGCCATATCCTTGAAAACGTTTTTTAGGTTGTCTTTATTCGGATCGCCTCCTTTGCCATCACCAAATGTTGCTGCTACATCCTCTGTCAACAGATTTCCAGGCTCAGTTTGCTTTTCCATTTTACCCGGTGTCATTCTGGCTGACGGGTAGACCTCTGCAGGACGCTGCTCTGTATTTTCGTTTATGTGGTTTATAAATCCAAGATGTGGTTGGTTTAAAAACAACCCGTGGCTGCTTGGTCGATGATGACGATGTTTTCTGGTGTGCCACAATGATCCTTTCCAGTCTTCTTCATATTGGAAAGGGTTGCGATGGTGTTTGCTGGTAGCATAAGAATCAAAAGCCTTTCCTGCTTCGTAATCCATAGGGAGTCCAACTCCTGTCGACAATAGATCCCCGAAATGAACAAGAGTGTTATCTACATATCGTGAAGGCTTGTGTTTATGTTTGAAGCCAAGAGTGCTTAGTTCGTCCTTTAGCTCATCAAGGATTTCCCGGCCTGGTTGCATTTCTGTAGGGTGAATTTTTGCATGACGTGCATCATGTTTCAGCTCTAGCAACTTCAACAGCTCAAGCGCCTTTTCAGATTTGGTTTTTGGCTTCTCTTTGAAATTGACTACTAACGGTGGATGATTGCCCTCATCGTTTTGCACATTGTTCACATGTTCGTGTGATGTTACTTGTGCCAACAAGGGCTCTTTGTATTTCATTTTCATCAGCTGCAGTAACTTTGAATTTCTGTGGTTCTTGAGGTACGAAAGCAGCCTCAGTCGCGCATGTGCTTTTATGGCATTTGTCAGCTTCTGTTTATTACCCTTAAAAGCCGCCAGGAGCTGTCTGAGTCGCTGCCTTGCCTTCTCTTTGCGAATCGTTTCCTGGGAATCTCCCTTTGCTGCTGTATTCACCAATGGCGCAGATGAGCTGAGCAGTGTTTGGAGTAACTCTGGGCTGCCGCTTTGTTGTAGAAGTTTTAGTAGTTCGGGGTTCTTGTTCTCCATTATGCTGGTAATAAGAGGGTTTTCAAGCTCGTTGACCTTGTTTACAAGCTCGTCTGCTGAAGTCGTTAAGTGCTCTGGGTGCACATCCAGAGGCCAATCTTCGCCAACATGGTGAACCAATGGATGCTCAGATAATGCCCCCACCTTGGGAGGATGCCCAACTGCAGTTATACCGGGATGATCTGCCCCCAGTTTGGTTGGTAGCAGGTTGCTTCCAGATGGTTTGTGTGTCAGGGGCTGTTTCCCTACCTTATTTGTCAGCGGATTTCCCCCGGCTTTGCTAGGAGCTGGTTTAGCAGGCTTAGAAGGTGTGTTGTCCTGCAACAGTTTATGTAGCTTATCTTCAAGCAGCGGCTTTGGATTTGGAGGATGTGTCAGGGTTGGGTGTAGGAGATGTGGAGGGATGGATGGATCTTCCTGAGGGGTATGGGCTGAAAAGTCAGCCTCGACTGCTTCAAGGCAGTCCTGGTCGCTTTTTCCTCTTTTGCATATTTCGCTAAGTCTGAATCCGCTTACGAGAAACCTCACTCTTTTCCTGACCTCATCGCGTTCCAAGTTGCCTGCCCTGTTCAAGTCATGTGCTATTATGCGCAATAAATCTGCGCTGCTGTGATGACCAAGTATCCTTGACATTGAAGCCCCGATCAGTTGGTATGTAAACTGCTGACCAGCGCCAACTAACTTGGAAATGCGTTCTTTTTCACCCTTATTGAGTCCAGGTGCAGTCTGTAAACACCGCATGATTACAGAGCCCGTGTATGGTCCGATTTTTGCAAACGAACCACCACCTATGCTCAGCTTATCTGTCAAATAGTCAAACACACTCTGTGTGCTAGTTGATGCCGGGACTTGAAATTCATTATACCGTGTTGCCATGACTACCCAATGCCTGCATTGCTTTATTGATACTGCTGAGTCAGCGATATCTAAAACAGATTTAAGATTGTCCTCGATCACTTGTTTGAATGAAGGATTGTCATATCCTGATATCCATTTGTCAATCATTCGCTCGGCTTTTGCATTCCCAAACTCCACTCTTATCATGCAAGCCATTAATAGGTATCCTTCTAGTACCATTTTGTGGTAGAGTTGTTTTGCATGCTCCAGTTGGCTTTGGCTAAGAAGAGCTTTTCTTGTTTCCTGTTGAAAAAAGAAACTCTGTGTTAATATTTTATAGTTTTTCAGAATTATGATTTTGTGCGTATCTCTATGGTAAGTCAATACCTTTATAATACAATTCACCAATGCTACAAACTTCAAGCGGTATAAATTTTTAGACCTAACTAGTGGCCGAAATCTCGATGCTAAGTAGTTCTTCTGCGGGGTAGGTTATAAGAAGTTATTGGTAAAAGATACAGAATACTTACAGCTAACCTTTCTTTTACGAATCTTAGCATTTATATTCTTTCCAAAACTAGCTATGTTATTTTCAAAATGATATGATTTCATGACTCAAGGATTTGATTTGATCAATACAACTCTGTGATATGTTCGGTCCATTGCCATGTTGGTTTTCACTGAATCTAGAGGTGTTGCTTAGTATGCTTGCTAAATGTGGCAACACTCCACATCAAACAATATTTTATATTTAACTGGAAGTCAAAAAGATTCTCAGAAGTGCTGATCGTCTTCGATACTTCGGCTCCCCTTATAATATCTAACAGGAACAAGAGCTCTAAAACGTCAAAGGTATTGCTCTTTTCTCAGCCGAATCGAGCAGAACACACCAACCGATAAATTTTTCGATAAACTTCGCATAATGTATTCTGTTTACTTTCCATCTTTTACACGAAATACATACCTTATACTGCCTCTGTAGCTCATCAATGTCCATCAGAGGGGCAATCTCTGCCGTAGGTGCTAGTAAACATGGGTTATTGATATAATCAACATTAAATTGTAAATCGCGAGTCAATGCTGGTATAGGATTTCGTTTCTCTTTTATTTTAAAGTCTTCGAAGCTCTTGACATACTCTCCTGCTGCATCAGTTCTTGTTGCAAATAGCAATGAATAAATTACGAACGTCAGAAAAGCTGCTCGTAGGAGAGCAGAGTTTAGTCTTTGACGCATTGTGTTGATTTACTATCTTTCACTGACACCAATTAGTAATTTATCTCCTTGATGCTGTTGTTATCTGTATCACCGCGTTTTTTCTTTTCTTTCATATACTTCTCCATTGCATCTGTACAATGTGCATGTTTACTGCAAAAGTCACCAAATTTGTTATTCCGCACTTGCTTTAAGTCCCTTCACGTACTGTTCACTTACGATCATCCAATCCTTCGCCGTCTCATTAATATCTTACAATAAATAGCCTCCCGGAAAAGAGTTGTGATTTCAGAGAAACACTTAATCGGGGCTCATAATACTTGTATATTCAGAAACATTTATATTTCTTAAACATTTAACTTCGTTTACACTTTATTTATTTGTTTGGCGTATCAGTTTCGGCGATCCAGTTGTACGTTGACCGTTGATGAATTGCGAGTTGCCCGTGGCCACCTGGTTGAATAATTTTGAACAAGAGTCAATCAGCTAGAAATGTTTTCCATGTTAGCGCAAATAATCAAACTTACAGGTGGCATAAATGAGCGGCCAACCTTAAAAACGTTCTGGTTTGGAAATAATTCCTCTCTTATTTAGTAAACACATTGAAGAAATAACCCCATTTTTCTCTTACCCTGCTCAATTATTCGCTTTCCGCTGTATTTTTCTGCTAGCAAGGACTGTTTTTAAAATGCGCGAACTTTGATTGTTCTACAGGCATTGCAACTTGCTGAAGAACGAATTCGACTGAGTTCCCACAATTCTATGTTTTTATTCAACTTGAATCGACTGTTTTAATAGCGTATTATACCGTCCTTCAGCTGAACGGGATTTGGATATTTTTCTAATACAATGAATCCTATGCACAAACTATTATAATATTTTCCATAACATTCGTGTTTTATGATTTCGCCTGTCACTTTCTCCTGTCGTAAAAGCTTTTTTTGTTTTGGTTAAGAGGAATTACGAATTACAAGGTCCCTGTTTTATTTTCCTATCAAAGTTTAAACATTCTGAAATATCGCCAATGAATTGAAATATCGCCAATGAATTGAAATATCGCCAATGAATTCTGTACTTCTGTCGAACTGTCACGTGATGTAGTGGACATGTGACACGCTTATCGACCAGTCCTTTTATATTTGTGAGCAAAGATATATACAATTAAATTACGACTTTGTACACTCGAAAGAAAGATAGGTTCGATGTTTCGATCATAGCTCTTCATCAGGTAAAGCTCCTATTCTTTTTACCTGCTGAAAAGTTATGCTCGAAACGTCGAACCTCTCTATCTTCCAAATGTACAAAGTCATTACTTAATTGTATCAATCTTTGCTCATTATTCATCGACATACAACACGCTGAAGTACATTGATTATATGTTAAATTTGTTTTGATATATTCTTCAGACATCACAATTCATTAACATTGAGTACGGCTTTCACTTAAGTTTATCTTTAATATTTTTTAATTCTTCTTGTAGAGTTCGAGTCGAAAATCGTCAGCTGCATCAATCAGTGGTGCAAGTCCTGTCGACAGTCCGAAAACGAAGAAAAAGAAAGGATTTTTAGCAAAAGGAAAGAAAATATTCTCGAAACTCAAAGGGAAATAGTTGCATTCTACTCCCAATAGAACCTCAAGTTACCAGGGATGCTTAAATTGGGAAACAAAGAAATACTATTCATGATAGAGCATCAAATAGCAGATGACCGAATTGCATTGCTACCAAGTCAGAGAGATCTTGGTAAAAGATATCTCCGTCCGTTCGTTAACTGTTCATAATATTTGTGAGGACCTTTAATCATATAATATCTTTTTATCATGTACATTGAAAATTTGTAGAAAAGAAAGTCTTTGAATTTTCTAGCCATTGTATTTCAGGCAGATTTGGATAATTTGGGTAATGACATAGTAAAATTGGTATGTTTACAGTTAAGTTTGTGTAGGGGCATTTTTATATCAGAAAATACGAAACAGTTCTCTACTTCGGATTTCAACAGACTAATCAACCTAAGGGTAAACTTTCCATTCATATTTCACGGAAAATCAGCGGGAAACACTTTCTAATAGATGTTTTACTGGAATATTTTCCTTTATTTTAGCCAGGTTTTGTTGCCATAATTACATCGATAAATTTTTAATAGGCGTTATTTTCGAGGTACAATTTGCTTGTGATCTTTTCTGTTGGACGTGAAATTGAGTACAGCCATTAGTTAAGTAGAATACAGAGAAGGTTGAAATACAGCAGCAGCTTTTACAGTATGCATTGTTTCCTTATTTTAAAGTCCTAAGACACACACATGGCAAGGGTATTTGAGTTTACGTAAGGATTAGAAATGAAGCCATGATTATAATGAATCATGATATGTAACCGTGGAAAGTTTATCCTTGTCTTAGTATTTGGAAAGACAAAGCACCTGAACAATAGATCTTACAAGCTTTTCAAAGAAGCATGTTTAGAGGGAAGAGATCCTGTTGTACATTAGAAACAGAGTTGCCCATATTTTCTTGAAATTTTGGATAAGCAGTCAGTATCTTGTACACGGGTTTGTTTGTTAACGCCAAAATAATGTAGTGTATTGTCTAGAGGTTTTATTGTATAAAATTTGAGCTATTTGCCACTAGCATCGTTTTAAGCTTAGTCGGTACCTCATTCCGCGCAGCCTCGCAATAGCTATTCTTAGTCGTTTTTGTATTGATGGTTGTCAGCTCCATTCAAGTGTACTCCAGACAACGATTCTGGTTGTGTACCTGCAATAAAGGAAATGTACTTTATGGAATACAACCCATCAGATACTTAGATGAGGTATATGAAGTAGTCATAGATCTCGATTCCCGTTGCCTCACTCTCACCTAGTTTCCAAGTTGGACATTTTTAAGCCTTCTCCCTTCCTGTAATTAAAGTTAGCAGTTTTTTTTTCAGTCCAACCAAACCTCAAAGGTGCACTTCTTAATAAGGCTTCCGCTTGAAGTTAAAACGGACAGGCTTGTACAAACTGACTACGTAATAATTGTCAAGGCCTGCACTGAATTTCCTTATAACTCCTTTTACATGTCTTTAATGCTGGCAACCATCAACATTTTGTGTCAGTTCCCGAGCTGATAATGTTACCAAGAGACGAGGGTTAACTTTATTTAACATATAAATATAATCTTAATATGACACTTTTTACCAAAAATAGGTAAATATAGATAAAAAGATGTTTTATGGCGTTCAGAGAAGTTGTATTGTGTACTTTAAATTGCATTGTAAATGTTATCCCTTAATGTAAGAATTCTCGTCATGATATATATGCACGATATGCAGATAGTGTGAAGCACAAAAAGGTTTTCTTTGTTTTGGATGGTTTCTGCTCGTTTATTTGGAAAATTGTGACTTAAATGAACAGAAAGGATTTTTTAAAGGTATTTTTTGCTTACCTAGTAACAATACTACGGATTATGGTGTAGAATTGGGGTACGAAGAGCGCGCACAACAGAAAGAGAGCATGGTAAATATTTTTGAAGCTAAAGAGCGTAGAGTGAGCCCGTCGCATAGGACTCGATTGAGAATTAACCTGTCCGAGGAGAGTTTGGTAAAAAGTGATGAGTTCGAAGAAACTGGATACCGCCTCAAGACGAATGAAACAGATATGAAGGTACATTAGAGGACACTCTTGTATGAAAAAAAGAAGGCAAGAACCGTTTAAATGATGTCAATTATTCTATTTGCTTCCATATACGAGTTGCTATATGACTGAGTTCTCCTAGAATACAGTTCGGAAATACTGATCTTGTGACAGTGGAAGCCCATTATCAGTGAGGCAAAGCCTCTCCCCCCTTCCAAAAAAAATCAAGGCTAGATATGAGGATAACTTCAAGTCGGTGACACCGCTCCAAGTAATATTTCCTGCTCTTCTATTGTAAAATATCTTTACTTCTTCCGTTTTGCTTCATTTCATTTTAATCAATGCATTTTGATCATTGTCTTCCAGGCAATTTTCTTATTCTGATTTTCATTTATGACCCAAGAAAAAGATATTTTGGCCATTCATATGATATTTAAACTTTATTTCTTTCCAGGTTTTTAAAGGATAACTTGAAATTTGAGAAAAGAAAATATCGAAGTTCAAATTATAGTGCAATCTTAAAGACACTGATCTTCTAGCCTATGGTGCAGACGCGCGCAGATGCAGTGATCATGTACGGAAAGGAGGCTGTCGAAAATTGTGCGCCATGTAGATTCTAAGCATGCGTCGTCACAATTTGGCGCGAAGGACTAGGCGGTCGAAACAAACAGGCTGAATTAAGGTATCCTCAAGAAGTTTACAGAAAATTCCCGCGATGTCGATGTCAATGCTTTCGTCAGGGATTATTAAGGTAGCTAATCAGCACAGTAATTCGCAATTATAAACATTTTGTTCTTAAATTGTCACAGGTTTTTTTAAGTGTGGATTCTCGACGACGGCGAATCAGTAGAAAAAAATAAAACGCCGTGAAATTACCGAGTTTAGATTTGAAATGGAAAACACTCACTAACTTTCGTACAATCTGATTAAGGCTAATTTAAATTGAGCTAAATTTGGACTCGATCTTCTTAATATCTAAGTTCACTGTAAGAATAAGTCCATACCATACTTTGTTAGCTACAATTTCATAATGTCACACAACATGTTACGTTTTCTGGTATAATCTATGATTTATATTAAATGGCTATAATGCTTTTAGATAAGTTTATGATCATATCAGTTGTATGGTTTAGGATATTGTTGTCAATGGAATTTCTGTAACTTATATATAAGTTAGAATTATACACATAACTGTTTGTATACAATAATGAACTTAGTATTTTGAAGTCGAAAATGTTGCAGGTGGGTTTGGAAGAACAGGGGTTTGGGGAGCGATAGTATCTCAGTAAACATTCTTACAAAAGTAAACAAATTGGCACATTTTTAGAGTTTGCGTAGTCAGCAGATATCAGCTAGATCTTGGGTGTGCCAAAAGCCCCATACCTTATTTGCAGGTGCACAAAAATGAACCAGAAATACCAGATGCACCATTCAGGTGTACCAGCACTATAAATTTTCCAGTTTTATTTTTCATATATAAAGTTTTCAGGTGTGCCCCTTGACTACTATCAGCATACTGGCACATTTTGGCAATTAGAATAAGTCAGTTATTTCCTAGCATCAAATGACTTGAGAAAAAATTATCCAAGATTAACATCAATTTTTGTTTAATAAAATTCTATATAAACTTTCTCATACTAAGAGCTAGAACATTTATAAGCATCTCATGTTTTTATTAATAACACAATTGTTTAAATTATTAACCCACAATGAAATGCCTGGCTATTTTGACTATCTTTGTGCTGTTGCTAGAGAGTTCACTGCTAACAGTGCTGTCAGAAACCATGCATAATGATATTTTTAATGCAAAATGATATCTATTAAGTGAAAAAAAGCTAATTTATCTTCGTGGATAAAGTCAAACCACAGACTGCGAGAATGAATTATGTTTAAACTCATTATGATGATCCTTTCATTTTCCATCATTTCCCAGGTCAGTTTGGAGCTTGAAATTGTTTAAAATGCCATGCAAATGTTTGCTCATCCACTTTTTAATTTCAGATTTGTTGAGAACCTTGTACATGGTTTGACCCTATGCAAAATTCCTGTGATTTGTCTGGTTGTTGCTACTTCTCAGAGTCATAATAATGAAAGAGAAAACACCAGCAAATTGAACAAATGTTGATTCTACTGAATGAATGGCCTGTCTTTTTTGAGCTACCTGTGCTTCAAGATAATTGTTATCAATAACATTTTATTCAATAGGACATTTTGGTTGCTGACAGTGACAACCTTCCATCAAATCCAGTGGTCCAAGTTCTTGTAAGTTCAGTTGATCCTGTTTGAATTTTTTGTTGAAAAATAAACTCATTAGATGCCAGTACACACCATAGATCTAGCAGCTTGGCTCAATGCACTTGGAAGTCTTATATTATCAGGACTTTGTGAACTGGCTGCCATACATTATCAATGTATTCGCATCACAAATTGATATCTATATGAGTGAGAAAAATTGTGATCAATGAAGATTTAACTCAAGAATTAGAATAATCCTCATGAAAGGATAAAAGGGTGACTTTTACACTATTATGTATACTTCATAGTATTCTAGTAGATATTATGGTTAATTTCAGTTTTAATTTCTTGTCCAAAGGGCTTGAAAAAGTTGCAGTCATCAAAAGGACCAGATCGATTCAGGTATTTTAGTGTGCAAATGTTGCATTTCAATTCACCAATTATGCTGAGAATTTCATGAGGAAAAATTGGATTTCAATTTGATTTCTTGTCTAGTTGCTATCAACAAATGCCCACAGTGACATCCTTATTACAAGCCCCATGTTGAATGTATTTGAGCTGTGTGTGATGAGAAACTGCTGGGTGTATACAATGAAGCTTGTTGTAGCATAATGAGAACACATTGAGCACATCAAGCACATTGACATCAAATGGAAGAGTGAAAACATTATTAGGACTTGAATACTTTTTATATTTTAATGTAATAAATAGGTTTTTATTCATTTATTTTAAGAAACTAGCATCTTGTTTATATTCCTTCTATTTCCAATTAAGAATTGCAAGCCATTCACACTGTTTATCATTATTTGGAAATTTCTACCCACACTGTTTATTCCAGACCCCCTGTTTATTGGCTGTCAGGAAATTTTTTGCCCATTTAATTTTGTCCAGGCCCCCCACCTATCCTGGACCCGAGAGTAATGGTATACATTCTAATTATCTTGAAAAAATTATTAAAGCCGGTAGCTATTCTAACCATTTCTTGACTCTCATGGATTAACTTGCTTTGCAGAGTTGTTTTGTCAGATGGAGTGAATTACTACACCTGTAAGTTTTTGCTATTTTGAGTATGAATATCATTTACTATCTTGATAAAATGCACATGTGCACCAAGCCCTCTATTGTCATGCCTAATCTTAATTCTTTATTGTTTTGTTCCTAAATGTATTTGACAAACTGAGTGTCCAAAATATTAATATAATGCAACAAAAAGTAAAGTGTGAGTTGAATTCTTGATATTTTGGCATGTTGTTGTGTCCGTTTTGCAGACTTCAATTTGTCAGAAATACCTTTGTCTTCTTTCTTAGAGAAAGAAAACGTTTTTAAATGGCAGTCAGTAGCCTATGCTAATGACTTCCAGTGGTTGCTAGTGATGCCAGGAGCTAGGTCTACATAAAATAGAAAGGTCTCATATTCACATATGATAGTTTCATGACAAAATGGATTCTTATAAGATACAATTAAGCTACATGATATTCATACTAAAACATAAATTAGATATTATGATCGTTTTTCGGTATTATTACTCCTGTTTTCTTCACATTGCTACGACCTCTTTATACCAGCGGCTATGCTTGGAACACAGTTGAATGATATGGTGGAAGCAGACACTATCGAGGCAAAGTGTATTGCTCGGCTGGAGCAATATACTTGCAATGTGGCTCAGAACACAAGGCTAGTGGCAGCTATGGCATTGATTTATTTGAGAAGTATAATTAACAAAAAATAAGTCAAATGTAGATGGAGTGGCATTTGTTGGTTCTCCCTTAGGACACACTCTGGCTAAAATCAAAATACCATATTATATTTGGCAGTTAGGCTCTTTTTTATATTTTTTAAAGTAAAAATTCTGAAATATTTTCATTATTTGATTTGTTACCTTTATTTACAATTGCTATTACTTGTTGGTGTTTAGCTTTTTTGTTTAAGTATGTGCACACAGCAGCAACATTATTTCAGTCTACTTAATTGGCATATCTTGTAATTGATTATATTGTAACACATGGTATATATCAGAGCTATATAAAACAATTTTTTATATACTATGCTGATTATTGCTTTGTTTGAATCTCATCCTTTTCATCTTTGAATAATTGAATCTATTTTTGTAAAACTGTGTTAACATATTTTATTCACAACAAAACATTAAATTGGTGTCTTTATGCTTGAAAATTACTAAACTTATGCTTTATTGTCTATCTATGGTGAGAAACATTTGATTTTATTTTAATGAATCTTTTAATTTACAGAAAAGTCATTGTTGTTTTGAGTATGAAGATAATAAAACCAGCAACTGAAATTCCTGGAAAGATTGGCCAGCCGGTACAACTTTCTGATCAAATAACTGTAATTGAAGAGATGGCTAAAGAGATGAAAATGCAAAGTAAATCATCTTTCTTATTTATAATACTTTGTCTTGTCTTGTTATTATAATTCTCAAAATCTATGAAATGATTTGAAAGCCACTTCTGATTTTGCTTTGTCACTTTTCGAATGATATTTGCTGTTTTTAGAGATAAGGCAATATTTTGCAATCATTAAAACTAACTTTCCTAGATGGTACAAAAGATCAACATCAAAGTTCAAATCAACAGAATCAGGTGCAGCCAATGAAGAGCGCTGATAGAGGTAATGGCTGAAATTTTGTAATATTCAGTTTTCTGAGACATGAATATTAGAGAAAAAAAAGTACAAAATATCACCAAACAACATTAGAAATGAGCCAAATTACAACAAATACAAAACTGCTGTTTGTAACCATGTCACAAGAACGTTTAATAATTTATACTTAATAATACTTTAATAAAATATTCATACTTTATTTTAAATGGACATCAATTCCTTATATTTCATTTAGCTTTTTAGATCATGTTTTAGCTTTATGCTTAGGTTTTTACCATTAAATGTTTATATATACCATTAATTTTTATGTTTCTATTAGTTTTTACCATCTGTAACTTTGTAAATTTTTTAATCCACAACGACAAACCATGTAAATGGAATTGTGTTTAATATCATGTCATTGTGGTTGAGCATGGTATTAATATTTTGAAACAATTTTGTCCATGATTTTGAATCCAAATTCTTTTTGCATTCAAAATTTAGATATGCAGTAAAATCTTGTGTAAAAAAGAGTAATAAAATTAACTTTAAAATCAAGTAGAATAATTTTCATATTTAATTCCTAGGTTTTGGAAATGGCAACGCCAATGGACAGCCAAACCCCTATGGTGCAAATAAAGGAGGTGGATTTTATGGTGGAGGGTTAGTTGTTACTTATGGAAACAAATTTCAGTGACCTGATAGAGAAATATTAAATCCAATATTTAGAAAGTTGAAATAAATATGAATAATATTTTTTGAAAAGCAGTCTGCCCTAATTTGTCACTATTTTTTTGGTAAACATAGAAACTGCACACCGATGACCTTTTGATAGAGAGAACAATTTCGGTAAGGAGTTTTACCCAACAGTAAACATGAAATCACATCATATGATGTTTGTAAAAGCAGCTAATAAAATATCTGAATAATATTATCTGGTATTGAATCTTGGTTTGAGAGTGCACAGAGAGTTTGCTTTTTTATACTCTATGAACCTTTTGAGTTTTTTATAAAGTACACTGTTTTAAGTTGTACCCATTTATCAGTTGAGTTTCATGACACTGTGTGACACTTGCACTTGTTTTAGTCCCAAGATGCAAAACAAACCAGTTGGAGCTGGCGGTATGATCATTCACCCTATCAGCAGCCTTACTCCCTATCAAAACAGGTATGTATATAAATATATATGGTAGAATTTAGGCTAGAAATCAGACATGTTTGCTGTTACTGAAAATTTCATGTTTGATCACTCATGAGTATGCAAGCATGAAACTTTGAGTAACTGCGAACATGTGTCATTTTTAACTTAAGATAGATATATATTTCTCTTGCTTTATTATTTCATGATTATATGGCCATATCTCAGCCAGTTTGTGTTGTATAGTTATCTCAGTGTTGTTTCCTAAATAAATATATAACATTTAGTTAGCATTAATCTAGATGTAACTGGGAAATCAGATGTTGTCTATTGCAGACTGCCTTATGGACAGTGTGTGTTGACTGTTATGTAGACTAATTGTATGCAATGTTGTTTAATATGTCAACTGTAATAGCTTCAGTATTTCAGTACTGGTAATTGCTTCAGCTTTGTATTGAGAAAGAGTTTTTTTCTAGATGGACAGTAAGAGCAAGAGTAACAAACAAAAGCTCAATAAGAACATGGAGCAACTCAAAAGGAGAAGGGAAACTGTTCAATGTTGACTTGTTGGATGAAACTGTAAGTGAGCCACATTGAGCATCATTTTCACAATCAAGTGTTCAGTAGGGTCATCTGCCATGAAAAGTTTGATAAATTGACTTGTGCAAAAAGTAATTTTTTGATGCTATAATTGAGACAACTAAGTTGCAGTTAAAATTTAAATTTAAGTACTTTTTATAAGCAATGTTTGGCTTAATTGGAATTCTCATCTTACAGAAGAATTTTGACAATAACTGTTATATGTTCTTCAAAAAAACCAGCTATATATTTTAGCAAAACATTAGCAATTGCACAATATATTGAACAAAACTACCTTTTTTAGCAAGAAAGATAATCCTCTATCCAAAGGGAGAAATGCTGTGCGTAGCCAGATCCATGAAGTCTTGGGCCAGAAGATCGAGTAGATTGTGAGGCGTGATAAAACTGAATCTGATTCCAATTTCCCCCATTAGTTTGATTAGTTCAAGGAGAAAACCTTTGCTTGAAAGGAAAGGGATACAACAAAGTGTTCGATAGAGAGACAAACTATGCTAAAGCTTGGACATAATAAAAAGGGGTGGAGCCAGTGAAGGTCCTAGGAGGAGGCAAGGGCATTTAGGAGGAAAGTCATGGGACATCTGGTCTCGAGGGGGAGAGAAAGGACCCTGAAAGAATGGAGAGAATAGTATAAATTTTTAGCAAAGAATAAATTTTAAAAGCTGCTTTGATACTGCCCCTATAGATTTAATTTCAGTTATGATCTGCTTCTTGCTGGCCTTCAAACTTTCCAGTAAATTGTAGGTGTTAAATTTCTTGCAGCTGTTGACTAACAGTTGTGTTAGGCTAGTAATCATTGCTTTCATTGTCTCATGTCAGATTTGCAACAAAAATTTGACAAAGACAGAATGAAAATATGAATTTTAATTCCAGCCGCTCCTATCAATACTTGCTTAAGCTATAATTTAACATGACTAATGTTAAGCACCATATGCTTGATCTAGAAAAAACTCTTAAATCCGTTCTTCAATTTTGTACAGGGCGAGATAAAGGCAACTGGCTTTAATGATGCTGTTGACAAGTTCCATCCATTGCTGGAGGTTGGAAAGGTAAGCAGTGTGATTTAGACTATGCTAGGCAATCCATTTAAATAAAGTACAAACATAAAAGATATTTAGAAGTCTCGGTGCAGAATGGCTGTAGCTTGGCCGTGTGTGATTATTGTGATTATTAATACTCTTGCTCTTTTTGCATACCGTATACAAGTTTACAGTTTCCTGTTTTCTTAAAAATTTGTTTACCTAAGTAATATTTCAGGTAATCACGGTAAGAAAGTAATGGGTGCTACATAAAAACGTCCGATTTCATTGAAATACACAACAAAACTCTGCAGGTACAATTTTGGATCATTGAATTAACTATAATTCTTATTTTGGGAACCAGGTTTCTTTTATTATGTGTTTATAGCTTTACATAATTGATACGGAATTTCTGCTCTGCAACATAATGATATCGCTAATGATTTTTCTTCTTCGTTTCCCTAGGTTTATTTCATTTCAAGAGGGTCTTTGAGAACAGCAAACAAACAGTACACATCTCTGAAGAACGATTATGAAATGTACCTGAACAACGACTCAGTGATAGAGCAGGTTAGTCAACTAAATCATCAAACATTATTTTAACTGTCTTGATTAATTAAAAGCATTCTATTCTGATATTTTGCGTTGGTATGTCCTGGTAGGTTTGATACCAAAGGTCACATAGTATGTTATGTTTCAAGGGTTGACATCTAACATGAGTAAGCCAGGACGAAATATTAGTCAACTTATGAGTTTTTTAAGCATTTGCTTTTTATTGTTAGCTCGTTCCTGCCTTTCTTTCTTTGTTGTTGACGCAGTATCATCACTTGATAAACATGACCCGGTAAACGGCTTTTTCCCCTTTGTTTTCAATTTTCCATATCTTCTCGGGGCATGCTTCTATTAAACAACACAGAAAATGCAAAATTTATAGAGAAAAATGCAGAAAAAGTTTGAATGTTGGATCTGCTTTTATTCGAGAGATTAAATGAATAGCAGATTGCAAGAGACTTGAATCAACTACTTCCGACAATGCCTACAACGAAGCTTGTATCTGACTTCAATAAGAGAGTTTATGTATAAGAGAGTAAAAACTTTATGGACAATTTTAATTCCCTTGATATATCTGTATTATTGCATTCTCTGGTCAATAGAAAACATCGGTGCCTTATTATCACTTCGAGTTTCATGCTATGTGCAATTATCTGACAACTGTCAACATAGCATACATGGAAAGTTGCCTGATAATTGCAATGAACCTGACATTCAGAGTTGCAGCTTAGAACCGTCCTGTTGTATGCAAAAAAATGTCTACAGCCTTGCCTATACTGATATGGCATCTATGATTATATGACAGACGGGGATGTCTTTTTTATATTTATACTTTCTGTCACATTTTCATATTTTTATACTCACCTCTGACATTTTTCTTTATTTTCTAGGTTTTTTTACAAGGTCCTTTTTATTTTTCTAATCTTAGAAATAAATGCTCTCATACTATGTTGATCTTGTTTTAGTGCACTGAAGATGTCGACTTGCCACAAGTTCAATTCAATTTCGTGGCTATCAGTGAGCTGGAGAAAATAAACAAAGACGCCATAGTTGGTAAGATATGTATAAAGTTGTCCAAAGAAGGAAGCTGTGCTTGGCGCACTTAGTAACCTGTTGCTAATTCTAAACAGTTTTGTTGTTTTTCAGTATTTATTTGTTTTTGTTATTACCTAGTTCCCGAAATCATTTTTTATGTCACCTGGAAGCTGTGCTTACCAAGAAGTGTCCTGTCCTAACTCTCGATGTGTCCACACCTCGTGCTCCTTTCACCAGGAATCAGAGAGGTTTCTCCTCAATCTAATGAAGGTTTGGCCATAACAGAGACTTAAACTACAGACCCTTAGATTAGGAGTCCGTGACCCCAATCAATTTGTCATTGAACTAGGAACCATTAAACTGGGAGCCATTCTCACACCTAGTTAACCAGTCCGACAAAGAATGAATAGAAATACGAATTTTGATTCCAGTTTTACCCATCAATACTAGTCTAATGCTATGGTTTAACATGCTTTCAACAGTTATATTGTTATTTTTTATATGATTTAATAATATACGTGTGGCTAAGGAAGCATATTTGTTTAAGATATCATTGGAGTGGTTAAAAGTGCACAAGATGTTGTCCAGATAACGACACGGAATGGCAAGCAGGTAAAAACGATATCTTTTATCGTTAAAGCAACCCAGGATAAGCAATCAGCGAAAAACCCTTTTTTTGTTTCCATTGCTTTTAATATTTCTTTATGAAGCAAGCAAACAAGAGAAGTTTATTTTATGTGTTGAGCTGCCATAGTTGACAAATAATTCAGATAAAAGAAAAATTTTAGAATAATTAACTTAGTTTCAACTAGAAGTACAAGTGGCCCCTCCCACCAAATCACTGTTGATTATAATTTTGCTTTGCTCAGAATAGAAGATAGAAAGTCGTAATTAGTCAGAGTTTAGTGAAATAATATTTTCCAAATTTAAAAGAAAGATGTAGATGTTGTTAGTTGCAATAATTAGACATTAAGTGAGTAAATTACGCCTTTACACACGAAAATTTCTCAGACGACAGCATTATTTTCGTTGACTTTCCGTAGTTTAGCTTAATCTAGTCGAAAGAAGAGTCCTAAATAGTTTTATGAGGCTGAAAGTTTTAGACCGTTTTTGAACGTCTGTTGTGCGATTCTTTGAAAATGAATATGAATTTAAGCTCCTGCTGAAAAGAATTTTCCCATTACTGTCCCTATTTAATTCTTGCCTCCAATAGGTTTCCAAGAGAGACATCAATGTTGTTGATCGTTCTGAGGCATGCGTCAATGCCACACTCTGGGGAGATCAGGTAGGCTTCTTGCTAGTCATAATGTAACGGCTCTTTCGTCAAATTGGAACAACCTTCGCCAACGTTGTGAATGTTGCTTGCAACAATAGCTTGTTTTGACCATTTAGAGACAGGGCTAAAGATGATATCAGGCCGGGAGATCAGTGTTCTATCTATCATGTGATAAAAAAATATGTAATTTTTCCACCCAATCTGTAACTATTATTTTTAAAATTCAACTTGCAACCCTAACCAACATAAAAGATATTCACTTAACGTTTATTTTAATCACTATATTAGTAATATGTAGTAGTTCAAAAGTATTATTTTTATCAACTTGTTTGCCTAATTCATTCGTTTATAGTTAACATTCTGAAATATTATTCGATTATTAGGCTGAAACTTTCGACGAACATATGAATCAAAGTCCAGTTGTTGCAGTCAAAGGAGCTAAAGTTTCAGATTTTGGAGGTATGTTTATTTTGATGCTATGTTTCCGCTTTTCTGTGTTCTCCTCAAATGACGATTCCTTACTGCTTTGTCGATGAAAATTATCTATACACTGTTAAATCGAATACACACGGTTTATTGTTTGTAATGTTTTTCTTGTTTGTACAACTGTATTTTGCCATATTGTTTATCGGTTATTTATTTGTTAACTTTTTCTATTTTATTTCTACAGTTTTTACTTCATTTATTTTTTATCATGGCCAGATAAGAAGATATGGTTTGCGTCTTGATCTCGAAACAATATTTGAAAGACTAAACTTTTGACTGAGTCTTGCTTTCATTTAGGCCGATCTCTTTCCGTGATGAACAGCAGCGTGTTCCACATCAATCCAGATATCCCAGAAGCCCATGAGCTACGAGGATGGTGAGCTTTGAGTAATTTTCGTGCTATCTAGTTATTTGCGTAACAAGAAATACTCTGTTGCTCTTAGTAGGCTTATATTGGGCGAAAACATTGGATTGTTTATTCGAAAAAGTTATTTCTTTCGAATTATAAAAGCAACTTATAATTGGTTTTTGTGCTTATTAATTGTTTTACTTATGTACTTATCTTTTTTTATTCTTATTTTAAGCTTTCGTTGTTTTAGTTTATGTACGTTTGTTTACTTCATCAAAGGATCTTGCATTCGCAGTTGATGCAGCAAAGAAGAACCTTTATAATGTTTAGCATGATAGGGGAATAAACGGAGCATTTGTGATTTGACTGTTGCTCAAATTAAACATCTTTAGAGATATCTATAAAATTCATTGGGAAATCTGTTACAAGTTTTTATTGATTTTGTTTCTGTCATTTCTTGTGTCTCCACATTTTAAGGTACGATAAGGTTGGCAAAGATGCTGGAGTGAAGTCTCTCTCTGGGCAAAGAACAGAAGGTATGTAGTTTTATATTTTATTTGATCAAATTGTAACACATCAATTGATAACTCGAATTCTTGTGAATGTATCAGTTAATTATCGTTTTGTCATCAACATTCAAAGATACCACCGCACAATTTACGGTTTCAGGATTACACTGTTTCGTTTTTCTACTTAATTTTATGTTATTTTAGTTAGTTTTAACTTTGCCGCAATAATTTTAATTTTCAATTAAGGTAGACTTTTTATCCAATGTTTAATAAATCGATTGAAAAATAAATCAAGGCTTGATTAAAGTTGTTAAGGTTGGTTTGAACCTAAGCAGTTTTAAGGACCGGGTTTCATTAGCGACGGAGAAATGTCACTTGCATACGTCACTTTTTGTGTTGAAAATTTCTTGCAAAAAAGCTACTAATATTTGTAAAAAATGTACATCTTCCCAAGGTTATAAAAAGTATGCAGATAATCTAGTAAAATAAATAACGGACATTAGCTAACAAACTTTATCAGATTAGCAGTATCAGTTTAATTTAAGATATTTTTGCCTCTCAAAGATATTGTTAAAGAGTATTCAACTCTATGTTAAAGTTGAAGGTTGTTTTGATGAAGGGTAATTTGAGTCATTTGTCTACATTTAGAATTTTCGCATTTTCGTTGTACTTTTCGATGATGTCGGCACTATGTCGTATTTTCTGCACACATTTCTTAGATGATTATATTTTCATCAGGAGGTATATCTGGTCAATTCAAGACACTTGCCCAGATGAAAGAAGAGAATCTTGGAATGGGTGACAAGGTAAACCTTAGTTCCTTTGCATTTTGTATGTCTGTTGTTATGGGTCTTATGCTCCAGAAGATTTGATTCTAGCAGAAATCTACTGTCTGCATTTTAGTAACATATATATTTGTATATATTTATACATTTATATATATATATCTGTTTTTAAAATACACGAATACTGCTTCTGAGATATTTTATGTAGAAAGCGTTACTCATATTTTTCATATGTTTCAGTTTTTTATTTGTTATCTTGTTTCAGCCTGATTACTTCTCAACCAGAGCATCTGCAATCTTCTTTAGGAAAGAAAATTGTCTGTACAAGGTGAGATATTTTCATTCAGCAAACAAATCCCACAATCCATGCTAAAAGTTTTTAGACGGTCCTGTAGTTGAAACGATCTTTTTAAAATTCTGTTGTGGCCGGTGTGAAAAGAACGAAAATTGTACCTCCTCTTACAAAAACAATGCTGCTTTTAAAATTATGTTTGCTATGAACTAGAAAAGACTAAAGCCTTAAAAGTTATTTTCATGGTCATGTATGTTACATTGTTTGTAGGGGATGTGAATATTATCTTAAATTTTCAAAAATCTAGTGTAGCATCCTCAATCAAGACAAATCAAGACTTTTAACAGATATTCTGATATTTTTAAAAAACAGAACTTTTCTTCGAAGGAAGCTTTGATGAGTTCCTGCATTGTTATCAGCGATTAAACGTTTTAGATAATTTCTATAATTTGGTTCTCTGATTTTGCATAACTCACATGCTATCTTTAGCATATATGCAAAAGTTATTTTCGAAGAAAATGTTTTTGAATAAATGTCTAAAACTGTCGCCCTTCTTTTACCAACCCAAAATAGATGAATGTTGATGTTCTACAATTTGCAACAGACAGATTCCATTACGTTATATAGTGTTTTTGTGTAAACCGTGATTTGTCTTGCTAGGCTTGCCCAAGTGCTGAATGTAACAAGAAAGTTATTGACGAAGGTGGCGAATATCGATGTGAAAAATGCAATCGATTGTATCCTGAATTCAAGTACCGAATGATCCTTTCGGTAAGATAATCTATTCTTTGCATTTTTACCTTCATTACAATAATTTCTACTTCTTTGGCAGTGTGTATGCTTTGTTTTTCTTAAAGGCTCTTGCGCAACCGGCATGCTTTGCGACTATTGTTCAAAGGACCGGCCTAATATCGTACTGCATGAGAATACAAAACACAGTCAATTTCTCAAGACAACTGCCGCCAAGCATGCCAGTTGCGCAAGAGCCTTTAAGATAATACGCTGCTCAAATTTACTTTATTTGATTTCTTCTATTGGGTACTAAGCGCCGTTTCGTTTGTTAAACCAGAGTTGCTATAGTGGTTTCTATTTCAATGGAAATCCAGGCCATTTCCTTCGCTGCAAGTTGGCTCTCTAAGTTTGCTAGCAAAATACATAATTCTTATAAGCAGTCATATCAGATATTCTTCATCTTTGTAGTTTGTGCTAGCGCCCAACCTGTGTTCATATTTAGTAGTTCTGTGGACCTCATTATTGGTAATAACTCGTAAGAAATAGTGATAAAATATATTGTAGATTTCAGACTGAAGGTGAATATGAAATCTGTCAAGTTCTAATTTATTTTTGTTAATTATGATACCCAAAGGCTTTTTGAGAATTTTTTTTTCTTAAAAGTAACCAAACTGGTTTTTATGTAGACAAATATTTGCGATTCAACCTCAAGTCAATGGATAACATGTTTCCAAGAGAGTGGCGAGCAAATCCTGGGAACAACGGCGGATGAAGTCGGGCGTATGAGGGACAATGTAAGTGCCCATCTCTCAATCACCTAAAATTGCCTTTAATTAGGTATAAAAGTTGATGGAACTGCCTCATCAGTCCTGTACTAATGCTACACGTATTCAATACATAATGAAATATTTGCATATTTGAATGTCTGTACTTAAAGTGCAAGATATATTTTGAAGTCATGAGGTAACAGGAGAGTCATATGTTGTGTGATTATTTGTTATCTGATTAAGAATTTGTTTGTTGCCGCAATAAAACTAAAATATTTTACTAAATTTGGCTTGATAATATCATTTGTTGTTACATGCAATATCCATATATTTTTCAATCTCTTTGTTCCAGTATTTGTTCCACTGATGTATTTTAACTCTTATGCTGCTTTCTGTTCCGATCCTTACCTGAAACCAATTGCAAATTTTACCAGCCTTTTTTGTTTACAGGATGAGCGAGCATTTGAAGATCTTTTCGCCGAGGCTTCCTTTAGAATGTACAATTTAAGACTTCGTGCAAAAGTTGATACATACAACGTAAGTCTTTTATTGCAAAACTCTTTCCTTTGGAACTTTTAAGGTCTATTTGAGTGTTTCGCCAACTTTTTATAAGCAGAAAGTGATTATTTTGTATCTTTATACTGCATAAAATAGCACACTTGCATTTGGAATATTTTGCATTTGTAGTAACATGCCGTTTTTATAATTTAGTTGCTAAAAACTTGCTCATAAAGTTTAACTTAAATAAGCTAATGAACACTGTGTCCTTATTGCCGACAACAAATTGATTGCGATAAGCCTGATTGGTGGTTAGTATTTTGCAAATTTTTACCACTGAATAAACATCCTCAATTAGTTTAAACTTGTCACTGATACTTATTTCTAACATTCCAAATTCTTTACGCAAAAAAAGCTGGGATTTGTGATTACTGATTACTGATTACTGATTACTGATCACTGATTACTGATCACTGATCACTGATTACTGATCACTGATTACTGATTACTGATTACTGATTACTGATAACTGATAACTGATAAGTGATTATTAGTGATACCATGTCACCGATAGAATCCAAAGCTCTGGTAATATCGTCAGACAACTCATTTTTCTTGAAGCACAGTTGCTTTATATTGCAACCAATACTTGTATTTTCAATGCTTTGTTCCAGGACGAGTCTAGGCTCAAAGTCATTTGCACAAATCTGTCTCCTGTCGACTTCTGTGCTGATTCCCAAAAATTATTGGAAGATATAAAAAAATTGGAAAATATGTAAAACGGACTGAATAAACTTGAAAAAGAGTTTTGCTTTTGTAACGGTATTAAATTTTTCATCATAAACAGTCGTGTTCGTGTTTTGTTCTACGCTGCCAGTGTTACAGTTCTCTTATTGATAGAGTAGAATTTGAGTTAATGTATGGTCAGGTAGATTGGCGGGAATCTTCACGTGTCAGTATTTCTAAGAATCCCTTTTATTTTTGCTAGTTTTGTCATACGATAGCTTGTAATGTTCAAGATAAAATTTCAGATTTAAGATGCGTGAGAAATTGCTGAGCGATCGGGTCTTCTTATAGTGTAATATTTTGTTGACAAACGATGGATTGTAATCGCTGGTTGTAATAGGTCAATATTCAGTGTCATTTGAAAAATACGAATAGCCAATGCACACCTCAGAAATTATTCTCTGCATATTTATCTAAGATGCTGTCTCTAGTTATCTTTGTATGCCTCGTTAAATGATTTATGGATTTTTTGAAAATAAGCTTTTTGTTTCATTATTGTATCAAAATGATTTCATGATTAGGACAATTAAGAAACGAGGAGTACTGAAAACAGGCTGAAAAATCACCACTTTTAAAAAGAGACACCACTTGAAAATAAGAGCATTATTTTTACATAAATAAATATGCTAGTTGTATCTTCACCTGTATTTAGATCCACTTATATGTAATGCGAAACGTCAGTTCACACTTTTTATGGTTACTGTGCTCTGTAATATTGTATTCTGTATATTGCTGCCGATCACTAAATTTATTACCAAAACTAATTTGCATTCCTTCTTGATGTCACCTTTCTTCGTTTGCCTTGTGAACTACAAAAATGCCACTTGTTTACTTCAAGATTGCACCTAAGCTTTTGTTCCTCTGCCAAGAAATAAAAACTAACGTGCGAGTAACAGTAGAGAATTAAAAATATTGCTTGCAGTGATATAATGCTTCTCATTATCAGACTATGTACAAGGTCAAGCCTAATGGGATATGAGCTACATCGTTTTCTTCTATTTTAGAGGGAAGATTACAAATAACGGAATTTTTGAAGTATACGCAGTATGGACCCTTAAAAATTGTGTTGAAGTAGACAATTTTAAAATCTTTATGGAAACGAAAGTTTAATTTCCTCTTATTTAACATCAGTATTTCATTTGTCTGTCTTAGTTCCAGAAGAACGTATTTGATTTTAAATCTTTAGTGAGTTAATGATTTCAATGAACCAGTTTACGTCTGTTTCAACATCAACGTTGGCATCTGTGAAAGAGGAACACGATTCTTCTTGGCCCATCTGTCCATTTCTTTTTCAATGATGCTTGTGATTGAAGAAGGATTGTGATTGAAGAAGTCTTTCACCTGATTATGCTCTGTCTTTTGCTATGAACAATTTCAATACATTTAGATAAATAAACAGTAGGTATGAGTAACGCAAAACGACAAGGGACGATCAGATATTGATGTAAGATGATTTAAACACGGAAATGTACAAATACAAAGTTTCTCCTGCGATTTCTGACCTCAGTTGGCGGCTGGCGCACCATCGGAGACGGGACCCTGCGGCGGAGCCTTTTTCCTGGTAACGTTGATATCAAGACTCATGGCTGCCGCTCTTTTCCATGATGGTGAATAACCCGATGAATTCTCGTCACGTTTACAATGAGCAACATACAAAAAATTGCAAGACAGGCTCTCATTACATTCACATCAAGGGATCATACTGCTTTTGCAACTAACTTTGAGAAGCTGAAATGTCTAGTAAGTATAGATCTTGAGTAATATGATATTTTGGTTGCTTTTGTGATTAGGCCAAGATAAGCCGGGTCTTTGCTTCTCTCCTTGCGACTGGCTTTTCGTAGAGCTAAATGCTCTAGGGCTGCATTTCTCCTTGAAAGCCATTCTGTGTAATTGTTTCTGCTGGAGCCTTAACCTTTCGATAGGGGATAGCCACACGCGGGCATTTTTGAGCGGTTGTTTACTTCGTTTAGTGCTTATTTATCATGAGAATTTAACTAATTCTGTTTGACTTGTGTCAAAACTTGTAATTAAGTGATGCCACCAGCTATAATTAAAAATCTTATTATTACAAATTTATCAACATCTGCATTTATTTTCAGGCAATTTCAATTAAACCATCTGATATAAACTTGGAACTGCCAATAAAGGAACTTAGCACAACCACAAGACGTTTTACTGCACCAGTCTTGTATGTCAGTATCGCCGAGTCAAAGTACTTCACCCTTGGTGTTTTTGTATTGAAGAATGGCGTGTCCATACCGTTACATGATCACCCAGGGATGCATGGTATATGGTATGTTCTGAAAATATGATTTTCTATTGGTGTTTTGTGTATAAGTTCTTTACCGATAAAGTTTTAGGCTTTGTAGGCAGTTGGTAGTCTATTGCATAGCAAGAGGCCAGTGTGCATATTGCATTGTTACAAAAGCCATGTGCTTGGGCTTTCTGGATGCAATTCAGACATGTGAGTCGCAAAAAGTTTGTCTAACCTAGTGTAATCCAATGAAAGATTTTCTACCAAAATCTTTTGTTATGTATTTTCTTGTATTTTCATATATATATTACTCTTTAATCTTTATTGAGCTGTATGAGTTACTCCCAAGGCTGGTTATTCAGATTTTTCTGCTTTCCACAACTAAAGAGAATCCCATAGAAATTTCTAATTACATTTCATTGGGTGAGTGATTTTTGAGTTATTGTCTAGCCAAGTAAAAACAAAACTTAAGAATGCTGAATACCTCAACCTCTTTAAAAATGTAATCTTATTATAGGAATGAGATAAGGTCCCATGATAATTACAAAAGAGGTCAATTGAATTTTTAGCTTTTGTTGAAATCACAATAATGGAGCTTGTCTTTTGTTTTTATCATGCAACATTCCCTTTTAGCAAAGTTTTGTATGGTGCTGTGAAGGTTAAAAGCTATGATGTTTTACCAAGGTTTGTCTCTTTATATTTAATGAAGGAAATGCCATCTTTGGAATTATGAAACAATAGATACATAGTTATCAAGGTATATATGAGTTTTCCCTTAATTTCATCTTTCAATTTCCTTTTTCTATGATCTAAACTTCCCACCTCAAAGCTTTAAACATTTCACATCTGGGCAACCAGTTTTTTGTAGTTTCACGACTAGTGCATTTGAGTATCTAACAAAGTAAGACTTTTGGAATGGATGACAAATGTTTACATGTAGATTGGGGGCTTTTGTGTGTATCAGGAAAAGGCTTTGTGACTTTACTTGTTTGAAAATCATATAATTAAAAATAATAAGACCCAAAAACATCAGACTTCTTTGTCAGATTTCAAACCTTAAATAACTACAATGTGAGTGTGATTAGAAAACCATTCCAGGTACTAAAATGGCCTTAAACCCTATATGAAATGTCCAGTGATTACCAAAATGTTAACAGTGATTAATTTTTTGTCTTTTATTTTCCATACACCTATTATATCTCTATGTGCTGAAATTTGTACAAAATTGATTCTTTTCCAGGCAATATGATGATGGAAATGATTGCGCTACCCCAAACGCTTCTATAGGGAGTAAGAATCATTTTTTTCTTTTTTGTTGTTATTTATGCTTTTGGTCTGTTCTTACTGAAAATGAAATTTTTGTTCAAGTTTGTAGAAAGGAAGGGCTTTGCTATCTAGAAGGGAAAGTTTTTGTATTCAATGGGATTTCCAAATCCCATAGCCCCCATAGTGGCAGCTTTGGTAACAAAAATTGTCATGGGTAGGATTCTGCCAAGCTATTGGCATGTAGATTTTTGGCAAGATTGAGGTGAATTTAGTCTTTTCAGGAAACATGAAAAGCTATATATTAGCTATTTAATGACTGACCAAGTGGTCAGTCATTAAAGCTTCTTCATAAGACAAGGTTTGTAAGATATTTCCCTGTTCCTGTTTAAAGAAACTATTCCAAGATGGATGATTTTCATATAGATTTAGATGCAAAGTGATAGAGCAAAAAGTAACATGACCTTCAGAGATTATTGAGCAGACCAGACCAGAAATTTTCCTTCAGAATATACCCCTATGCATTACCTTTTTGTTAGCTGTTGATTTATCAACTTTCTTTATATTGCTTTTTAACAGGGAAGCAAATTAGATGCAAATACAGCGGTGAAAGAATATTTGATTCTGAAAGCGAGTCTTGTATGCTGTCACCTGGTCATGGAAATTTTCATTCAATTCAATCTATCAAGTTTGTTACTTTTCTTATTTGGAGCTATATTTGTTCTTTATTTCAAAAAAAAATTCTTGATTCTTAAAGCAAAATGTTTAAACATCGGATTTTGTTAATTATATTGTGTCCTGTGTGTGCACCATTTCATTAATTATACTGACATTTGCACCATTTCTGGCATGTCAGCAAATTTTTGGTGGCCCTTGGATCTTTCAAATTAAACAAATATAAGGGTTACTTCCTTAAAGGTTTTAGATCTATGAGGTGAAGTATGTCATATCTTTAAAGAGAGCATTGAAGCTCTTTCCAATGCAAAAAGATGCAAAACCTAAAGAAACCATGAATTTTCTTCAAACAATTGTCATATAAATGCAGCATTGGGTGTTTCTGCCAGTGGATTGGACCCTGACTTTTCTAATCTTACTAGCTTGCTAGCACCTTCCTCCACTAATAAATTCTATGTTAGATGTAGTTTCTAGCCATCTCTAGATTAACTTAATCCAACATTTTTCTTGCCGCCAACCAAATACAATCGGCTAAAAGATTTTTGTCTGACACTCTTCAGAGCAAAAAACGCCAGAATAGGCCTCAGAAAACACAAACATAAGACCGGTATAGTTGTTCAATCAGTACCGTGTGCCAGAAGTAAAATTACCATTGGAATCCGAGAGAAAATACAAACTCCTTTTTATAATGTTTGCTTTTTTCAAGGCCATTTTCAAGTTCGGTGCTGCCAAAAAATTGTTCACAAATACAATCATGACATTTTTGTCCCTCTAAAATATGTTTCACCATCTTTTGATCTGAATTCCAGTCCATCAAGTTGACATGATGATATTGTCATCCTAGCCTAAAAATTATGCGAAATTGTGTGTAAACTGCGTTTTTGGTAGATATACTATGCGACAGTCAATAGCTTTTAGAACCGCTCTCTTTGAATATGTCTTGTATAGCACATTAAGCCAATCCCTCCACTATCTACCCAGCATCACATCCTTCTGTGTTATCATTGGCCTCCCTTTTTGCTTTCTATTATCCACCTTACCAAAACGTATTTCATGAAAATAAGCACACTAAGTATATTTTGTTAATATATAATCTAGCATGAAGTAATAGGGCTGTCTATCTTTTTTATTGTTTAGCCTGGTAAGTATGAGACCTGAATTTCATTCTGAGCAGCTTTTTTTGCAAAGCTGTATATAAAAGTTGACAACTCAGTGGCCCCCAAAGAAAATACACATGTTTTTTCTTGCTCAAGGTTGAAAAAACTTAAGAACCCCTCGATTAGTAGATAGGGAGTAAAAATTTATTTTATCCAGAGAAACTACCAAGTCAACCAGATGGGTTGCAGTTCTAGCTTATATTCCATGATAGTAAAGCTGCACATTTCGCCCAACTCTCCCGGGCCTGACATGCCCCTTCAAAGGCGTAAGAGTTGTAAATTTGGTCCTGTAGTGAATATGGTTGCCCATCCTATAAATAGACCTTTGATAGGCATGCTAGCCAGCGATTTTTTGATGAAATTGGACAACATGGACAAATTGCCAATGTCAGGCAACAATTTCAAAAAATTTTGCTGTGTATTAAAATTTACTAAAGAACTTGAAGTGCCCCAAAACATGTATGTATTGAAAACATTTTTAGCATCAATGGCCAAACAAGGTCATCTTTTAATCTAGGTTTTGGAATCTGTCTCAATATATGAAAGATCCCGTCTTGTGTAGAACAGTGGTGGACACCTGGAGGGGCAAGGAGGGCAGTTGCCTTTTACCATTTTCGAATACAATGGTATTTTGTTCTAAAACAATGGGAAAATATGATGCCATCCTATCAAAGCAATAGGCTCCCCCCCAACATTTGAGCTAGTGTCCACCCATGGTGTAGAACAAGGCATGAGGTTAAAGCAGCTGATTGGTCAACAACAAGGAACCAATCAAAACATGACTATATTCATTATAGATGTTATGATATAGATATCTGACTCTACAAATTTTATTGTTAAAAAAGCCATTGCTTTTAGAAATAATGCCAGTTTATCTTAGTTTATTTGCCTAGCTTGAGCAGTGCTGTTTTTCATTAAAATCTTAGATATTATGCTATATTTTGTGAAAACATTTTGAAAGAATGTTGGCACTAATGTATCAAAACCAACCTGTATTGCTTCAAAATGCATTTTTGCAATTTTTGCAATAAACGCTTAAGTTAGATTTTCATTTGAAAGGCTTGGTTACGATTCTTTCTTTCTATAGTATCTCCATATTTATTAAATCTTTGTATTGCCTTTTTTTAGTGGGCAAGCTGCTTTTCTAGACATCCTTGCACCACCGTATGTAACTGGGGTATGTATTTATCTTGTAAACCAACTAATCATAGGGGTAGCAGAACATATTTGTTATTATGACCTTGCAAAGAATTTGAATGTGATGCAGAGTATCTTATGGAGACAAAAATTAGGTTGAGTAACATCAGGTAATGATAACACTCTAATATAATTTTGTAAGCATTTACTAAGTTTTTCTTGACTAAACTCTTGAATTATTCACTTTTCTCTGACTAAGATTGTTTTAGGAACATGTAAATTTGTAATGTAATTGCTCAGAAATTTTGCTATTTCATGATATATGTGAAATTTTCTGGAAATGTTTTTTTCTATCTGTTTTATCTATGTCATAATATCCCTTTCAACTTAGTGATCACAGATAACTTTCACTTGTAGCTACAGCTACACGATTAAAGATTTTGTGAACATAGATTCAAAAAACTTAAACAGATAAAGTAATTAGACAACTAAATCAACGCTTTCTAGTGAAATTTTTCTTGGTAAAAACACATTTGATCATCATCATTTGGTTTCTCCCCAACGTTTGTACCGTTTTTTAGACAAAATAAGGTGTTTATGCCTTTTCAAAATCAAGAAATACTTTGAAATATTTTTAATAATTGAAAAAATGTTTTCCGGGAACTATTATCTTTTTTTCCTGTTACAGCATCTTTCATAATTTTTGTGCTTTAGGAACGAGATTGCTCTTATTACAAGGAGTGTAGCTTTTCCAATAGCAAGGTAAATTGTTACCTTTGGTATGTTAATTAAATGTATTAAATGTTTGAGTATGCAGTTGTAATTTCATGCAGTTATGCTTTGTGTATCATGTCTTTGTGAACTGAAGAATTACTTGCAAAATTATATTCGAGCCATGAAAATCCACCTATGATACTGTTTACAAAGCACTTTTACTTAGCATTAGTTGCTTCAAAACGATGCTGTTAAGCTTTTAAACCTTGCGATACACCTTTTAGCTCGGACAAATGAAAAACTGTTGGGCTTATGTTGAAACACGCTCTTGCTCTTAGAATGCACTAATTTTTCTTATTCATGTTCTCCCACTTTCCTGTAACAGTTCGTCATCCTTGAAAAGGATTCATGATATTTGCATATTTGATCTCCTACCCAGTAGAAGTCCCACCTGCCTTTTCTGCAGATATATTATGTGAATAGCTTTTGTCGTCACAGTTCATATAATTATTGTTTTTTTCTTCTTAGCCATTATCATCTGAAAATGACAGGTTTGTAGAACGTTAGTGATAGCTGCTTTGTGATCTGACATGATAGCCATTCTCTATTAATACATATTGGTTACGGTGCTCTTCAAGGAGATGTCTTAAGCCCCTTCCTTGTCAACATTTCTGCAATACATTCATCAAGTATGTCTAGGTAATTCTGAACAGTTTTATTTTCTTCCCATGCCAATGAATTAATTTGATGTCCTAATGTGAACAAGTAGAGAATAAAAAATCAAGACACTGCTTTGTAGCCTTTGTTCCAGACCCTTAAGTTAGGGGTCTGGAGCACAGGCTACTGCTTTGGCGCTTCTCATTATGGTGGCAATGGGCTTAGGGATAAGTCTACTACTTTCGTATGAAAAATCCGCTACTGTCCTTATCATTATCTCTCAATGAGGTGGCAATATTTAATGTTTTTATTTGGTTTTGCTGTCAATTTTTTATTAACAATGAAATTTTGTAAGCTGGCTTTAAAAGTGAACATTTGATGGTCTTCTTCTTACCGATGAAATATCAAAGCTTTAAAAAGAATTACTCCACGAAGTTTATTCGTTGCCTATTATTCAAATAGCTTCACTTTTATACAAATAATAATTTTTTTGATATAAGTCTATAAACTGAATTTTTCAGGCCATTTATGTCCATTGTCGAAATCTGTAAATTTGAAAAACCTTAGCAATCTTGTAACCAGGCCCGTCAACACTGTGTTGATGTTCATATAAATTTTACAATCGGTGGTACTAATATTTCTATTTTGTTTTGCAAATTTCTTCAGTGCCAGATCGTCTTCTTTCGTTTTTGGAACGTGATTAAATAAACGTTCTTCTGTGGTGAAATTCTCCATACGGAAAAAGTCTTAAACATGTTCAATTTTGATACAAATGAAGTTTTCTTTAAGAAATTACTAACCAGCAGCAAGACAAACTGAAAAACCAGCTCTCAAATCAAGTAACGATTATCTCCTTCCTGCTTGAGAATTCGCTGAAAATATTTTATAGTTCTTGTCATTTGCACCAAGCTCTTTGCCTAAAATTGATCGTTCTCTTTTAATATAATTCTCAGTTCAGCTTCACTTAATTTGTACTTTTTTTGTATAAACATTTTCGTGATGAAAGTGTACCAGCTGCAAATAGGGAAGTTGCGAATACACAAAATAGGATAATGAATAAAAGCTGGTTTAAACAAGTATATGAATGGTTTCATGGTTTTTGAAGTACTTTCTGCAACTTCCCAAGAGTGAGGTAGCAATAATTTAATTGTTTTATTTTTTTATCATCCTAGTAAATATTGGTATGATTGTGTGATTTCAGCTTCGAACTTTGTGATGAGAAAATCCCTTTGATATCAATATGAATTATTCGACTGTTAATATTCACTTTTGTAATTGCTAGTCTGATAAATGGAATTAGATCGGGCGAGCGTTCTCTAGAAAGGCATGCTAGTCATGGTCTCATGGTTTTCTCTCCGTTTCAGCATAAGATGGCTAGTTGAAATCCCACAGCCAATGGATTTTTATTGTGACTCGTTGGTAAGTGTTGTTTCATTTAGAATAACCTTGTTTGTGATTGTTAGACAAAATTTAACCTGTTAGGCAACATTTCACCTGGTCGTGGCTCCTTTCACAAAATGTCATGGCACATTTTTTCGAAGTTTTACTTCCACTTGGAATTTATTGCTTGGAAAAACTTAGATTAAATTTAATATCCTGTTATATTTCTACAAAAATCCGAACTGTCGTTTTTTATGTTTTACTAAGTCCCTGCATTTTTTGTTCTCTTGTTACCCATAAAATACCATTGCCCTATGCAGAAATGCAAAATCTGAAGTAGAATCCACTGCCCGTGTAGTGAAAATAACTTGGACTACAAAGAGACTAACCAAATCACAGCCATCTTTAATCAGTAATGAAGCCGGGTTGTTTCAAAGACATCGGATTGTGTCTATATAGATCGCAGTTTGCACACACGACCCTTTGAACTGCTGATGATTTGACTGATTCAGACAAAACTAACTCTCTCCTTCCACGAAAAGCATGCTACTTGAACAGACACACCTCTTCTTAAACTATGAATGAGAGTTTCAGCTGAAGGTAGGGTCGTTATAAGCGAGTTTATATGTGAGCGCCTGGACTTTGAACCTAAAATGGTGGTCAAAAGGAATAGTTATGAAAGAAAATATAAGGTCATAGAAGGGGAAATCATAACAAGAATTTTGTGTTAAACAGCATCACAAGTGAGAATAGAACGAAAAAGATTGGTATTGATTAGGCCATTTGCGTTAATACGCATTTACTTCTTGCCAGGGCTGGAAAATGTCCGGCAGGGAATTTTTAGCACAAATTCATTGCAGGAAATTGTTGCTGTATGTAAGGAAATTTTTAGCGTGAAATCTCCATTGCTTGATTTTAAAATGAACATTAAATTTACTTTACTCTCTTTCTACGAAACGCTGTTTTCTTGTGATATACATACATACTGTGCAATTTTTATTCTGAACTACTAACAAAAAACAAAGATTAGCTTTCAAAATACAATCATCTGGTATTATCAGTGTCTATTATACCAAATTTCCGGCAATTCGGGCATGATTTTCAGCTACTAATTAAATCCAATCAAGCTAAAACAAAGTTCACTTCTCTTTTTACATTAGCCATTCTAGATAAATAAAATGACTTAAAGAAAGCCAATCTTGTTACGTCAATTTTTTTGAAGGTGAACATGTCCAAAAATCGGTATGGATGTGTCAATTATTCTTCAGACTTTTCTACTGGCATTTGCATACATTTTTACATGGCTAGCTTAATAGGATGTAAGCTTTTGGGGCTTACAACTTTGCCACTAGCACCACCTCTGATTTAAAACATTAACTTTAACCATTGAAAAATAAAAAAATAATCTTACATGTTGTAAGGACTACTAGCTTTGATGATAAAAATGAGCAACAAACATGAAACCCAACGCAAGATGTAGGATACATCAATGCTTCAATAGTATCTAGATTGCTAGTACTGATATGAAATTAAATCAAAGTTATCATAGATTTTCATTCAGATCTACTAACTTTGACCTTTTAAAAAACCCTTAGTATTGTGCTCGATTACGTTCTCCTTGACAATCTTATTTAGTATTTATAAACAAAATGATTGTTGTTCGAATAGCTATGATAAAAATCGAGGATCAACAATAAGTTATTTTTTAGTATGACAGTTTATTTTTAAGACAAATTTTTAAACAAATCAAGCAGCTTAAAATATCACATTCAGTGGCTGGAAACTTTATCGAATTTTCGCAGGAAATTTTTATTTTTTATTTTGCTACCAGAAAAATAAATCTTTCTTCAAGCCCTGCATCTTGCTCTTTTCTACATATCACAAAATTCCTTCCTATTGTTGTTCCTTTTAGTCATTCTTACCTGTTCATTGGCTCTTTCTATAGCTCAAGATATCTCAGTCATTATGCAACCTTTAAAGTTAACTTCTTTGTCACCTTTAGTTGTATTACAGAATAGGTGTGCTAAAATAAGACTTTTTCCTTTTTTAATGACGTTACACTTTAAAACTCTATCGCTCTATTCCGTCATCTCAACTCCTCGTGAATCGTACCCTATGCTACACTCCTGGTTGGACATCACAGTTAATGATTCACTCGCCAATTATTTTCAGAAAACAAAGAAGCAATAGTTTTTCTTCTAATAGCGGAATAATGTATTTGTAATATTTTAATAAAATGTGTGATTCTTTTACTTATTAATCTTTCAGTTTTATGAGAGCACGAAAACTTTAACATTCAATTTGTTTCATGCCTCAGCCATACAAAGGACCACCAATAGAATTGGAAGAATGATGAAGTGGATGTCTCGAAAGATTGTCTGCTGTTCAAATAACACCTCGGTATCGAAAATGGAAAAGAATGCTAATGTTTTGGTACCTCCCGTTTTTATGCAAAGAGCAGATGGATTTTGCCACGATTTTTCCAAGGATATATTCTTTGGTTACTTATATGTGAAGAATTGATGAGCTTGATGCTGCCCAAGAGTGTATTCGTGTGCTGACATATCTATGCATTTTTAATATTATAATATATATGTAACCTTTTTAAATGTCATCACTGCATTAATAGTTAATATCTCACACGCAAATCATGAACAGTATTTTAATTTTCCCTATAAATGTACAAACGATAGAATTGAATAGCTACAAAAGCTTGTAATTGCTTTGAAAACAGATTGAGTATTCGAAGTGAAAATCTTGATTTTGTTCTGTAACTTCTTGTTTTAAGCCTTTCGTATTGTAAGTAATTTACTGTTTTTGGGCCTGTTTTTGTATTTTAGTTTTAATTTTTCGTGGGGGAAAAAGGGGATTGGGTATTTCTGTATTGTTTCTTAAACAAGATATTGGTGCAAATGGTACAACTTTTGCAAAATGTTAATCGTCACATGACAAGAGATGAATCAATAAGAATTTATTTTGTACAAAATAGTCAGAGATAGAAGCTTTGGATACATAAGCATTTGAAAATGAGTAGAAAAAATTTAACAAAAAGTGTTGAGTTGGAACAACCTACCAGTTCATGGCTATAAATCCAGATGCCTTTGTAAGGTTTCTCTGTGTATTTCGTTGAGTTTTTTCAATGTTTTTTTATAACGATAAACAACTGAAGAAAAAATGCAAAACAGAAAAACTTAAAGTGTTGGGGTGAGGGACAAAGAACATAAAGTTGCCCCTCAGACCGCAAATTTAATTTACACCTGAGAGTGATACCATTAAAAATAGCCATGGACACAAATAAATAATCACAATGTATTCGGGACTTCGGGACACTAAAAATTGACATCCTTATCTAAGCAAATGTTAGAATTTATGAAATATTTCAAGTCGCAAAAAGACAATGTGGAGGGTGGTAGCCCCCTGGCCTTCATAATGGCGACTTTCCAGGGGGGTATTGAACCTTTTATGTGCGGGGTCTATCCGATAATTATGGGTATCAATGTACCTTGCAATCCGATACTTTTGGGTACTTGATTTAGAAATATTGATAACTAACACATCTTTTTGATAACTAACACATAACAAAATCAAAACCGTGATTAACAGTTTAGATATTTTCTATAAGCAGATAGCGTAATTAGATTAACATGACTAGGCAGTTGTTTCTTATGTGCTCAGCAACAAGATTTTGAAATTTGGTTTTGGTATTTCTTGGCCATATCAAACATTTTAGTTGATACTTATTGGTCTGTTGAATTTGTTTTTTATGCCCCCCCATATATTTAAAAAGCCCAAGTGACGTCCCTGGGGGCAAAATAACCCAATTTTAAGCGAGGGGCAAATCACTCCAAGAAAATCCCGTACACCTTTTGTGAAAATCCTATTGTTTTATCTGAAAATTCCTAGAAATCCTTTTGTTTTAGGGAAAATCTCGTACGCTATTTGTAAGAGTGAATTGCCCCTCGACTCAATTTGAATATCCTAGGTCCTTGTTTTCAATTTTTCCATCCTCCAGCACACCCACTTCAGTGACATAGTGTACGACTTTTTCGATTAGGAACCAGACGCTCGTGACGCTCGTTCGTACAAACAAAAGGATAATTGATCGATAGCCCAGATAACAGGTCTTGTTGCCTTGGTGATGTACCATTTAGTCTGGCCTGGCCTGGGCAAAAAACCTGTTCTACCTGTTGTCAGACCTTTGCCGTACGTGCACCCACTCAGCTGAGACACAGTCCCGGCGAAAAGCGAAACTTAGAGGGAGAGAGCAACGCATTCTGCATCATGAGACTCCCAAACGTAAGTTGTTTGGTTTTTTAAACGTCAGACTGTCTATTTTTTCTTTACAGCTGCTAACGAAGATTGCTATTTAACTACTATCGAAAAATTTATGGAACTTGAGAAATTGTGTTGCCTGTTTGTGAGAGAACTATAACTAGGCCTAGCTAATGTTGACATGGTTTAGATAAGGAAATTAAGTCGTTAATTGCCAACTTCGGTCAAGCAACAGAACCTGGTTTTGGCTTTACTTCAATTTAGCCTTACCATGGCGTTTTACACATTCGCGTCCTATAATGGTGGCAATTTTTCTAAAAACTAGGACAATTTTCCATGGCCTGTGAATAAGCGTGGTGTCGTTAAAAATGGACAACAAGCGCCATTAAAAAACCTCAAAATTGTAAGCTACAATTCATCCGTGAAAATTACAGGAAGAATTGCACCAACAATTGATAATGGGCCATTATTTTAAGGCTTTTGAAAGTCGAATTGAAGTACGTAAAAAAGTACTTATGTGTCTACTGTGTTAATTGATAATTCCAGTGAGAAGTGGGCAAGCAGGGTATCTGGGAGGCTTTGTGACAGAATATTCAAAATGGGATTCTTTCCAAGTGTTAAAACTACTTTTTAAGGTTTCAGTGGTAGTTAACTTCCCCGGGGTGGTTAAGGTAAACTTTTGTGTGATTTGTAGGCATTTCAAGCGGAATGCCTGAGTAAGTCGAGTGTTTGTTTGGTCTATCATTCAGAATTAAAGTTGTTAATGTGACGTTGAGCATTTAATATATAAATTATTTTGAGCATTTAATAGAAATAGTATTGCATTGTTTAAAAAATTGCTTACAGTGCCCGTGGCGGAGCCAGGGGGGGGGGGATTCAGAAAGTTGGTCCTTGAGATTCTTGCAAACCTGATGAGAAAACTTCAGGGAGGGAGGGACTTTGTACGTTATCTAGATCATCACATGTAAATGACATTTCTTGGGAGAAAACAGGTCTTTCCTCCGGAAGAAAAAGTTTCAAACAGGGGAAAAGGGCGTGGTCCAAAAGGGCGTTGTCCCTAACACACCTTTTGTCCCCCCCACTTATCCCAGGCTGGAGCCGCCACTGTACAGTGCTGTTAATGCTTACAGCCCTGGCAGAACGATCTTGCTAAGTACACTTCACTTGACTTTGGACAGCTAAGCTAGAAATCACACCTAGAAAATTGGCTTTGTACCAGAGCTTGTTCGTGTAAGTAAGAGGAAAGCACTTAATGTCTTAGTAAAATGCTGACCAATGCTGCATGATAAAATATTTTTTGTAGCATCTTGCTTGCTTTTTAGGGTGGAAGTGTTTACCTCATTGATCCTTCAGAGCTGCATAGGCCTGAGCCAAAATACCAGGACCTCAATGCTGAAAAACGGATGAACAGAGACAAAACACAGTTCAGAGATTTTGAGGTATATGATAATATAAGATGATGTGTAATTAAGAGTTCATTAGGGGCAACAAAATAAAGAGAGCATTTTCTATAAAAATAAATTAGTTTGATTAATGCAAGATATAAGGATTTCTTGGTTTGCTATAATTTAATTTTTAGCAAGGGCTGCTTTTTATTCATATCAATTTGATTTTCCACTTCTTCGGCATAACAGTTACCCCTATTGGCCCAAGATCAAGAAATGATAATTTCAACATGTATGGTTTAGCACTTGTGAGAACCTACTAAAGGCATTGAGAAAATAGGAGATTGGGAATTGACCCTAAAGAAATATCTTTTTCACATTTTTCTATCATTTTTCACATCAAATGAAATTTTTTTGGAGTTTTTGTTCTGCTTGAGCTTTGAAGTAATTTTTTCATGTTAATTTTTGAAAAAAAACTGAAATACAATTTTCCAGGATTGTTGTTCAATCGTTTTATTTCCATTTTATAATCCCTTTGAATCTTAGACAAAAAGCTTGTGACTACATTATTTCTGCTAGTAATATCCCTGGTAGAGAGCTTAGGGTATTGTTTTTTCACTTCATAAATAAAAAGTTCTAAATTCATCTTGCTTGCATTTGGTGAAAGTAATCAGATTGCTTACTTAAAAGTTACAATGCAGACCTTCATCTGAAAGGCATGCAATCGCACTTGCTGACCCTGGCACACACCTACTACTTTTGAGGAGTGCAAAATATCACACGCCTTCTTTTATTTTGAGAGCAAAATTCTTTGTTGGTTTTTGAGCCAGGTTTACTATGACTATAACAGACATTTCGTCTCTGAATTTTCAGTAGAACATTGAGTGTTGTGAACAAGATTTTCATTTTGATTGCTAATTTAGCAAAAGTAACGGATTTGCTGATTGTACGATAAAAAGTAGCAGATTTGTGGATTTTGCTACCCTCCTACCCCCCTCTCTTTAATGGTCTCGGCAGATAATTTTGTTTTTTATCCCAGAATACAGAACAAAACAACCTCCAGGCAGAGAAAGTGAAAGAGACATACTACAAAATGCACACAGAACAGACATTCCAAAATGTTGAAATGAAGGTATAACCTAATAAGATTGCAAGATAGCTTCAATTTTCAACTTCAGTTTTTTGATTCAAAAATTTAGTTTTCTGAAAAATGTCTTTATTTTTTATTTTTTGGACACAACATAACTTGTCTTTTGTAGAGTTTTTAACTGAGAATATTTGTTGGGACATGGAAAACCTTAAATGTATCCTTTGCATTACATAAAGTATTTTTAGTGAAATGTTATCTTAAAGGACAAGTGACACACTTTTCACCCTATCTTTTCTTTTCATTTACTAATAGATCATCATTTAGAAGTAAGTTTTTCCTGGTTTAGAACAAAAAATTCTAATCAGGGGGCGCAGGGGGCGCGATTTTCCTTTTTATCACGTGACCCTATGACGTACATTGTGATCACTCGGAATTTTCCTGTCATTAATAGAGAGTTTACGAAACACGACGCGACAGGTCCAGACGAACTGAATTCGGTTAGAAGCGTGTTGTAAACGTTAATATTGCACTGTATACCAGTAGCAGCAATAACAAATTATCACAATCTACGTCACGATGTCACGTGATTCATTTCCCGCCATAATTTGAAAAGGGTTTTTAAGTAGGAAAATGAAATCAGAAAGGAAAAATATTTCAACAGCACTCTCATACAGCATTTTACTTTAAGTTAAAAGAAGAAAAAAATTTGGCGCCAAAAGCGTGTCACTTGTCCTTTAATGTTCTTGTTTATTTCAATTTTTTTGTTAACTTAATAATGAGATTAACAAGTATGTTCAAACATAAGTTATATGGAGTTTGCAAATGTGAACACCATCCCCGATCACTCGTATGCAGCCTACAATATATTTTATTCCTGGCTATTTGTTGGGTTTTTTCACTCTGTTGCAATTGATTTATTAAATTAATAATCTTTCCAGAAAGAAAAATGGTGTAAACTTGATAAAGCAGAAATGACAATTTTGGAAGCCATTATGATGCTAGATGAATTGGTGGATGAATCTGACCCAGATGTATGTGCTTTCATTTTTGACAATCTTAGAATAGATTTTAAAGGTATAAAATAAAGGTTTGTCTGGTTTTGGCATGGATCCTTATTTGCTGAAGAAAACTCTTGTTTGTTGAGAAATCTGTTTTTTTAGTTTAACCCTCTTTCATTGTGATCTCCAGTCAATTATTCATATTTACCTTTGGTACCACAAAATTTGAATATAGCACAGCAAAGCAGAATCATGTCATATTGAAGTACTTTGTTTGACAGTCATCAAAGTATAAACGGTGGATAATATCCCGAATGGGAGACAAATTAGAGATTAGCAGCTGCGAGATTAGCTAGATGAGAGATAAGCAGCTGCAATTGGTTTAAAACAAAATGCCAGTCAAATGCCCTATTTTTCTTCTCACATTACTATGGATCAACATCTGGATATGAATTTTCTGCCAAATTTAAATCAATATATATCAGATATATATCAGATATATATCAATGAATGCTGTGTTTTTGTAGATTGACTTACCAAATTCTGTTCATGCTTTTCAAACTGCTGAAAGGATCAGGGAACGCTACCCAGACCTAGGTTTGTACCTTAAGTTCGATTTTCAATATGAAACTTATTAGAATAGAAAGTTTTTGTTGATTTATTCTTCAGATGATTAGGTCCCTTGCCAATCTTTGATTTAAAAGTAAAATGCTGAATACTTATTAAATTTTTCAGATTGGTTTCATTTGGTTGGGCTTCTTCATGATGCTGGCAAGGTAATGGCTTTGTGGGGTGAGCCACAGGTATGTGTATCAGTATCTTGTAAAAAATATAGGGTTGTAACAAAAAAGGTGCCCTACGCCACTGGCGTACCTTTTAGCTTAAGGTTGGCCTACCTGTTGGTGTAGCAATGGCATAGGCTTAGGGTACCTCTGCACTACAACAAACAACTCAAATTGTAAAGAAAAGTAATGGGAAAGAAAAACTGAATTTAGCTTTGAGCTCAAAACAAATGTATGTTTCATTTTGTCTTCTTATGTTTTGTCTTTTTGTTTTGTTGAGTATAATAAGCCCAACAGCACTTAGTTTACACATGCTTTGTTTGTAGACTCACTCCGTAACTTAATTTTTCCTTTGTCTTGACAAGTCTTTTCTTTATCTGGAATGCAAATGCTGACTTGTGACTTGACAGCCAATTTTTGTGGATTCCATAAGTTTGGAGGAGGTCCATCCCATGTATACTTATGCAAATGAGAAATGAGCCAAAAAACCAACCTTCCAAAAAACCCCCCTTCCCCAACCTTAAAATGCAACATTGTCATGGAACTGTGTGTTGATAATATAAGATTCTAAAAAACATTCCAACTACTGCCAACAACGTTTGATACCGATAGACTGCCCCTTTACACAAGTATTTATACACCAGATTTTTCTCAACAAGCAGCTTCGATTCAAGAAAAAGGGTGATGAAACTCCTTGCACATTCGCAAGTTTTCAATCCATTTTATTTCGCCTGGCACTACAATATCATTGATAGAATTTTCCCACTAACTGCTTGTTCTATCAGACCTTTGCCAAAATTTATGCACACTTTTCTTCCCAGATACTTTTTTAAGAATTCTTTCTGATGTGCTGGATCCTTGACGTGCTCTAATCAGCAGCAGATTATAATATGCTATTGAGCGAAATGAGCTCTGTTATGAAAAGCAAAGCTTGTTCCTGATATCTTAGCCCCATCCGGATCAGGAGTTATCCGACATAGTGCAAATGCAACCTAAGTCAGTGATGTTGCATAGCAATATTTCAACAGATTGTAAGGTTTATAAAAAATTGAAGTTGTTTAATACAGATATCTTCAAATGATTGCAAAACAATTCTGATCACTTCCTGTGAATTTAAAAACGAATTAAATTTAAAATCGAAAGAAGAACAGGAACGGTTTCTCCATCAATTTCCATGGTTTCTGTTCAGCTTATAGTGCACATGATTCATTTTAAAGCAGTACCTTTAACGCAGTTAACAGGAATGACAAAGGGCGATAAAAGATGTTCCTATCCCACGCTTTTGCACAGGCAATGTATACAAGACATTCCAAACGCTTCATGTGGCCTATTATAATATTAGAAAGACTGGTTTGTTGGTAGTTGCATTCTGTGGCACCAATGTGGAAGAAAACTGAATTTTTATTGGCGAAAACAGAACATTTTTTAATGAGAAACTGACCTAACACCAGTCTAGCTTACCCACCATATTAGGTATGTGGGTATCATTGCAATATATCCGACAGAACCTTGTGTTTTTTAGCATATTCAAATGTTTAGCCAGCTCTGATTTGATTCATTGTACTTTTTCCTATATTTCTCTCTCATGAGCCCAAGGTTTTGCAATACAAACTCTTAAGCCATGTATTTCCTCTCCACAGCATTTTGTTGTTGGTGACACATTTCCACTTGGATGCCAATTTCAGGATTCCCCAGTCTTTTCAAGGTTCTTCAGGGACAACCCAGACTTCAACCATGCTGTTTATAGGTATGTCAAAACCATCTGTGAAACATTTAAATCAATCTAATGCTATCAAACTTTACACCGGCTGAAAGAAAGTATTTGCATGTTGTTTTGCATGCAATCAAATGTTATATTTTGTATTCCTAAACATATATATATTTAAAGATATAACTGAATGCGAAAACTGAAAAGTTGACCCACATGCACATCACATGTGCATTACATCTAGGTAGACCATCTAGTATCAAATGTTTTGATAAGTTTGAAAATCGTTACCAAAATTTTGGTTTTTTACAGTATCTTCATTTATTGCTTTTTTGTCAATTGTTTTTTAATCATCTATCTTCCTCGTTGTAATTTGATTTGTATGGCACCTTGACTTTCAAATGGCATATATACCTATTTGATTCAAGACGTTTAATTGACAAATGTATATGTCATCTCTGCTTGTCAGAAATGCAGTTTTTACTAGCTTAATACTTGAATTTGCAATCGTGGTATATATCGGCACATTTTAGCGTTTTCAGTAATAACAAACAGCCAGCTGTATTTTTTGATAAATTGCTTTTGTGCCACATCTATTTTGCGGGACTAACTTTACTCAAGGCATTGTACAGCACAAAGGTAGTCTCATTGTTGATTCTTGTTGTAGTAAGAAGTATGGTTGTTATGAACCAAACTGTGGTCTAGACAATGTAATGATGTCATGGGGACACGATGGTCAGTTATTCTTATTTTGGTATTCAGCCTGTTATTGTGGTATAAATATTTCTTGTGCCTTTTTATTGCTGCCACCTCGCTTGAGAATTTAATAAAGAAGTAAAAAATTCTAATGAATTAATTAAAACCGTCAGTGGCAGTTAACGCCGCTTATAGTCACAGCAAATGTTGCTTGAAAATTTTCACTATATAGCTAAATTGAACTGATTTAGTATGTGCCTGTAATAAGCAATGTGACTTTCAACGGAATGACTATAAGCGGATATCCTGTAGTAGTAACACACTTCTATGCAATTTTCTCAAGCTCCCGATTTAAATCTTACTTTGCTTTACAGATCTACTTTTGTTTTGACAGAATATATGTACCAAGTGCTTGTCAGAAATAACTGTACCGTCCCAGTGGAAGGGCTGTACATGGTCCGGTATCATTCATTTTACCCGTGGCACTCTTCTGATGATTATGATTATCTCTGCTCTGATAAAGACCGGAGCTTGTTAAAATGGGTCAGAATGTTCAAGTAAGCAACTCGGTTTTAACTTTCGTTTCTCAAAATTATTTTCACTTGTTCTTTTGTTTTTGAAGCTTTTGTTAATGCGATTCTTTATGGTAACTGCCAGCTATTGGTGTTATCATATATCGTCTAGAGTATTCTCTCCAATCAGCGGACACCGTTGGGGCAAGAGCAAGGTGTCCGCTAATTGGGAGTGTCCGCCTTTTGGAAAGTTTTGCAATATAAGTTCCAAATTTGAAAATAGATCCGCGTTTTGTATTAAAAAGGTGTAATCAGTGGTGGTGCCAGGGGAGGGCTAGGGGGGGCTACAGCCCCTCTGTCGGAAGCATCTAGCCCCCCTCCCATTAGGGAAATTTTTCAGTTATTGTCGGAGCAAATTTGACAAAATAACGTACGAAAACTGCATATTTTAGTCATTTTAGCCCCCTGTCGAAAGCTCCAACCCCTCTGTCGAAATATTTCTGGCGCCACCCCTGGGTGTAATCTGGGTAATTAGTGGCTATCGGGTTAAACTTAGACACTAAAAAAAAGAAAAATAACCCAATTGAAAGTAACACAATATTTTTTACAACAAGAATAAATATCAGCATCATATACAATATCAACTAACGAACGCAAAATTTGCAAGGAACTGTTTATTTACCATACTGTATGTTTTTACTTAAAAAAAGTCTTTAATTGACTGTTGGATACTTTAATGGACCAGGAAAGTTAGTAAACTGTGCTGTAAAGAGGCTTGAAGCTGTGAAAAGCCAACTAGAATGTCAAGTGTCAGTGTTTGAAATATATATTTGAACAAATATTCATTCGTCTTGGTTTTTTGTTCGCTGGCCCCTAACTTTTTTGTACTGTCGGCTAATCGGAAAGAATAAAAGCTAAATTGACTATTTTGTGCAAAAAATTATGTCCGTTAATTAGAGTGTCCGCTAATTAAGTGTCCGCTTTTTAGAAAGTTTTTTATGAGACTTTAACCAGAAAAAGATCAGGGGAAAAATTTGTCCACTAATCAGATGTGTCTGCCTTTTAGAGTGTCCGTTAATTGGAGAGAATACTGTAATGCCTTTAAGTGGTCTGAGCAACATGTACCCTTTTCCGTTAGGCGTGTAGTGAAATTTAGGAAGTGAGAGTAGGAGGATTTAGGAACTTTTTCTGAACAGTCTATAGGCTGCTCTGTTTTCATGACAGCCTTCCGGCAACTGCTTGTTTTATTTCGCGCTTGAAAAAATGATAATGTAGTTAGTAGATTCATCTCATAAAAGCCAATGCAGTGTCTTGAGTAAACTGTTTCTTGATTAAAACGATATCATGTCCGTTTGAAGGAGCTTGCACATATTGTCACATAACATTTGTGAATCATGTTGCTTTCAGTTAGCCTCAGCGCTCATTGTCTTTTAACTTGTGTATTGTACACATCTTGAACAACAAATGCTGGTTTGATGTGAATTAAAAATGCTTCATTAGATCTATTTTTATCCAACCTCTACTATTTTTTCAGTGAATTCGACCTGTACTCCAAAAGTGATAGCCTTCCAGACATTGAAGCATTGAAGCCGTACTACCAGTCTCTGATTGACAAGTATTGCCCTGGAAAGTTGAAATGGTAATTTCACTTTAATCTTTGTGGGTAAATAATATAATATGAATCATTAGCAATATAAAATGTTGTGCATATATTAGCTTATTATTTAATCTTTTTTATATCCTTTAATTGTTTTTATGTATTATGGTGAAGTTGCACCTTTATAAAAAGTGGGAGAAAACCTATTTAAACGTATAAGTAATATTTTTCGATACCGTTTTGCTGTTGTCATAACTGGATATGATGATGTAGTCGGTGAATATTGATTAGCATAAAAAATAGCAGTGCAATTGCTGTTTAGTGTCCAGGATTTCTACAGGGGCTTTTCATTAGCTGTGTCGGTGATAGTGAAAGTCCACAGGTGCTTACATATGAATACACGCCTTTTGGTAGATAAGACTCTTTTCACTTATCATCATTTTAACCGAATAACAGGCTGGTTTTATCCCGTCAGATAGTGTTTCAGTCGTTTAATTCAAAGGTGTGTTTTTGACTAAAAGCTTCCTTGAACCAGAGGAGAAAATGCTCCCGGTTCTTGCCATTTTTACTTCTGTCATTTATGATGTAGGCTACCCCTCTATCTTACAAATCAAGATTTGAAGTCCTGATTCAAAGTCTTTTTTAAAGGTCCAAAGTCCCTTCTTTTTTTAGTGCTAATAAAGTTTGATTTTGCAAGAAAACGAACTTTACCAGTGAGATATCAAATATTACGATTAGAATCCCTGTTGTTTATGCTGGAAGCAACTGGGTTAATGAAGTCTCGATCTTGTTTCTTTCGCTGACATAGACAAATTTCAAACCCCCCCCCCCCTCCCTTCCTCCTTTCGGTAGAGCATTGGTGTTGGTTTTTAAACGTTTTTTCTGTTGTCACAGTCAGTGTGTGTCTCGTTGATTCTTTTTGTCGTTATTCATTTAATCAGCCTTGCTACCCTTCATACGCAATAACCTTCTGAATCTCACGCATTTCTCTTCCCTAGTGTTAAAGCATATTACATCTATATTTATAATCGTAGATTTGCCGTTTGTAAGCGTCATAATATTTATACGTAGAAATAGTTTGTTGTATACAATGCTTTTTTTTAAATGTATTTTTGCATTTGAGATCATGCAGTGGAATTCCCTATTTAACAAGTATGCAAAGAAAACGAACTTGCTGATTTTTATTCGCCTATTGTGATCCTTCTCTACCACTAGAAGAAGTTGAGGGGATTTTGAAATTTGAGGAAGCATTAAGTATGTGGAATAAGAAATGTCAAAAATAGACTGTATAGATTCTGGTGAAAATTCATAAATTAGAGGCAATGTCTTGTGATCCTTTTGTCTGGGAATTTAATCGTCCTAAATCTGGTTTTTTCTAAAAGTTGTTTTATTTTTAGAAAATAGAAAAACACAAATGAGTTTGAAAGCTTTCAACAATAGCTCATGATTTGAACCAGAGCAATAGTGTTTTCTTGGAATTCCCAGATCTTTGTTTATCGGATTCTTCGTAAACGCTTCCTTATAGTATTGTTGCTTCAGGCACTTGAGCTTTCCAAAGACGAAGTTGTGAATAGTATGGAAATTGCTACGATTTTTTATTTTTTTATTTTCTTTGTGGCACAATGATTACGACTCGGTTTCTAAGATTCCGATGAATGCCGAACTTGGCATATCACTTTTTACATAATACTAGAAAACTTGATGCTTAGTTTTCCTTTGAATTTTCCAAACAAAAATTAACCTAAAAAATTAACCAACAAAAAATTTGCGAATATCTAGAATTCATCATGACAGTTGTGATCGGTAACGATAGCAGAGTATGAACAAAGTACTAAAATTTCACCATGTCTACACGACAAAATGTTAGCAACAATTGGCTCGCTTATCACCACGTTTAATGATAGTAGGATGCAGGTATAGTGAATGTGCAATTGAGCAAGAAAATAGTAAAAGAGGAGATATAATTGAAGAACTTGAAATATCTTTCGTCGATCAACTTTATATACAAATTTTTCAAAGTTACAAACAACAACAGATTTATTGCTCCACAACCTCCCCTCAACCGTCTTGACCAATAGAAACGAGGTTTACGATTCCGCCAGAAATGTTGAAGATATGGAGCGTTTTCATCGCATCGAAAGACAACTTTGTTGGGCAAGTCAACTGCAACTTACACTGTGCAAATAAAGACAAATTTGGAAATGGAAGATGATGAAGTTTGAAAGTCGCCTTTGTTTACTAATGGCGGAGGCAAGGACCATTTCAAAGCACGCGTAAGTATTAACATCTTAGTTTCTTCCGTTTTCTTACCAAATCTCGCTGACATTCTTCAATCCTGTTTCAAAGATTGCCCAAACTGCTGTTTGTATTATTGCTAAAGGTTCTTGAGGGATTTTGTGAAAGTAAAACCTTTCTTTGGCCTTTTTGGCCTTTTTCTGTGTATCAAAAGGTACTGGCACCTGTATTTGATTTCACCATGACTATGCTTTCGCCACATAATTGCAATTGAAATCCTCGCTGAAAGTATTTTCACGCATTCATTTTCCTTTCTGAATAGATATACTTGTCTTCTTCCATTCAATCGACATTTCCATCTTTGTTTCCTTAACTTTTGCTTTATAAATCACATCAAGTGGATACAAAGTCTTATATTTTGTTTTTAGAGTTAAAAATCAAATGCAAAATAAATTTTGTTCATCTTTGCAAGTTGTTCGACGCAATGGCATTGGTTTGGTTTCCTGATCTATCGATGTCATTGTAACAATGTTTCATTCTACATGTAAGTTGAAATACTTTAAGTTGCTTACAGTATAAAGAAAATCAGAAATCAGAAATGACACATGGAACCTCGACAGGACAGGCAGTACCCGTTTGCTCTCTCTCAATGCGACGTTTTTAGATTTCCACCCTATGAAGTGCACTAATTTGTATATTAATAATACCCGTTTTTATGAAGAAATGGGGTCCTATGAAAATTTTCGCCTTCGAAATCAATCTTCATACTTTTCAATAAACAAACATACGCAGCCTTTCCATTTTTGTTCCATGTTTTATCGATTTCGTTGCAACTGCGGTAACATGCTACAAGAAAACACAGAGGTGCAGCAATCAATTCCCTTCTGAGCAGTCTCAAATCGAATCTTTCAGAAAACTTAACAATGAATCCATTTTGTTGATTCTCACGAGGAAAGTGGCATCAGTGCTGCACTTCCTACTGGGCAGAACGGGCCCGGCCCTGGGGCGCACAAGCAAATATGGACCCTAAATAGGCGCCCAAGAAATTTTCTTACACGAGTCTCTTAATACCACGTGTGAAATGTTTTCAAAAAACATTTTCCTCACAAGTCAGGCAAGTATGATATACAAAATAACTACGTTCAGTTTTGTTCTCAAAATATTGTTATTGTTGGTCCAATACGTCAAAAATTTCACATTTTGGACTTCTTTTTATTCACAGCCCCCAACCGTCCGCATTAGTTCTGATACTCTAAGGTCCTTAATAGAAGGGGGCGCTTAATAATTTTTCGATTTTTTTCTGACCAGCCCGGAGCTTATTTAGACCCCCCCCCCCTTAATTAATTTTTATATGCAGTCATTCATGTCCCTTTTTTCATTTGTCCTTTGTTCTTGCAGGTGTAAAATTTCTGTAAAGTTTCACTTAAATGAAAAGGTTGCATTGTACAAAAATTTTAACATAGAAAAGTAGTATGACATCCGAGAAAATATTTTAGTAATGCAACAATATATTATTACATGGTGATAATTGTCATTTTGCTTTCGATTGTATTCGGAAGAAAATCTCCTTTGACCCCAAAAAAGAATCAACACGTGATTTTTTAGATTTTTCACATTTCCGACCCCCCCCCCTAATTACTAGAACCCCCCGCTTATTTATTTTTTGAAAAAATTCTGGCCCCTAACTATCAAGACCCCCCCTCCTTCTATGAAGGATCTTAGAGTATCAAGACTTTGCCAAGCTTTTGGGGTGAAGCTTTTGGCCTGCTTTCTTGCATAAGGATTGAACATGTGTCCCAAACCCTATCCAATTATATTGTATAAGCAAAATTGCTCCAAAAAGAGCGCATTCTCCACCGAACTGGAATCACTCATATACGACATTCTTCTTGCCCTTCACCGACAATTACGTTAATGGAGACGTTTCTTTATGACTAAGGATTCATACTTATCAATAAAGAATTTAGCACAAAATTTTAATTTTTCACATAGCATAGTAACAAATTTTTGTAGCTTCAGAAATTTTAATCTTTCATTCATTTTTTCAATAAATCATGAATTCATAATTCTACCCTGGCTCTATCAAATATTCCGACTTTTACTATTATTATTATTATTATTATTATTATTATTATATCGATCAACAACAAAAACGGTATCTCATCTCTAAACTTTCCAACATTGCCATTCGTACTACGTACTACATATTTTGTTGCAAAAATAAACCATGGACAAATCCGGAATTACATCCGTTTTAATTTTGCTTGTTTTTTTTTTCTCAGTTTTTCCTTTTACCTTACGATTGTTATAGTTTTTTCTTGTAAAACCAGGCTAGCCAATTGCAAATTACCTTGTAATAGTGAGATTTGTAATTGTAGTTTAAGTTGAATTGAAAATGAAATGTTTCCATTAATTTCTTTATAGTGGGCGCTTAAAGTGATAGCAAAATTACTGCTAATTTGGGCCTACTAAAACAAAAGGAAAAAATAAAATATATCTAACAAATCTAACTAATAAAATATATCTAACATAAAAGCGATCTTTATATATACATACATATGCTACATATTTACAGATGAGTTTCGAATTTAGATAAAAACAAGGTTAATTTAGGAGCCCAACCTGTGCTAAGAAAGCTTCGCATAATCGGAAGTTGCATTCATAACCCTTCCATTCCTTCATACGTTTTTTAAAGATGGAAATATTGAGCGACTGTTTAATGTCAGTCGAGATTCCATGCCACAGTTGACATCCTAAGAAAGAAATACTCTCTATCCCAAACCGAACTGTCCGGGCCTTGGGCATTTGTAGAAGATTTTTGCTTCTTAGATGATAGGGGGATTTTTCTCAATGAAAATTTCACTCGTAAAGCTTGGGGTGATATTTGATTAAGTTTTGTAAATCTCTGTCATCAGCAACTGTAGATTCCGTTTATGAACAGACACAGAATTTCGTCAAAAGTTTATCAAAGTCAGAAACATTATCCTTTTGTATGCGATGCTCAGCGCCTTTTTGTGAATGTGGTTGATCTTGTTAATTAGATTTCTGCAACAGAGCATCCACACTAAGGGGCAGTAGCTAAACTGGGATAGGATAAATACCCGCATGATATGCTTGATTTTTTCAGAAAAGCCCGCTCCAATTTTTAGCGATAAATCATTGTTCTTTTCACAGAAAATCATCAAGTAGCACCTATCGCCATTTAGCTTCTTGTAGTTATTCTGAAACCATTCTGAAAGGATTGGGGTTTCGCTTTCTAATTCATTGATTATGTTTTCATGATTGCATCGCAGACATAGATTGATGCATCATCAGCATAATTGCATATTCTGCAGTCTGTCACAAACATAAAAAACTCTCTAGAATATTATTTACTTTAATGAAGTTCAAGGAATCAATGAATTACTGAAAAAAGGGCTGAGAGGAAGTCTCATTATATCAAAGCAAGAATATATGGAAATATTTACTTGGAAATTTATAACCTTTGAAAATGAAATCTTTTATCTGTAAAAAGTCTGTGAAAAGTGTTAAAACTCATTTACCGATGAAAACTGAAGGAGGATTCTCTTTCCAATTAAAAGTTTCCATGGAATTGTTTTCCAAGGAATGTTTACGTCCAATCGCGGTGACATCTTTATCCAACTGCCGCCGTTCCGAAACTCAAGTTGTTTTTATAGGCAAACATTTGATTGTGACGTAATATTGGTTAAAAACGTAACATGTCCATCAAAAATATGCTTCATTCGTTGTTATTCACCCTAAATATAAGAATAATCGCAAATTGTTTCTTATCGACATTGAATGAAATTTTGTCTTAAGGATTTACTTGGAATTGTAATGTTGTAATCAATTTCATGTATTATAACTCAAGTTACCAATATCAGCTATGTGTTTATCCTTCAATGCACTTATGTATTAATATTCAAAAAAATATTTCTATGATTACATGGGAGGAACAAAGTGCATCTTGCAAAAGATCATACTCTAAAGAAACATAAATAATTGAGGCCACATTTTTGCTTGAATTCAACTACTCATCAGAATTGATAAATTTTTAAAATATGAATCGTTCAAACATAGTAGACTATTATTACCTATTGTTGGACTATGGGTCAAATTTTTATATATAATGATTAATGCCATCAGCAAAACTCCATTTTTCCATATTTCATCAGTCCGCTTATCAAAATCCTTAAAATCTCCATTATCTATATGGTTGTATCAGACTACACTAAAATTTTTCTCTTTTGGTCTTTGGGTAACATCCTCACATAAAATTATTATTTTTCATTAGCAATATGCAATAGACGATTTTTCCATATTTTGTCAGTCCGCTCATCAGAATATATAAAATCTCCATTATCTGCATGGTTCTATCAGCTTAGACCACAAATCTTCATTTTTGGTCTTTTGATGATATCCTCATATATAATATTTATTTTTCATCAGCAGTAATATTGATTGAAAACGTAACATGTCTATCAAAAATATGCTTCTTGTGTTGGTATTCTGCCTAAATGAAGAAATAATCGTAAATTTTCTGTTATAGATAAATAATTCATGAAAATTTCTTTTAAGGATTTACTTGTATTGTTGTAGTCAATTTCATGCTTTCTAACTGAAGCTAGCAATGTCAGCTATGTGTTTATCTTTGAAAACACATATGCAAAAGTTTATTTAAATGATTACATTGAAGGAACAAAGTGTATCTTGCAAAAGATCATATTCGAAAAAAACATAAATAATAGACGTCATATTTATGCTTGAATTAAACTACTCATCAGATTCAATAAATTTTTGAAATATCAATCGTTCAACCATAGTACACCATTATTTTCTATTTTTGGCCTATGGGTCAAATCCTCATACATAATGATTATTGCCATCAGCAAAATGCAATACATGACAATTTTCCAAATTCTATAATTCTGCTGATCAAAATCCATAAACATAGAATTTCTGGTCGTTTAATTTTTTTGTGTGAGCGGAAGCCATATAAGTTTTGTTCTTTTGCCATCAGCAGTAGGCACTAAATAATAATATTCCATATTTAAAATGTCTTTTCAACATATTATTACGATATTCTTCCATATTTTCTCAGTCCGCTCCTTAGAATTAATAAAACTTTCATTATCTGCATCTTTCCTTCAGCAGGGACAATAATTCTTCATTTTTGGTTTTTGGGTCACATTCTCAAATATAAAGTTTTTTTTCATAACCGATATGCAATAGACGATTCTTTCCATATTTTGTCAGTCAGCTCATCAGAATCCATAAAATTTCAACCATCTGCATGGTTGTATCAGCTTAGATCATATTTCTTCATTTTTGGTCTTTTGGTCACATCTTTCTATATAAAGTTTATTTTTAATCAGCAATATGCAATAGACGACTTTTTCATAATTTATCAGTCAGTTCAACAGAATTTATTAAATCTCCATTATCTTCATGGTAGTATCAGCCTAGACGATAAATCTTTCTTTTTGGTCTGTTGGTCACATCCTCATATAAAATGTTTATTTTCATCAGCAATATGCAATAGACGATTTTTTTCCATATTTTATAACTCGGCTCATAAGAATCTAAAAAATTTCCACTATCTGCATGGTTGTATCAGCTTAGACCATAATTCTTCTTTTCTGGTCTTTTGGTCACAACCTCATTTAAAATGTTTATTTTTCATCAGCAATATGCAATAGACGATTTTTTCCATTCTCTATCAGTCCGCTTATCAGAAACCATAAAATGTCCATTATCTGCATGGTTGTATCAGCCTAGACCATAATTCTTCTTTTTTGGTCTTTGGGTCAAATCCTCATACATAATGCTTATTTTTCATCAGCAATATGCAATAGACGATTTTTTCTATATCTTATCAGTCTGCTCATCAGAATTCACAAAAGTTCCATTATTTGCATTGTTGTAACAGCTTTGACCATAATTCTTCTTTTTTGGTCTTTTGGTCACATCCTCATACCTAATCTTTTTTTTCATCAGCAATGTGCCATAGAAGAATTTTTCCATAAATTATTTGTCGGCTCATCAGAATACATAAAATTTCAATTATCTGCATAGTTGTATCAGCCTATACCATAATTCTCAATTTTTCGTCTTTGGGTCACATCCTCATATATAATGTTTTTTTTTCATCAACAATATGTAATAGACGTTCTTCCATATTTTTTCAGTTCGCTCATCAGAATTCTTCAAATCTCCATTATCTGCATGGCTGTATCAGCATAGACCATAAATCTTCATTTTTGGTCTTTTGATCAAATCCTCATATATAATGTTTATTTTTCCTCAGGAATATGCAATAGACGATTTTTTCCATTCTTTATCAGTCCGCTTATCAGAAACCATAAAATGTCCATTATCTGCATGGTTGTATCAGCCTAGACCATAATTCTTCTTTTTTGGTCTTTGGGTCAAATCCTCATACATAATGCTTATTTTTCATCAGCAATATGCAATAGACGATTTTTTCTATATCTTATCAGTCTGCTCATCAGAATCCACAAAAGTTCCATTATTTGCATTGTTGTAACAGCTTTGACCATAATTCTTCATTTTTGGTCTTTCGCTCACATCTTCATATATAATGATTATTTTTCATCAGCAACATGCAATAGACGATTTTTTCATATTTTGTCAGTCCGCTCATTAGAATTCATAAAATCTCCATCATTTGCATGGCTGTATCAGCTTAGACCATAATTCTTCATTTTTGGTTTTTTGATTACATCCTCATATATAATGTTTATTTTTCCTCAGGAATATGCAATAGACGATTCTTTCCATTCTTTACCAGTCCGCTAATTAGAAACAAAAAAAGTTCCATTATTTGCATTGTTGTAACAGCTTAGACCATAAATCTTCATTTTTGGTCTTTTGGTCACATCCTCATATGTAATGTTTTTTTTCAGCAATATGCAATTGACGATTTTTTCCATATTATATCCGTCCTCACATCAGAATCCATAAAAATTCCCATTATCTGCATGGTTGTATCAGCATAATTCTTTTTTGGTCTTCGGGTCACATCCTCATATACAATGTTTATTTTTCATCAGCAATATAAAATAGACGATTCTTTCCATATTTTATCAATCAGCTCATCAGAATCCATAAAATTTCCATTTTCTGCATGGTTGTATCAGCCTAGACCAAAATGTTTCATTTTTGGTCTTTCGGTCATATCTTCATGTATAAAGTTTATTCTTCATCAGCAATATGAAATAGACGATTCTTTCCATATTTTATCAATCAGCTCATCAGAATCCATAAAATTTCCATTTTCTGCATGGTTGTATCAGGCTAGACCATAATTTTTCATTTTTGGTCTTTCGGTCATATCTTCATATAAAATGTTTATTTTTCTTCAGCAATATGCAAAAGACGAATTCTTCCAAATTTTGTCAATCCACTCAATAGAATTCAACAAATCTCCATTATCTGCAGCTCCATTTTAGCCTAGACCATAATTCTTCTTTTTTGGTCTTTTGGTCACATCCACATGTATAATGTTTATCTTTCATCAGCAACATGCAATAGACGATTTTTCCATATTTTGTCGGTCCGCTCAATAGAATTATTAAAATCTCCATTATCTGCATGGTTGATTCAGGTTAGACTATCATTCTTCATTTTTGGTCTTTTGATCACATCCTCATATATAATTTTTATTTTTCATCAGCAATATGCAATAAACGTTTTTCTCCATTTTTATCAGTGAGCTCATCAGATTCCATAAAATTTCCATTATCTTGATGGTTGTATCAGTCTAGATAATAATTCCTCTTTTTTGATCTTTTTTGACATCCTCATATATAATGTTTATTTTTCATCAGCAATATACACTAGAAGATATTTTCACTATCTTATCAGTCCGCTCATCAAAATCCACAAAAGTCCAATTAATTGCATCGTTGGAACAGCTTAGACCATAGTTCTTCATTTTCGGTCTTTCGCTCACATCTTCATATATAATGAATATCTTTCATCAGCAACATGCAAAAGAAGATTTTTCCATATTTTGTCAGTCCGCTCATCAAAATTTATAAAATCTCCATTATCTGCATGGTTGTATCAGCCTCGACCATAATTCCTAATTTTTGGTCTTCAGGTCACATCCTCATATAAAATGTTTATTTTTCATCAGGAATATGCAATAAACGATTTTTTCCATTTTTTATCAGTCCGCTCATCAGAATTCATAAAATCTCCATCATCTGCATGGCTGTATCAGCCTAGACCATAATTCTTCATTTTTGGTCTTTGGGTAACATCCTTATATAAAA